CTAGAATGATCAGATCTCAATCTAAATTTCAACAACAGACAATTCAAACCATTAAAAATTAAATTATAGGAAATAATAGTTTGAAGTAATTTAATGAACAGAAATTGACACAAATAATTTCTCGAAACAGGATTAGATTAGACATGGTGTATGCTCTCTGATTTATTCAAATTCCTGTTCTTAGTCTTGTTTATAGAAAGCTGCTTGTAGTAAATATTTGAATTTAACTGTGAAAAAGTTATTTTTAAAAAAAGCACAATTTAATTATTATATAAAATTTTAATAGTTGATTCCATAAGTCGATCAATGCTAGCCCACCACTGAAATTCTGGAAGCACTGGATGACCGTTTTACCTTAGTATGCGACTCTTCAGCAGTGCGCATCCACGATCCAGCACGTGTGACTCAAATCCAGGACTCTCGGTCCCGTTTGAAAACGCCTATCGTCTGAACCACCAAGCTGGCATCCAACGGTGTTAATGTCTAGAGGTTAGGCGCTCATGTGCAGGATCGTGGATGCAAAGTGCTGAGGGGTCCCATACTAGGACGAAACAGCCGTCCAGTGATTTCTGGTTTTCAATAGTGGTCTAGCATAGATCCACCCATAAATTCAACTATTAAAAATTACTACAATCTCCACAAATCCCCCTTCTACCATATAAATATCTCCTAAATATGATATTTCCTTTAGTTCACTTTAAGAAAACTGGTCTATTCATATTTACATTTACTACTCAAGTATTCATATTTTAAGAAATAATGTTAACAATAATGTCTACTTTATTAAATTCCGTAATAACTTTAGTTTACATTCACAGTTACGCTGGATGAAACGTTAGAATTATTTAAGTTTCAATCGTTTACATTATCTCAAGTATAATTTTCACGAGTAGTATGATCTCATTGATCTTGATTGATATTTATTGTTAAATAGACATTGTGTCTTTTCATTAAAATCTTTTTTATTAATTAGTAAAAAGAAAAAGACTAGTATGATAACAAAGAGTTATCGGTCAGTTAACTAATGAATAATTTAAGATAAATAAAATACTGAATAACACGAATTACTTCCCTGTGTTATCATGAAATAAGTTCTAAGTTGTATAAAGTTTATTACTTCTGAAAATCCTTTTATTTCTATTTGTTCTTTTGAATAGTTTTTATTTTCTGTAATGATTATTAAAATTTTGGTTGTTAAACTGTAATATATTGGGAAAGGCTCATTTGTTCCCGATAAGTAACAAATAATAAGCCCAGCTGGTTTACATAAGCAAGTTTTCTTAAATCATTAGTTCTCAAAACAACTGTGTAGCAAATAATGCGTAACATAATTATTTACATATTGATTTGAAAATGGCCACAGACTAGTTTACAAACAAATCAGTATACCAACCAGAAATTGAAACTTTTGTAGGTGATATTAAATCTAAGAGTTTATTTTAAAATCATCACTCTTTTAGTTTTTTTTGAAAACAACGTTACCACCAAAACAAACTCATTGCTTTTCAATTTCGATTTGAGAGGAGGCTAGCGATTTGTGCTGGTCATTACGACGGAGGTCATTAAGTTGATCCAACTTTCTTTTGAACGTGTTGACAGACAGAGCTTCAACCATGTGTTGAAGTAAGAAGTTCCGTTTGTTAATCACTCGATAGGAGAGTTGGTAATCAGTTAAAAAGTAGTATATTCTGAACTTATGAACATATTTGAAGTGTCCTCATAAATTCTGTTTTGAAAGACAAGAAAAATGAATGCATTTTTGATGAAAAATTATTACTAAGAAATCTAAAAACTGTAACTAAGTTATCTTTAGTCCCTCAGTATGATAATAAGAATAGGTTTAGTTTGGCCAGTCTCTTGTCACACAGTAGCTTAGAGATTCCGGTAATCAACTTAGTTGTCATTTTTTTCGACCTTTGAAAAACACTATTCTTTTTAGGCTGAGACTGTCTGCTTGAATGCAATACTTGAGCTATTAATAAGTTTGTGAGACATGAATAACTTGTTTTAAAACCGTTTTGATTTTTGTAGAGAATCACATTTATATTCAGATACCTAAATAACTGCTTGTGAATAATCATTTCTTGAATATTAACCACCATGCTGATTAAACATGAGGCCTGCTAATTATCAGGTTTACATGTGCACCTGTTTGAAGATTTACTATAGAGTTCTTTCATTTGTTTAATGATCTACCTTGGATTACAGGCAGATTAAAATATGTGTTCAAGGGATTTACTATAAAGTTTGCAATTCTCTTTGGTAATCTATGATCCATTTATATCTAATTCATTTAACACCGAGTTTTTTAATAGTCACAATATTCAGAGTGTGATTAAGGTATCTTTTTGTACCTGAGAGAAACCATCTATACGGTATATACATAAGGAAAGTAGTTTCAGAATATCTGAGCTACATCGCAGTTGTCTTCCGCTAGCAATACACTATGACTATCATACAGTTCAGAGGTGCCGCCTCCCATCCTCTACCCTTGATTTTTGTACAAGTGTAAGTGTTTTCTAAATTTTACAAACTATCTCTGTTAAAATAAATAACTTTCTATTTCTTCCGTTTTATGAGTGATTGTAACTCTATCAGCTAAATTTATTTTAAATAGCATCATTTTATTATTCTGGTGAAACCCAACATTAAACTTTTAATTAATAAAATCAACTATTTATTATTTACACTGTATAAGGATTAATTCTTTAACCTATTCATATTAAAAGTATAATATCTAATAAATTTTAATTAAATACTGATTGCCTAACTTTATTAAGTATTTTAGTATCTTAGTAGATTATCTTTAGCTCAGATTTTGTTCCCAATCCATATTTAGTTCTAAACGTTAGTTTTCGTCACTTATTTAAAAAAGAAAAAAATACTTTTATTCACTAATGAATTCTAATTAAAATTATATTAAGAAATTTCATTATAAACGTTATATATTACTTCAGTATTTATTGTTGAAAGAAGAACAGTTTCTTCGTAAAGTCAATCCCCCTACAAGATAAAATGAACCCAATGATATTGATTTTTTTTAATCAAACAAAATGGAATTTCACAGTTTTTATTTAATTTAATTAGATTATTTATTTATTCTAATTTAATTTGTGTAATAAGTTTTGATTATGTAATTTATAGTTGTCATGTAATTAGGCTATAAAGCAAATTATTTGTTATTTTTCTGAATCATTATTTAAAATAAAATCGTACTTTTAAACGTGATACTATAATCATTTAGGTAAAAATGTTTCAATTTTTTATTAATAAAAGTATAAAATAAATAAAAAAATATACAAAAAATATTTATGTGTATCTATGCTAGTAACACAATTGAGCTAAACGATGTTTGTGAATTTTTTTTGAGGGGGGGTATACGCTATTAATATTTCTTCAAAAACATTATTGACTATCAAAGTAATGATAACAATGAAATAATGATCCTAGATTTATGTATAAACTACTATAAGAGTAACAGTGATTGATCAGAGCTTATTACAAGTGTCAACTATTATATATATATTGATCTATTGAATGAAATGGTAAACGTGTTTGCAATGAAATTCGGATGAATAAATTCGGGCAATTAAAATAGAACTGTGCTTTAAAATTTCGTGGTTTTCTTTTGTTTTTCAATGACAGAAGTATCTTCAAATAATAATGTTTTAAATTTGACATATATTTTTATATCTCAACGGCATTTTTCAATTTCCAATAATCATTCACGTCTTTTCAACTTATAGCTTGCTTTCACTTTACTTCTTTGAACAAAAGTGCTGCTATGAAGAGTTTTCATTTTGTTTCATTACAGAAGCATTACATATTAAAGAAATAAAAGTTATCATGTTTGAATAAGTTAAATAAGAGTAACTTATACGCCCATCTTATTTATGAGAGAATTTATCCAATATATCTTAGAATATTCACTTTGGCATAATTTTCTGTTTATCAGGAATTACTATACCGTTGTTCTCACTTTCGGTAGCTCATCTACTACAACATTAAGATAAAATATAAAAGAGATTTGAAATGCTTAAGTTTTTTTTAATCTGATAAATAAACGTAGGCTTCTTTTCTTGTGAAGTAACTGAACAGATTAACTTTTCATATAATGACTAGATGATTTAACTATTTTCATACATTTGACAAGGCCGTTAGGAATAAGCATCAAACAAAGTTTTTCTTAACTAAAACAAAACCGTTTTTGTTTTATACATAAGTAAATATATTTAGTCAAATAGAGTAGAGAGTATTTAGTATAGAATGGTTTAAGAAACAATTAATGCTTAATATTTTACTAGCATTAATACAATCAGTTTATTCAATAAAATAAGGAACTTTTCTTTGACTTCAATAAAAAAAGAAAACAATTTGTTAGTTCCAGTAGTTATTATACCGCAAACATAATCCCTATTGATTTTAATCTCCCTAACTAGTGTTATTATTTATTAAAACAATGAAACATTTTAATTTTGTTGGTGAATTAATTAAATAATTTGAAATTGTATATAATCTAATTGATTAATCAGTTAAAACAAAATTTGTCCGTTTAACTTTTGGGGACAATAAATACAGTAAGGTTAATATTCTGTTACTAAAGTATTAGGAGTATAAACGTATCATGTACTGCAGAAGATTAGAAAAGAAGTAATGTAATGGAAATGATAATATGTATATGAATATAGGTAATAACAATTATAACGCTGTCTAAGTGTATATTCTTCAATTGTGCTGACAATAGATTCAGAGTTTCACAGATGTTCTCTCTCTGTTGCTTACCATTAAGCTTATATAAGTAGTAACCTAGTAACAGAAATGTTAGTGAAAGGAAACAAAATAACCGATAAGCAAGGTGTATTTTTAGCAGAAACAAACGAAAAAAATATTAATATTTAATTTTTAACACTGAGTATAAACAAAATGTTCTGTTCTGCTAGATTCCCAGAATTCACTTGATAAACGTCTTATTTTTGTGATTTTATTTTGGAAATTTTAATTTCTTGTTTTCACGCCAGATGCACTCATTTTTACCGTCAGATTGTATTTCCCACTTTGAATAACCTTAAATGTCATTGGTTCGTTCGCTCTTTTAATATGCTATTTTGTGATGTTTCTCAAGGATATTTTTATGCAGTATACATACTCATGAGTTGTGGGCTTGCTGTTGTTCGTGATTCTGGCTGCTTATGCAATATACTTCCTCTCTCTAAACCCGAACTTCTCCCTTTAGTTAGCGGGGCTGGAACGCATCTGAAGGGTTAGCTTATCTTGTCATTTTATCTCTGAGCCTTCATTCCGGTCTCTGATTTAGATGATCTCGTAATCTCTTCAAACATAGCGAGATCCCACATAAACAAAATTTACTAGGGATACTATAATACAAAGTCGTTACAAATCTGTTTTCACCATCACCAACAGTACGTTGAAAATTATAGACTGGTCAAGTACTTTGCCGACTAGTACTGAATTTTATTGAATTCAATGTATATATAAGAAAGTTCATAGAATCGTTATTATGATAGAATGTAATTGATTTGTTGTTTACTTAATTCCAGATATGAAGTTGATAAAAAAGATTCAAAATCTTTGATGATAATAAAACAACTAAGAATGTGAAATTTATTAGCTCAGTCTGTTGAGATCATGATCAAAAGATTTACATAAAGGATTTATGCATTCAGAAATACACTATTATTATTATTATCAATCCGGTTTCTTCCTAATGGTTTCACTTTCCATAATCCTTTATGTGATTTACCTTCCCAATTGTATATTGCATCTTGTTACATAATTAAACTGTATTCAGTTGACCCATCATCCATTCTATGAAATATAACGTTAATTTTTCAATTCGTATTAACTTTTCTCACTTATTCTTCTTAGTTTTCTTCTCTTTTAGTATATTTATATATTTTAGAATATGACAAAAAGGATTCTTTCAATTCTTCTGCATTTATTTGGTTTTTTTGCAGTACTCATTATCAGGATCAACAAAAATTCTAATGAAAATGTTTCTAGAAATATTTACACTTATTTAGTTTTAAATAATGACTTATATTCTTTTTAGATTGTAAACAACCGAAGTGAATCTTCACATTATAAATCAAATTCATTCTATTCTGCTATGATTGATTCTTTTTATTTATAACTATTTTCATTTTACTAAATATTAGAAAGTTTTTTTGTTTGTTTTTATTCTTAACAAAAATCTTTATTGTTTATATCTTATTTTTGCTTATTATTTAGTATAAACTTTTAAATAAACAAAAAAGAAGGCGTACTCATGAAGAATGAATAGAACCTATTTGAATTTATCTACTCATCCAGTAACTTCAACAGTTGATAATACTTCATTGAATACAATGTCAACAACAAAAGTTCGTTTCAGTTCAGATTTATGTAATGGTCATATATCGTCATCATCATCATCCTTTAAAACAAATTCAAATAATTTATGCGATGCACCATCTTCATCATCATCAACTGGTGATTATTCAACATCATCTGAATTCAGTAGTACATCACATATTTTGAAAAACTTTACTATTGGTGATCGAGTTTTTTTAAGTAGAACAAAACAACATGGTACAATTGCATATATTGGACCAACACATTTTTCCGCTGAAGATCTTGTCGGTAAGTATGTATGATTCAATAACTTATAAAAATTAATTCACTTTTTTATTTCTGATGCATGGATGGTCTTTTAATTGTATCACTTTTGTATTTTGAGCTTCTAATGTTTGGCTAGGCATCATTATTATGATTATATAAAAACACGTGGTCAGTATTTTTTTTACCGAGTGCTCTAACGAGCGTTAAACAAAGAATGATGTACTGACTATCTTCAATTAATTTCATTATTAAGTAGTCCTTGGAAGTCTGATTCGTTTATTTCTTGATTATCATGTTAATACATTATAGTTTCCAATATCTAACCTTTCAGAATTCAGTTTGTTCATCTCATTTGTGAACTCTTGGGATGTTTCTCTTATATTTATGTACAATTTCTAACTTTGAACTAGATTCATAGAGTTCCGGTTCTTGGGTTAAGTATTTATCATCTTATTAACCATTACGATTCATATTTGACTAAACTTATTTTTATGCACTAGGATGATTGCGCAGATAGGTTGCAAAGTATGAAATTGGATCTTATCACAGTTTGATTAGATAGGTTTTTTTTCAGAAGTTCCAGTAGTAAGTCTTGACATATGGAGTTAACTTAGTCTGTACTGAGCCAGTATTTCGGCTATTAAAATAAGTGAATACTGAAATTCTGAACGTGAATCGTTCCATCTGTTCTCAGTGCTCAAACACTAATGTGCTGATTTCTTTCCCGGGTGCAGATATATGTACTCACTACTAACAAACTTCCAACAATCAAAAACAACAACTCAGTGGTTTCTGCTTTTTATTAGTTCCTCAGCTGAAGTTGACCGCTATAAAATTAATTTAATTCTGCTAAGTACACTTCTTCCTAATTTGTTTTGCGAGAAGATATAGTTGTCTTGGACGCCAATACTAAAACTACAAATGTTTCGTAGCTTTATTGTTTGTTTTGAGTTTATTTTTGGGTTTTTTTGCTTTCAACTAATATAATGGAAACTTCTAACCACCTACTGGTACATTTTAATGAAATTAGCACTTTGGTATATATATATATATATATATATATATATATATATATATATATATATATGAATAGTTTGATTGCTTTCACTAAACTTCCACACACTATAGTAATAAAATTTGTTTTTGAATTTTACTCAAGTTTCATACATAATTCCAATTTTTGATGGTGCTGAAACATCTATCATCAATCGTTCAGTTGTATACTCAGGATTTATTCGTTCTTTCTAATTGTACTATGGGACTTTTTGTTTTCCTTTTCATAATAAAATATCTATGGTTTTTCCCAGATGTAAATAAATTTTGGTAATTAAGTTCTTAAGAAATAAGGAAACAACCGAAATATAATATTCGTTGAATGGCTATATACAATTGGCGGCATGTCGTCAACGTAATTATTATGTACTTATTATACAAGTCAAGATAGTACACAGTTTCAGATTGCATTATTTATTAGAGATTGTGCACAGAATTTTGTTATTGATCATTATGAGTAGATAAAACACAAGTTACAGCGTCCGGAATTGCATTTCTGAACCTCGCTTGCTGACCGAACCTGTTATTTATTACTGTTAACAGAAATTAACAAGGAAGATAATCTCGAAACAAGTAGATAATAATAACTATACCTGGAGAAAAAATTTAGAAATACTACTTCTGTTACTGACTATTTAAAGGATCATATATTATTTTAGCGTTTGATCGCCATTTAGGCATCCAATTATTATTATTTGATTGTGTGATATGAAATCCAAGGCATTTTACCAAAATACTGACAGTTTTAACTTTGTAAAACTTATCCATTACTTTATTTTTCAAAGTATGCAATTCATAAATTTTAAAGACTTCAAAAAACTAAAAATTGTTGCGGTAAATAGTTTGTTTGTCCAATTACGATAAGACCTAAACTATATCCATTTTTTCCCACTATACTGAGCTCTATGTATTAAATCGTTTACTCTTTAAGTTTACTCAATCCTATAGAAATTCACATTTCAACAAGTAAGTATTGTTAAAAATTGTGTGGTAAAATGCATTTCAATGTTTTTAGTGTAGGTCAAGGTGTATATCCTGAGTATTTAACATATTTTAATGCAATTTTTAGATTAGGACAAGAGTCAAATGATAATTGCATATCATAAATGGTAAATTCTTTAAAGAGACAATTCATCTCTATTCACAAATTTCTATTAGGCATTTTTGTAATGTAAAAAGAAGTATGTGGATATTATCTATCCAAAAGTTTTCATTTGTTTAGGCGTAATTTATGTTTAGAACTGTTTTGAAAGAATTGGGAAATTTTATATATTTTCTTTGTTCTTCTTTTTATGAGAAAAAATCACACAACAGTTTGATATTAAACAAAAAGACTTGTTAAAATAATTAACCTTGAGTATGTCTAACTAATTAGTCTATTGAGGATATATATATATCAGTGACTAATGGCAACCTTCTTTCTTCATTTTAACTTGTTAAGCTAATCGACAGTGGAGAAATATAATACTGACCCAAACATTTGCACATATTAAATCAGGAAATGGTCTCAGTTAGACCACGCGAAGGTATTGGACGGCCGTTTCTTCCATGAAATGAACTTCTCGTCATTGCGAATCCAAACCCCTGAACTCGGTAGCCGGACCCAGGACCTTTGATATAGCTCAAGATCATCAGGCGGCAGTCGTGATGCTATCTGATGAGGGGTTTCATACTAGGAAGGAACAGCCGTTTAATGATTCCAGGTTTTCAACGGTGGTTTAATTAGGAAAAGTTTGTGATTTAAACTGTTAAAATAATATAATCCACAAATCCATTATACTAAAACATTCATTAGAATCGTTTAAAAAATTGCTGATGAATTTAGGATTTAATTATGAACACAATATTTAAAACATCATTAAACCAATGGGACAACTAGCATGTTCACCGATACTGGAAACGAAGGGCCTATAGTTTAGGAAGATTCACCCGATAAAAATACCAAACATAGTTTTTATTGCCTTAATCCAGTTTATCAATGGCGGACATTCCATGAAACCTAAAATTCCACTAAATAAATTGAAAAATGATTGGTCTTACAGATTAGTTCTTTAACTATCAATCAGTAAGTACATAAATTAGTTCATTTCCGCTTTCGCATAGTTGCCGCTGGTCACAGTACCTAAAAAAGCAATCTCAACTATGATATTTATTTCTTCAGATTCGTTTTTGACATCAGCACTAAGATTAGTCTCCTGTAGTAGATCGATATTTTACAAGTAGCCTTAAGGACAAACTTCTAAAAGTGACTACTTTGATTCATGTTTATCACTTTCCTTAGGTCAGTGGAACCAGGTTCATTTCTTTTTTTATGTACTTTTAATTTAATAGGGTTTAACTGCATTGGTCTATTTAGTGAGTAAAGACAGGCTGTGAGTCCATGATAAGTGTAATAACAGTACAAACTCTTAACACTTACTATGTGATCAAAGATTCTCGTCTGCCAAATACAGCGTTTCCTCGTCGTCTATTCATTAATGGACATTTTGCTAAGCATATGGATAAATTTAAACCATATACCTTAACGTAACTTAACCTATCTTCTTTTTTTGTGGTAAATCAAAACTCATTTCCTCTCTACCCGACCCATTTGTTCCCCCTCCTTTTACATTGGTCTGCTATTTACATTTGACGAGTTATTATCACTGGAAGATTCATCCACACTATATGATAGTATTATTAACAAATGTTTGGTAATTATTTTCTTACTGTTTGGGACTTGTTACAAACATTTCATTTTTGAAACAGTAGCTGTTTAAAAACAAGCAATACTCTAGTATAGATTAAAAAAACTCAAAAATTTATAACAAAACATCTTTAACTCTCCTTACTGAATGTTCTATAATATAATGTTTTAAAAAAGGTATGATCTGAAATGAATAACGGTTTAGCTTTTGATCGAGATCATTAATCTCACTGCTGACGAGTCCCTTACTAGAACAAAACGTCCATTCTGTGCTTCCATGTTTTCCGCGGTAGTCTAACATTGGTCGATTTATGTTCTACAACATATATATCATTCTAACAAGATGTTCAGCGAAGTAATTATGAACTTCTATTCATTCAACCGATTTCAACCAGTTTTTCTGAGTATTGAATAGTACTTATTATTATTAAATGATCACCTTAAAGGTTTAATATTTTATTTTATTATTTCTTAAAAAATCTCATAAAAGTATTTTTCTTATAGTCAGATGGGAACTTTATTTATTTAAAATAAAATCTGACGCAATATACACCAGTGTACCAATATTATAATTTACCATAACTAAGGTTCTGGCTCATAACAAATGAACTTTTTTCTAACATGATATGACAATAACTATACAACTTCCTACCAGCAGTACTACATAAAATGAGGGTCCATACTTCCATGTAGAAGTTTAGTTGAGTACTCATTGAATATTCATTAGTTTTACTTTATACAAGAGATGATAGAGGATATTCGTAGGCTACTAGTATTCCATCACGGGCATATTTGAGGCATTGCTCGTGTATTTTGAAACCACTGAGTAAGCAGTGGCTGGGTTAGAAATAGGGTCTCAGATAAGGATGGCGAATCAATTGATGAGGTCATAAATCTTCATCAACAGAATCGATTGGGAAGTGTAAAGGACTTGACCACACACCACGTACTTCGACGGGGCGATTTTGTATGCTGTAGGAGTAAAGGCGGTTGGAGAAAATCATAGCACTATCCCATGAATCCATTGACAATGGGGCTGAGCTATGTTGGGTGCTGAGGACTACCTGTTTGGGGTTTGCGTGATTATCCTAACCAGTGGTTAAATAGAATCATTTACAATTCCGCATCTAATCTTTATCTTGCTCCAGATTCCAAGCTTCCGAATCCCTTATGATTTCTTTATTTTATATTTCTGTATTTTTCCGAATCGTTCGTTCGATGACTAACTTCTTTTTATCACACACATTACTGTTACTATCATAACTGCTCTGGAGTTTCCTCTAAAAACCTCATCTCTGTCGTAACGGGATATAGCAATTTGAATCGTTGAGCATATGTACCAGATTCAACGTTGTGTTTGGCTAATTTTCTTTACCTTAACTTCAATGAGTTTCTGTTCATAGAAATCCCAAATAACTCATTGTCTACCGTCTAGATTAGTTGAAAGATTCTAATGCTTATGTTAGTTACCTTGCCATAATTTTTAATGATTATGTATTCAAAACTTCGTCGAAATTCTCATGGTGGTATAGAGCGTGACACTAAAGTGTATATTTCAGATTTCGTTCACCGTGAATCAGCGAAGTATAAATAAAAATCAACAAGAGGAAAACAGAGTAGCAGAAATATTCACCATACTTACAATGGCCAAAAACTAAACAAAATATATATTTCAATATTTGAGATTATGAGTCAATTAAAGCTAGACCACCATTGAAAAATTAAAAGCACTGGACAACCGTTTCGTCCTGTTGTATGACTCCTAAGCAGTGCACATCTACAATCCCGCCTAACACGATTCGAACCCAGGACCTTCGGTCTCGCGCGAGAACTCTTAATATCTAGACCACTGAGCCGGCATCCGATGGTGTTAATGTCTAACTTCAACTAATCCACGAAATTAAGCGACACATCCATTATTGTCTTCATTGAGTTACTATCTCACAACAGACCCGGTTGAACTCCACTGGTCACTGGTTCTCACTAGAACTCCAGGAAATACTTGTTGAAGCATCTGTTGATTAATGTGAGAAGGGGTTTTGTGGATTTTATAGCAATTTCAATAGTTGAGATCATCAGTCTACTGAAGCTGCTGAGTAGTCCCACAATAGGACGAAACGGCCATCCAACGCTTTCAGGTTTTCCATGGTGGTCTAGCTTCAATTGACTCATGATCTCAACTATTGATATTACTATAATATGCACAAAAAAACACTTCTGATAAAATACATAGTCTCTAAAGTGAATGGATAAGTATTGTAATTTAAAGCATGGTAGAAACATAAATAAAGAGAACAACTTAATCACAGTGGACGATATTGAAGTATGTTGCTGAATCTTTATAACTATAGACAATAATAATTCAAAAATTTAAAATCTCTATGAAGTGCTTGGATAAACGATAAACGGCCAATTCATCAAATAATGGATAGTCTCAATAAAGCTGCTTCCGTGTCTCTTCCAACCCACTATTAATATTATCAGCTAGCAATGTGCTTCAGGGATTCATCAATAAGACAAACGAATTTTGTGACGTAATTCTTTATCATCAGAAGGGGTTTTGTGGAGATTTTAGTAACTTCAATAATTGAAATCATAAGCCAATTGAAGTTAAACCACCAAGGAAAACCTGGAAGCACTGAACGGCCGTTTCGTTCTAGTATGCAACTTTTAGGCAGTGCGCATCCTTGATATTCCCCTCCCGCAAGATTCGAGCCCAGGACCTATCAATCTCGCGCGCGGGCGCCTAATCGTTAGACCACTGAGCGGGCATCCAACGTGGCTGCTCACTGCTGAGGAGTTACGTACCAGGACGAGATGGCCGTCTAAAAATTCTAGGTTTTCCGTAGTAGTCTAGCTTCAATTGACTCATGATTTCAACTATTGATAATACTTTATCATTAAGAAAAAAATTCTGTTGTATCAATATGTTATTTGTTGCTGCTTACTTCATAGATTGTCATATTATCATTATTAATAATAATTACTTTAATTCAAATGAACAAAACAAGTGTTGTCATTGTTGTTGTTCGTGTACACGTGTACATTTTCTAATAATTAAAAATGATAATATATTTCTTTTATCGACCCATCGATACTTATACTACTATTATTATGATTGGTTAAATTAATTAATAAAATCATGTTTCATATTGACTGTAGCTTTCACAATAGTGTAAGAAGAAAAAAAACATCATAAATTGTTTTCTCTTTTTTTTCTCAAGTCACATGATTTATTACCTTACAGTGAAAGTATGTAATTGTTCAGAAGAAAATATATAGATATATATATTTCAATAATGTAATAATGATTTATGGATTGTTTAGTTTTCATATTATATTATCAAATTATAAATGATAACATTGTTACTAATATCAGCTGTCTATCATCATTTTATGTATTAAGTAGTATACTGAATGCCAAAAAATTTTTTTGAAAGAAAAACAGTTTTAAAGGTTATAATAAATAAGTTTGAGTAATTGAGAATAAAGACATTTTTAATATCCATACTTATATAATATATTTTATAATAAAGATATAGTGTGGTGCGTGCTACTTATATTGATATAAGTAGTATATCATGCGAGTCAGGAATGTTATGTCTGGCAGCAGAAGATGGGGAAGATCAAGAAAGGAAGTGCGGGAATAGAAAGCAATTAGTATGGAAATGCAAGAACAACGAAGTTCGAGACACTTATTGAACATTTTGCAAATTAAGTATTATAGTATGGGTTTTCTATTTTACCAAGTAACTCTGTAATGTTGTGTTGAATATAATTCGGTTGTACTCATCTGCGTTCTCGTTCACTACATATTTAAAACTGTTATAAATTTTTGAAGTTTAAGTGTACGTTCATATAGTTTGAATAAAACAAACAAACAGGAGAAATACAGATATTTCTAAATTATATCATGAGCTGATATTAAATTATAAATCTCTGAATACTGACAAAAAGTATCAATGAAATAGATTTTTCTTTCTTCTCGAGCAGTTGTAAATATTTACAGGATCTTATAGAGTTTTCAGATCCTGGGAACAGTAATTGATTATTCAGCTATTTAATCGATTTGTAACATTATAATAACTTTATCCTTAATAAATATAATAATTAATCAATTCTAAAATTGCTATCTTATTTTTAGACGTGAAGCTTTTATGTTTTATGTTGTCTATGACGATCGATGAGTGTTATCATGTTGTTCAGAACAACGATGAAACAATGGTTGAGAGCTCCTCGATTTTCAATGATAATCTTTCCAAGAATTGTCTTCATTATTCACAGAATTATATATATATATATATATATATATATATATATATATATATATATATATATATATACTTTACTGTGTAAACATCAATATGCCATATGTGGGCCTATCATACAATACACCACTAACAATCAAATTTTCTTGAACATTTTCTCTGAACAAACTGAAAAGTTATTTATTCTATTTTGATGATTTCAGTTGTTAATGCATTTAGCGGTAAAATAATTAAACATAAAATTCTAGACTCGTTGATTAGTTTTCGAAAATATAGGAAAAGTTCAGGGAACTACTCATTAGTCAATTGATTACTGACGTTTTCTTTTTAAATTTTTTGCTAAATTTCAGAGTGTTTCTATGCTGAAAATAATTAGTCTGACATTCATAGCATAGGTTAACCGATTTAGATCATGTTAACGGATTTAGAATGATCTGAAATTGATTGGTTGAATATACAGTTTAATCAGATTCTTTAAATTAAGTAAACCCTTTTGACGATGTGTATGTTTATTGTTTTAATTAATGACATTAAAATTTCCGTTAGCTGTTTAAATGAACTTAATGTTAGACAGAATTGTATATTAGATTCAACATGGTCATAACTGATATATGGTTTTTAACTGTGATTAAAGTAGACTTAGGTCTACTGTTATACATCGAAATTTGAAGCTGTTAACTTGTCTACAAATCTATTGATTATTAATTTGAGTTTATTAGACTACATATTTATCAGCATGAAATTCGAAATCAAAATAGTTTTTGATTTTTTACCGATTGATCATTATGAATAACTAAGACAATGACAGATGTTTACCAATCTATAGTAATTCATTTCAGTATGTAATAGAAGACAATACTCTGAAAATTTATAGTATTCTTATTGACGTAAGGCATAAAAAGTGCAGTGTTGAATATTCGGAATTTTTGTTTAGCCTTTATTCTTGAAACATCAAAATTGCCCTAGATTTTATTGTCGTGATTATAGTATTAAAATAAGCTACTCAAATTTACATATAACATTCATACAATCATTGATTTATTTATTGTTCATTAATGTCTTTTATATATGCATATCAAATAAGTAACCAGTCTGTTTTTCAAATCAGTTATATATAGTTGGTCTTGTATTATGTCTGATAATAATGCACTGAATTCTTTTTGTTGGATTAAAGCACAAATATTGATATAAAATATTCGCTTGATAATTAAAAATCAACTGATCAACTAACAAATCTATTTTGTTTAATCACTTATAGGTGTTGTATTAGATTCCAACTCTGGGAAACATGATGGCAGCATAAATGGAATACGATATTTTCAGTGTCCAGCAAGACGTGGGTTATTTTGTCCGATCGGTGACTTGTTCCCAGTGGACCAAAGTAAGTAACTACATATATATATATATATATATATATATAATGACGGATATATTTAGGATTAGTTTTTATCTATCCATACAACTAGGGGTAATTATTTCATTTTTAATTCATGTATAATCATAAAAGGGTTTAGAGATATACTCAGAAAGATAGGTATCCTAAGTTATTATTTCATTCCATTACTGTCTTCAGTTTATTATGTGCATATTAACAAAAAGTTGTCACCTTATTACAGAGGACACGGTTGCTTAATAAACACGGTAACATAAGTAACAAATGCGGAATCATTACCCATTCAAATGTCATAGTGCATTAACTCAAAGATGACTTATTAGTAAAGCCAAAAATTTATAGTATTTACTATTAAACGGTTAAATTAGAGGAAAAGGTTTTCAAGCTGCGTATTAACGCGATATTGCAATGCAATTACATAGTGTTCTCAGTTTTCCAGCCCAACTCATCAAAAGTTTCAACATCTTACTTAGGGAAAGTAGAGACTAAGAATGATGCTTGCCGAAAACATTTACATTATTGCAGTTCAATTCGTTATTTATCAAGGCACATTTGAAGTAAATATGCATTTAACAGAAATTATCAAATTTGAAAGGTTTTCAGGTAATAGTCTTCTGAGATGGATGGTGGCTATTAGTAGGATCTAGGACATGTGTTTCATCCTATTTGGGATTCGTCGACTGGATATACTTGCATTTCTGAGTTGATGTTCACTTTGAGACTCGGACCCGAGTCGGACGAAACGCTCGTCCTGGACTCCACTGCAAGTCACCATCGTCTCTGCTTGAAATGCTTTTGACTTAAGGCAATATTGAGACAATTCGCACTGGATGCACATGTGCCAATAAAAGGCTGATCAAACACAGTCCTAAACATCAATCGGGAGATTCAAAAAACCAATACAAAAATGAATTGATAGTTTTCTTGTTTCAAAAACTCTATAATCCAACTAATCAAATTCATATTTCAAAGTACTTTAAAATAGGATGAATTGTGAGTCAGGAAGTATCACATACATTTTCAAGGATAATTTAGACTAGTTTTGTGTCCAAACTACATGATTTTCAACCACTAGATCACATATTTAAGCTATCTACCTTCTGATTTGGTTCACTTCACGTTATATATCACCCAGTCCATGAACTTGTATTTGCTAGATGAGTTATACTCCAATGATTTAGTGAATTCATTCAATTCATTGTATACGGCATAGTTAAAACTATACATTAACCATCGATGATAATAATCATTGGTTAGCTAGAATCGAATTATTTTAGAAATAACGAATGAAAGCCGAATTCAATTCTGTAAAAATAGTATAAGTTACTATTTTTAATTGTTGTCTATTTTTTTACTGTAAGATTTTAAATATGGTCTGTTGAATTCGCTTCTATGGTTTTCCGATACGCTCACTTTTGTTTGTTTATTTTGTTTTATCCAGAAAACATTTTTTCGAGAAATAGAATTCGACCTAATACTAATTGTGAAGTCAACCAGTAAGTGACTAATTATTACTTAACATGATTGATTGATTGGTCATTAATAGGTGTTTCATTTTATAACATGTTAATTTTACCTCATTTCAGGATTGGTGATGAATTATTATTGATCTGTATCAGAAAATTTTCTTTAGATTACTCTTGTGAGTTTCTTTTGACTAAACATAGATCTTGATCATTGAAAGTTTTCATTTGAAATCAATATCAACTGATCATATCAAGGAATGATTGTTGTTCGTCAACATTTTCAGTGACAGATATTTATTTGATCACAGTGATATAGGCCAGATCTGCTTCGCTACCATCTTTCTACTTATTCTTCTAGTCTTTAATAATTTTTAATGTACCTTAAATACCAGTGATCATTTACAAAGGTTTTCATGTACACGTTGTTGACGTTAAGGTCTCCTATCGATCGGTTTCCATTGGCACATGCACATATCGAGCAAATTGCTTCGATACTGCCATTGTCTAATAGGCTTTAATAAAGTTGAACTGTAGCCAGCATCAGAATCTAGAGTGCGCATTCCGTTCTATTGGGAATTCGTTGACTGAACCTAATTCATAACGTTTAATGTTCATAATGAAACTTAGAGCCAGCGCTTTCGCTTCACACTTTAACACAGTACCTACTGAACAAATGAGTTCAGGTAACTGCTGACTTGTTTAACGAGTATGGATTTTATTTCTAAATGTTTTGCATATCAAGACAACACACTCAAGATGCGCGTGTGGCAGTAGATACTAATTGTTTTCAGACCCTAATACAATAACGGAAAACTAAAAACATTCAAGAATAAAATTCATACCTGTTACACAAACTAGTAGCTACCTAGAATAAATACTTCAGTATGTGAAGTAATTACATCTGAAGCTGAAGATACTGTGTTCACATTTCAGTACGAATATCAACACTGAGATACGAGCATGTCTATCTGACATTCTCAAATAAGAATAAATATACCTCATGAACTCAACTGTTAATCACTTTCCAAATTTCTTGATATCACTAACCAATTTATATATTTTGCGTCGATATATTCAGTAACTATGATGTAACGGTTATCCATTTCGGCTTCATTTTCAATCATTCTCCATCTAACGTCGGTTGAGAACTAAAACTAACTTTAAATGGAACAATATCTGTCAAACGTCAAAACTCAGTTGTTTGTGACATTTATTTTGCATAATATGTTTCTTAACCAACGAGAACTATTTTCTGTTGAGTTCTGTTTTTTTCTGAACCCACTACAGTTAACTTATATTAAAGCAACTATTCGGCTTCTTCATTTGAATGTATTTTTGATTTCTACTGCACGATATTTTAGCTCTTAGTTTAACAACAGATAAGATATCAGTACAAACTGTTTGACTTATTATATTTCTTTAAATGAGATCATGAACCGATTGATGTTAGACTACCATTGAAAATCTGGAAGCACTGGACCTCCGTTTCGTCCTATTGTGAGACTCCTCAGCAGTGCGCATCCACGATCGCGCTTACGGGATTCGGATCCAGGGCCTTCAGTCTTGCGTGTGAACGCTTAACCTGCAGACCACTAAACCGGCATCCAACGGTGTTAATGTCTAACCTCAATCATTACACAGAGTTGCTCAACCATCTTCAATTGTACTGATGTAGATACCTGTCTCTGCCTGACACGGATTAGCTCCACTGGTCATGGCTTCTCACTAGAAACAGCCGTCCAGTACTTTCAGGTACTCAATGGTGGTCAAACGTCAATCAGTTCACGATCTCAATCAAAACCTGAATAATCTCTGTCACCCAGCTTCCCACTTACGAATGTTACAACTGAGCTATCTAACATGCGACTAACCTCGTTTGGAAATAAGATATATTTAAAATTGATTAATCACTAGATATTAACCAATGTTATGTATGTCATGTGCTTTTTAATGCAGATCATTTCTATCAATCAAGTTGTAACGTGACTACTTGTTTAGGTGACTGAACATCGGGTGAATCATATTGCATTTTTAAAATGCTGGTGTCAGCTTAAAAATTTGAGAAGTTAACGAAAGCCAAACAACTTACCTGGAAATCAGGATAAATATTATAATATTAATGAAACAAAATTTGTGTTAAACTTATGTTTTTTCGAGTTATTAGTCGGGTGGTCTTCTTGGGGGTACTGAATTGTTTATTTATACGTAAGTAGCATGCTATTTGGAATGCTACTTTTATGTTTGGCATTGAGAACACTAAGTGGAAATGTTAACGGAAGTATTTTCAATCTGCCATGATCAGAGATGATTGTTTGTATATATGCATGTGTATAGTTATGTTTCTGTTACCTCATCAGTACACAATCAAACCTTTTGAGGCTTTCTTGACACATTTAGAATACGTGAGTAGATTTTTATCTGTGTGACGCATGTTATATTAATAGTGGCAAGGCTAAATAAATAACGGTTAATGTCTTAGATTCCAACTGAAGAATACTGACAATATTTTTGTTTTCATAATGTTCATAAATATTTCAGTTAATCTATAAAACCTCTCCTACAATTAGGTTTGTTTACGGTTAGATTTGTCGAGCACTTTTATTAACTCATTTACCGGACAATGTTATTTGAGTAGTAACAATATGTCTACTACTTTATATTATTATTATTGCTATCTTGTCTGTATGATCATGTTTACTAGGTCAAACGTTACAGTCCACGCATATATCGCTCTCTCTAGCTTAAATGTTAGTCGCTTAAATATGGCATGATGAATTATTCACTTTCCCATATATATGTGCTTGAATCTCATAAATTGGTTCGATTCTATTCGTTTTGACTCTTGATTGGCCTCTGTGATCGCTTAGTCGCGTGCATTAGCTATTCTTTTCAAATTCGCTTGGTATGCCTGTAACTTTGTTTTTTCTAAGCTATTCAATAACAGACTGTAGTCGGGGCTTCCTGTTGACTTCCGAATTAATGCACCGTTGGAATTTAATTAATAACGATTATCACGGTGATCAATAAATGAAACCTAAGGAATTATCTGGATATCAAGCCACTAAAAATCACCATCATCAGCTCCAAATATAATTGTATCATAATCACGAACCAAATAAGTATTCTACTGAAGAGGCGATTACAGTAGTATACAACATTGAGTGGACTAGCATATATTCTTATGAATTTTAGATGTTTTGTTCTACTCTGTTGAAACAACGCTTAAAACTTAATCCAAACTATTTCGTTCAGAACTATTAAAGCTAAACGATTTTAGCATGTCTACTTTACTGATCTCTAGCTGAGACTAGATAATAAAATTATCGGTTCTCAATTTTGACTATATTAACGTAAAATTCTGATAAATCCGACAAAAACGATTAATTTTCCCAATAATATATATCTGGAAAGGTTGTAGCGCAGGTTAGTCCCATTGATGTTTAATTTTAACCGAGTTAAATAAAAGTAAATTCAGGTAGACAAAAATAGATCCACTAATAATTTTACAATGAGATGACTACTATCAATTTAAAATAACACAGTATATTTTTACTCCAATTTACGATTCATATTGTCAGCTATTCTGAATACAATCAATCAGTAAGTTTAAGCAATTGCAAAGGCATCCTCTTAATCACCTCTGCCATTTATTTCAAAGTATGGTATCTTTGTAGAATAACCATTAACTTGGAAAAGAATAAATTGCAACAATTTTTTAAAGTTGTTTTATTAACATTTAAGGTTTGATGGCATGCTTTTATAGATTGAATCCATGCATTTCGCAAATTGCATTTTTGTATACGAAATAAAATATTGCATGCAACTAAAATTCAGTGTTTACATATCATCTTCTTCATAGATATACTTCACTAAATTGAAAGAATCCAGTAGATGCTACTAGATTTTCAAATTATTTACGAATAAGAATATTTGCTTGCTTTAACATTGAGTAATCTAGAAAATACTTTTATGTTTGCTTCATATTAATCGAGAGATAAACCTCACTAGATGTATCCTAATATTTCCGGAAAAACCACAATTTTCCCCGCTTTTCACAATTCACGTCACACTTTTCAATCAAATACGTTATTAACTGAAAAAAATTATCCATTATAATTGTCAAAATCGAACTCATGATTGTCGAAATTCATAACAAGCGCTGTACATTTAAACTAACAACTTGAGAATTTATAAATGATCATACTGTCATCTTGGGTAGAGTTAATTTGCACTAATTATGGCCTCTTACCAAAATTCCATGAATTTATGTTGTATCTTGTCTCTAGTTAGAATATGACTGCTATATTTATACGTAGTGTGCGATGATTTCTTTCCTCAGTTGTTGGCATTATTTAAAGGAAAACTTTTTTGACTAAACAAAAGCATTTCTTTCGCACTATCTGGTAACAAAAATGATTGTTTTCATAAACAAAACACCATTTTTTATTTATAGACTATTTGTTATGTTCTTATGCCCTGTTAGTTACCACATGAATAAATCGTCAATTAGAACACCAACCTATTTGACCATGATACTGTGCTAAATTAGTGACGCGGTAACTAGTATGGGCAGCCTAGAGTCAACCATGAGTCCTTATTGTTTCTTCTCGCCTAGCATTGTTCGTTTGAGTCCAGAATACAATCTCAGCTTCCACTATATGAATCATATACTTCAGGCATACACAGTTTATACACAAGCACATCAGACACCATCATAATATAAAATAGTAAATAACAATTATACAAGATCAGTTCAAAAGTGGCTGTGAGTATGAGAGGCTGAAACTAATAAATTAAGAACAACTTAAGAACAGTAAATCGTATGATAATAGTCAATAGACCAAATGGAGGCTTATAATAAAGGGAATATGAATATACATATGATATGGTTACTTATTAGTTATGTAATAAGAATATACGTGTAGTAACAGCTCGTAAATAATTCCTAGCAGTTATTATGCGTTTATTCTTCGTTAAGCCAAAACGTTCTTTATGTAGAAAAACGTAATCATGCCTCTTTGAAAATTAAACAAATGCTACAAGTGTTTTTGTTCATTCTATGTATTTAAAGATTCAATTTTTTTCAGAATACTTTGAAAGAATAGAAATAATCATTCCTTTACCTGTTTTATTTAAGTATTAAGATGATACTGACATTTTCTGTCATATTAAAGTTGTACTAACCAAAGGATTTCGAGCATATTAATGTTCTGTCTATAAATTTCATTAATAACTATGAAATTTCGTAATATTATTAAATACTATCAAATTACAAGTGAATGTTACACTTGCTTAAGAGACTGAATAATGAATAAAAAGGTTACTTTCACAAAATAACTCATTGACCGACCAGGATTCTAAAGAGTTTTTTCCTAATTCTCTCTTCATTTGAAAGCTGATTTGTTCTCTGCAACGTTAGGTCGTTCCTGATAGTACTGGACAACCCGGTGTATAGTAAAATTGATAAAAATTGACATGCCAGCTGTTCTTTATTTCGTTTTGAGTGACTGGCAGTAAACGTGTGATTCAACCCTACATGAAAACTCTTAACGCAATCCTATTCATATTTTTAATTATACTAATCGATCGATTGATTTGTACACACTAAGATTACATCATAATACACCGGTTACAAATATTACCACTTATGACTCAGAATCAACACAAGATATAATTATGTAACGTTCAACATTACCTTTACACTTCACGTAATTTACGATATGAAGTAAATAATTGTTCCTTTCTTTTTCATTGTTTTCTTTAACCGCTTATTATCGTTATCGTCTTTTATTGCTTAACGCTGTTGGACAGGTCTTTTTTAAGGATGTGCATCCCACAGAGTCTAATAATATGTTGAACATATAATTTTCAAATCAAAAAATGTAAATAATAATTACTATTATTATAATAAATGAATTTTCTGTAGTGAAGGTAATAAAACCAGATTACTGCATTAAAAAAAATAACCTTATAGTTGTATCCAATTTTACAAATCAATAGACCGCATCATTATAAATGAATTTAATTCTGATAGACAGGGAATGAATGATATATTGCTTGCCATTTTATTCACATATTCTTTTTCTATAATAAATCAGTTGACATTGTATTGTATTCATTGTAGATAAAAAATATTGCATTACGTGTTCATTTTACTACGTTAAATATACGTTCTATCGTAGTTTACCGATATATGTTTCTTCTCATACAAAATAATATGAAAGAATTTTTCAATCGCATTATTTATATACTGAGAACAATCTTTATGATAGGACAGTGGCAGATTATTTTTATCAAAAAATGTATGGTTTAGCCTACTAATCTCTCAGTGATAGACAATGATGATTTCTTAGGAAATCTTGATTTCACTTCAGTCCCCGGATGACCTTTTACTCAAATATATATATATATGGATGTATATAGATTTTCCTGGTGAAGGGGATGTTTTTACGCTTATTTAAAATATAATTTAATATTTTTTCCACTCAACTTTAACCATTATTTCAGCAAAAAATGCAAAAATGATTTTCCATTCAACCATAATCCAAAATGTCTAATCATAAACAAGTTAACTAATTTTATTAGACATTGTTTGATGATGAGTGATATAAAGAGGAGATTTCTTAAAAATGGTGATTGAATAACTATGACTAACATTTTCGATTTCAACTATGCATCTGGAAATATCATTTGATGTTCACTGTTACAATGGAATATAAATCCACAGTCTAATTCTATATCTCGATTATTAAACCATTTTACCGTCTACTTAGAATTCATTAAATCGTGTCTATTAATCTCATATTTTCCTGAAATTATATACGCAATTTAAATGACACTGTCAGCCATTTTCTAACTAAATATTTGGTTGATAAAGTATACTCTTATGTTACTAAGAGTTTGGTAAAATAAGTCTATCATTCCTTACAACTTAAAGATTATGAATGGTAAACGAATTGTTTCAGCAAACACTGAAACTAGTTTGATTTTTATTCCGGAAGTGATGTAGGCACAACATCTCTGACTGTTCAGTTAATACAAATTAATGGCAAAAACAAGTAAGATTACATAATGATCTATTGATTGTTAGATCTTTATTCCGTGAATTAGATTTTTGACGTTTGAAACTAAATTCAGTTGAGTGAAAATTCCCATCCAAAAATTTAATTTACAAAAATATAATTTAAATTAATAGTACATTTATTGAACTGTCAACATTCTAGTTTGTACACGGCATTAGTCCACTGAAGTTTAATGATATTTAGATTACTATCAACTTGAAATAATAACACAATAAGCTGAATTGTAGAGTGAAGAATAAGTAATTTGTTTATAAAGGATTTAGATACGTGTATGTGACAGCGTATTTCTTACATTCAAATTAATTATCAAAATCTTATCTTTTGTATACTAAAGCATTTGTCCTGTGATTGATACTAGAACTAGTTATTTTTAAGATTGAACCATATCTCATTTCTCTAATCTATACGTAAATTAAGTTTCACTTTGATTCCAATCAGTTTCTGTTTATGCGGAAGTCAACAGTTAAAAAGATTTATCATTAAATAACTCTAGTGATATTTATTCCATAATATATTTCTCTTATTCTGCTTTTTCCGGTTTCAATGAAAGGAAGCTCAAGTTTCATATCTCTGATAAACGGGCATCATCTAATTCCTTCTATAATCAATTTGACAGATATGACCGTAAACGTCATTCATTAAGACTTCCTAAAACAACAGATAATGCATACTTACAAGAAAGTGGAAAATTTCAGAGATCCTGGTCTGAAAGGAGTACATCTACTGGAAAACTATGGAAAGATTCTGAATTTAGTACCTCCAATCGAATTGTTGAACCCTATGACGTACCAAAGGTAAATATTATGACGTTTGCATAGGAATTTATTTAGATTTTTTCATGTAAATCAATCAAACTGATAATAACTGATCTAAGTAAAAGATTATAAAAAATTTTACACACTGTTCAGTTATGTGAAATTCAAAAGCATTTTCTGAAATAATTAATTAGTATCTTAATTAATGCTCTAATATATAGTCTCGGTTGTGCTTTGCTCTAACTATTGAACTCATAACTTAGTCTAATTGATCGGTGGTTATTAAAATGAATTTAATTGAGAAAATAACTTTCGAAAAATTCCATTCTGCTTTGAGAAAAATCTGCTGATTACTGAGTTCGCGTTTCTACATTACCCATATATATGTTCGGACGTACGACTTGATCCATTATATTAACCTACGATTTTGTATGAAAAAGAGAATAGTAAAATCGTAGAAGTCTCGACATATGAAACATTTAAAACGCACCTATGCCAAAAGAAAATTTATTTTAATACATTTCTATTAATATTTTTATCCGTCAGATAGTGTAATGAATGAACACTTAAGTGGGACAACCAATTTATTATCATATGAAAATTACAGAATATCTTTGTAAACTACGAGAATCATACATTAAATGCTTTATTTGTAAATTTTCCATAAATTCTCCTTTACATTCTGTATGATTCTTCCAATTCAAAATTTCTTCCTATTTCCCGTTCTGTTTTCTTCTATTCGATCTTCTTAGTCTTCTGTTGCCAACCATTCAACTTTTGATTGTTGTTGCATACTACTTATGTCTGTCGTCATAATTAGCATACACCACAATATTTCAGTCATATTTTCTTGTTCAGTAGTAATGTTAGCACGTATGATAATTTTCTCATGATTTATCACTATTTCTTCAATTTCTCATTTTTATTGTGTACATCATCATTAGTATTTACTTTTAAGTAACCTATTCGAGACTGTACAAAAACAAAGACGTGTATGTATGTATGCGTATATATATATCACTTGAAAATAAGTATATAGACTAACTTATTATAAGATGTCGCCAAGTGTATACGTCTGTGACAAGAACATAGAAATAGTAATGAAAATAAGGACTAACAATAAAATGAAAAAGCTGTCTCTGAATTTCCGTGTTAGCTATATATTTTTATACAAAATGAAACATACATTTTGATTTCTTTCAATCTGATCAACTTGTATCCTTTTGCTACAACTAGATACAATTTTATCTATAAAGTTCAGATTCCATCCAATAAAACAATGTTTCTTCTTAATCAAAGTATGAGTAAAACGTATAAATCTTCCATTCGAATGTTCAATTACTTTCAATTAAGAAGTATCGCTTAAAGTTATGAGTTCTTATTTCTGTACAAATCAGCTTTCTTGAATTATTTCATTTGAATTACTTTGTTCTAACTAAACTTTATATTCATTACCATAATTGAATAACTAGAAAAATTAGAAAATGTGTATTTTTATAAAATCATTATTACTTACTTACTTACGCCTGTTACTCCTCGTGAAGGAGCATAGGCCGCTCACTAGCATTCTCCATTCAACCCTGTCCTAGGCAATCCTTTCCAGCTCCTTCCAGTTCCTAATCATCTTTTTCATATCTGCTTCTATTTCTCGGCGTAATGTGTTCTTTAAGCTTCCTCTTTTGCTCTTCCCTTCGGGATGCCAAGTTAGGGCTTGCCTCGTGGTGTAGTTTGATGATTTGCGTAATGTACGTCCTATCCATTTCCGTCGTCTTGTCCTAATTTCCTCTTTAGCTGGAAGTTGGTTTGTTCTCTCCCAAAGAAGTCTGTTGCTGATGCTATCCGGCCAATGGATGTTGAATATCTTGCGTAGACAGCTATTTACAAATACTTGTACCTTCTTGATGGTGGTTGTTGCAGTTCTCCAAGTTTCAGCTCCGTACAGTAGAACTGTCTTTACGTTCGTATTGAAGATTCTCACTTTGATATTGGTTGAAAGTTCTCCTGAGTTCCACATGTTCTTCAATTGTAGGAATGCGGCCCTTGCTTTGCAAATCCTCGCTTTTACGTCTGCATCTGAACCTCCTTGTTCATCGATTATGCTTCCTAGGTATGTGAAGGATTCTACATCTTCCAGAGTTTCGCCATCAAGAGTGATTGGATCGCTGTTGTCCGAGTTGTATTTGAGGACCTTGGTTTTCCCCAGCAAATCATTAATATTACCTCAAAATGATAATTATTGTGATGAACGAGAACTCATGTGGAGACAACCAAATTATTTGTTAATGCAAAATTACTGAATGTCATGATAAAATATGGAATTCATATATTAGATATTTCATCTGTAAATCTTCCATCAACTATCCTTTACATTCTGTATGATTCTTCCAATTTACAGTTCCTTTCTATTCCCCTTTCTGTTTTCTTCGATTCGATCTCCTTAGCTTTGTACTGTCAGGTTTTCTACTTCCGATTGATGTTACATACTGCTTATGTCTGTCAACATAAGTAGTATACACTACAATATCACATTTTGACAATAATTCCTCTTAGTTGAGACGAAATCGAAATTAAAAGTATTTTACTCTTTCAATTAGATATATATAAAATATAAATAAACTCATAAGTAGAAACATTTTACAAATTGTTCATTTAATAAGCCAATCTTTTGTTCAGTGTTCATTAACTGGGAAAAGAAGCAAATCATATCTAGTATTCAATATTGGAAGGAAAATATTTTTCAGCGAAAACACGTGAACAAAATAAAAGTTATTCTTTATATTTTTGAGGAAAAACACAGACAAAATGGCTTCTTTAATGGAATTCGATAACCATTTGTTCTATATAATAAGTTAATTACATAAATCTTGCTGTGGAGGTGATACTGATGAAGTGTATTGATACAGAATTTTAGACACAAATTTTTATTGACAAAATTTGAAATAAGGGACTATAGATCAAAGGTTTTTCAACCATATTTAATAAATAATTAGATATTTATATATCAGGAAGCACTAGACTACTCTTTCATCTCTGTATGGGTTTCCTCATACTGCTCATTCACAAACTTACCAAAGAAATATGCAAGTTTTAATATGACGTACCAAAGTATATATATGTTAAATGCAGCAAAGAGATATCAGATAATAATATAATTCTGTTTTTGTTGTTCCAGCTCATTCACTATCAATATAGAGTGAAAACTTTAGAAAAGGGAAATACTCTTAACGATAAAATTATCCACAATAATGAATATTTCTTGAATGAAGTTTTATACTACAATCCTAATAAATTAACCAATGTATTATCATTTAGATTATATTACATCATTTAAGATTTTTTTTCTGGTAGACCACAACTATCTTACAATAAACGCTGATCAATGTAACGTGAAATTTTAAATATATCAGTCACCGTTAGTAGTTTTGTCAGTTTAAACACGGAACGTTTACAATATAAATCAATCATATTGTAAATAAAATTAATCAAAATTCTATAAGTTAGAGAGTTTTTTGACAAATGTGCCGACCGCATTTCGTATAAACTTACTATCGATTTAAAAATACTTTAAAATGGACTATTTCATTATACTTCAATAGTTATTCGATTGATAGGTATGTAAATAGTTAAGAGTCTTGAAATGAAGCTTTTAAATTTTACACAGAACACATTGTTATTCATTAAACCAAATGCATAAAGATATACTTAAATTTGTGTATGTTAACAATTCCATTATGTGTGATTGATTAAATCGACTTCATTCATCAAGTTTTTGGTTTCAGTATTACGTTACAGACTTATAAACTGGAAATGAAAAATAAAACGAATTAGTTCGTCAACATACAACAAGCGTAACTAGCACTGGTGCGAGTACTTTATTATAAAGTTACTTGAAAGCTATCCAAAATATTTTTCCTGATATGGAGCTGGTTTTTTGTTTCATAAATAATCTTCTTATGGACAGTCATATATATAACTTTCTTCATTTTGATCTTATAAATTATTCAAAATGATTAATCAATTTGAGAAATCATGATTGAAAAACTTGACTCTTAATGAGGTGATTGGAATTGTTGTCTTTTTGATCCTCTTGATTTTTAAAATAATTTGTTTAATGAAAATAATGTTACTATGTACTCGGTTCCTTTTATATATTTCAGAAAATCCCTCATTATAGTACCCATGTACCCCTTTTTGATGGAGTTTTGTTCTCTGAACTGGATGGTTTGGTCGTGGAGCTTTCATCGTTCTTCTGAACGACATCATCAGCACAAGCTTCAGATAGAAGTGAAGTGTTCGAATTTCTCCATATGCGTTTCACAGCTTGTTCTGTACACCTCGAGGTTGATTGGTTCTTATTGACCTTAAATTTGTCATTGTTTACTTCTTTGTTTTGGTTGTGTCTCCCATTGGTTTGATTTTTGTTCCTATATTTGTGCATAATTTTCCTGATTGGTTGATAAATTGGATCGATTCTAATGTGCTTGTTGATTGCTGACTGACCTGATTGACACTTCGCTTCTATCTGAAGTTTGTGCTGATGATGTCGTTCAGAAGAACGATGAAAGCTACACGACCAAACCATCCATCTCAGAGAACAAAACCCCATCAAAATCATCCACATGAGCTACAAATCATCTCCACCACCCATGTACTCCTAATTGATGTGATATTTTTAAGTGAAATCTATCTTAGGTATGTATGAACAAATAATAAGCCAGAAAACATGTGTTCTAAAGAAAAGGGATTAAGAAGCTGTTTTGTTGTGCTTCAACATTAACATTTTCTATTTAAAAAATATACTTCATACTTCAATGCTATTCATAGTAAATTGAGATACAGAGTTTAGTCTCAAAATAGACTTAGGCTTTATATTTTTGAAAATTACTCGATTTTAAGTTGATTACTGCAAAATCTCTACTCAAAACCAATACACGTTTTTGCAAATCAAATTGATTATAAAGCCGTACTTTGCCATGTAAATTTAATCCCAGTGTCAATAAATAGATTATTGGATAAACATTAATAAAGCATATGTAAGATACACACTTATTTTTAATTCTAATAAAATATCCAAAATCTCTTTTGTTGTCCGACATGTGTCCAGAAGAATGTGAGATTTCTTTTGATCGTTTTTAACAGGGATTTCTTATGAGGTACTTGAAAAGGAAATTGGATAAGAGGTGGTCTTAGTGACCTGGGAGCGTGACCGCAGCGTTCAAGGGACAACTGCTTGAGGTCGGTCACACACGACCTTTTTATGGGTAATTTTTGTGCTAACTCCGTACTTGTTGAGATTTTACCACCGGAGACAGATATCCGAGGGATAAGGCGAGGTGTGCATTTTTAGGGTCGACCTTTCCTAACCACACCCCTCCTTGTGGAAAGGTAGCATCGCTGTCATGCTGGTTGTCTGAAGGAAACACCTTACTGCTATCACACCTCTGTACAGTCAACGGTACGACTTCGGCTTCGGACCTTGGGTTTGTTGCTTTTAGTCTTACTGCTCTTCAACCGACCTGTTTGGCATGGTAGGACCTTGAGGAACGGTTGTTCCAGCCAGTATAATTCGGTTGCTTCATCATGATAGGCGAGCCCGACCACCACGTCAAGGTAGCAACAACGGTCGGGTCGTTTTTAACTAAAACATACTTTACGATCACGTGATCAACGAAAGATGTAATACCGTTTCTTCATAGAAATTGTTAAATATACAATTCATCTAGTTTAACAATAAATTGTCAAAATTACTTAATTCAATTTTTTAAAGTTAACTATTCAATTCGCTTGTTTTTCTTTTCTTTTTGTTTGTTTATATGAATAGGAAATAAAAGATCATCGATATAATACTCTACCAGAATATTCAAATTACTCTTCAAATAATACATCATTATCTAGTTTACATTTTATTCGAACCGGTAGTCTTTCTAAAATAAAACAAAATTATGAATTTAAAAAAAGTAATACTATATGTGGTATTAATTCAATTTCTTCTACATCAAAATTATATGATCAACGTCACAGAAATAGTTTAAATAATAATAATAATAAATTAAACTTATTCAATTCAAAATATTCTTCTAATAAATTGTCAACATATACATCCAATTCATCTTTATTCAATGTACAATTTAGAAATTCTTTAAAATTAATTAAATTAAAAACTAAATTCAATAAATATTCTATTGAACAATTAATAAATAATAATTTTAATAATAAAAATGATCATATACAACAGAATTATTTATTGAATGAAAATCAATTAGTTCTTATGAATAATGTTATTCATTGTGCACAAGAAAGATTAAATGATTTACAAAATCAAGTTTTACAATATCATGAAATGAATGTGAAATTAACAAAACAATTAACATTTGTTAAAATGTAAGTGATTACAATACTTTTATTATTATTATTATTTGGGTTTGATGAATATATTGCATCATCTGTAATCCAAAATGTTCTAGATAATTGATTGATTGTAATTTATGTTTTTTTCCAGTTATACATGATAATGATACTGTAAAGGATAGAACTTGGAACATTGTCGTCAAGTATACATAGAGTGAATTTGTATTTACCACTTTAATTACGTATATTCAAACATTCAGTTAAAATCATAAAGATTTAAATAACATTTTATCATTGGAATCTAACAGTATGGATAGTGTTGTGTCTTTATGTCCGACGTTTTATCACGTGATTTATCCACTAATCAAAATACGACTTATACAATCTTCGCACTCAACTAGACCAATGATGTTCGACTGGTATGAGGAGCTTAGCGTCCTTATTGGTTCTATGTTCGCTTAGCCCGTCCAGTTGAGTCCATCACACCAATAACAGCTAACACTATGCAAATTATTTATTTCAAACCAAACAGACAGCAATGCACCATAAAATAGGAAATAACATTCATACACAATAAAGCCAAAAAGTGACTGTGAACTTGTGAGGAAGCAGTCAGTAAACTGAACATAGCTTAAGAACCGTAAATCGTACAATAATAAATTATAAGTCAAAATAAAGCTTATAATAAGATAAATATAAATATACAAAATTTAATTACTGAATAATTATACCATAAGAATATATAGATAATAATAGTCCATTAATAAGTCTCAGACGTTACTCGTGACTTAATCTTCGCTAGGACATAACAGATAGAATAGTGGGATATTATTTCGTTATAAGCTCATGTTTGTTAAAAGATAATTGGCGTTATTTTTATATACTAAAATATTTTATACGTTAGTATATATATATATATATACATCAGTAAGTTTTACTCATTATAAGATGCTTCAAGCAAAATATGAGAAATTAAAAGTTGATTTAAAACATAAAACTATTGTACTTGATTTACAAAAGCTATATTCTTAGCATTGAATAGAAATAGTTAATCACATTTAAATCTATTTGAAGTCATTATTAGTCAGATCGGCGTTTTCTTAGATTATTGTCTTTTTTAAGTAATATCAATTCTTATCTGTTATCTAGAAGTAAACATATGCAAATAACTGGAAAACACAACAGTATTATCATCATTTAACAGTAAATCATGATTCCTAAAATAGAATAACTAAGAACTAATTTACAAATTTCATCAATCTTTTTCATCATTTTCTTCGTATAAGTTGTTCTGTAAATCTTGAAAGACGCATAATATCTAATTTGCAAGACAAAGTAATGACACATAGTGTGTGACTTAAAAACTCAATTCTGTGTGTTTTATTAGGCACATTTACAAATAATTATAATTCAGCTTTAACACTGGACTTGTGATAAATATTTTGTGTTTTTCAGTATACAAATTAAATATATATTTAGGGAAAGTTATTGAATAATTAAAAGATGAAGCGAAGTACCTTGCCAGTTATTATCATTTTGTTTTTTCTATCTAAAAAGATATTCTGATTTTATTAGATTATTCAGCTATCAAATCATTTTCTTATCATTGCTAGTAATCTCACGGTAGTCTTAAGCTGAATTGCCAATCTTTTGGCAAAAAATCTTTATTAGAAAAATACGTAACTTACTACTTCAAATTGTAACAGATATAATTATAGTTTAAAGAATATTGCAAACATGAAAACTAAGTAAACCTAGGCAAAAATCGATCAGTATACTTTTTTAAAAGTATGTGAGCTGCACAAGCGCACTTATTTGCTTACTTATTTACGCCTATTACCCCTCGTAGACGAGCACAGGCCTCCCACCGGCGTTCTCCATCGAAATCTGTCCTAGACAATCCTGTCCAGTTGTCTCCAGTCGCCATTCATTCTTTTGGCATCTGCCTCCAATTTTCGATGCATTTTGTTCCTTGGTCTTCCTTTTTTCCATTTCCCTTAAGGGTTTCAAATTACCTTCTGCTTCATGATGCAGTCTGAAGTTTTCCGTAATGTATATCCTATCAACTACTATCGTCTTTTCTTAATTTCCTCTTCAGCTGGAGGTTGATTTGTTCTTTCTTACGGCAGACTGTTGCTGATAGCATACGGCCAACGGACATAGAGTATCTTGCGTAGACGATGTTGGCTCCGCCTAAAGACCTTCTAAGTTTACTGCCGGTCTCAAGTTTGTGTACAGGAGGAAGGTTAGACATGGAGTCAGAAACCTCTTTAGCGTAGAAATAAACAACTACACACATATATAAAAATATACTTACAAACGAATAAAAATACTGGTCTGTAGTTTTACAGATCATCCTTTTAATTTTTTGATGTTCCTAAAAAGTATTTTATTCGAAATGAATATATTTAAAGTAGACATACAATAAATAATGAATGTAGAATTATTCCGTAAACAATTTTTCCGATGACAATAATGATACTTGATATAATAGAGTATTGATAAATACATATTGTTTTATACTGAAGACTATTATATCAACTTTCATTTGTGGTCAGGCAAAGAAAATTTCCCTAATATGGTTTAGACAAGAAGTAGTCCAATAAACTTGATCCATTAAGATATTATTTATAGCAATTAAACATTTTCAAATTGTTTAATTGGTATTTAAGAAAATATATAAGACCGTTTTGATTTCATAACCAAATACTTTTGTTTTAAAAATATTCTATAAATAAATAAACAATAAATGTGTTTCTCGATTTCGTGGATTGGTTGAAGTTAGACATTAACAACGTTGGATACCGGCTCAGTGGTCTAGTGGTTAAGCGCTCGCGCGCGAGATCAGAGGTCCTAGGTTCGAATCCCTCGGGGGGCGGGATCGTAGGTGCGCACTGCTGAGGAGTCTCACCCTAGGACGAAACGGCCGTCCAGTGATTCGAGGTTTTCCATGGTAAACTAGTTTCAATTGACTCATGAAACCAACCATTGAAATAAAAGTACCTCAATTTTTAATTAAACTTATAACTGAATGTTCATCAATTCATAATTTCATTATCATGGCATTAAGTGATCAGTTGTTGTAGAAGCCGCAACAAATTACTTTAATAATTCACTTTAATAACAAACTTTTTATTTCTTCTAACTAAATGATAACCTATGTATCTAACATTTAGACATTGAATCGCTAACCTTCACTCAGCATTTTTATAACAAACTTTGAAATGAAACACTTTATAATCAATTACTTTGCAGTCAGTTTACTCGATAAATCGTTAAAAGTGATTTACATAATAAATGGTAATGTTATTTCACATGATATTGTAAATATCGACAAAACGATGATGAAAACGTATTGTAATGCCTTCAGTCACTCAACATCACAAGCATTTTTTTTCGAATTTATTTTAACAAAATAAATATGTTATTTACTCATAAACTGTATATATAAATATTTACTTTATGGAATAAACGCTGATGATTTTGTCCAGGACGATAGTGGAAGTCTCACAATTAAACCGTCTAGTTTTGTGAATACAACACCGCCAAAAGCACCCAATTGGGCTACAAATTTTAGCCAAACGTTTTGAATATTATTTTTTCATGACCTTCAATATTACCATTGTTTACATACTTTTTCTATGGTCATCTAAAATCAAATTCATGAATGTGTTTCAGTACTAATCCTTTTGAACTCAGTATATGCTTTACCAATTATCATATATGTGTATATGAGAGTTGAAAATTTATATGAATATTCGCTTAAACTTAGATCATTTTTAGCTGTTATTCAGTTGTGTAGGTACTCGTTTTTCAAGGAACAAACCGTTTATTTGTATTTCTATTCATACTAGACTTTTATGACAATTATTTATGAATAACCACTATCAATAATTTCATTCCAGTTAAGCTACATAATTTTGCTTTGAAGTTCGTCCCTTCAGCTCCTAAATCAACAGATTAAACACGTATTCAATATCATTCTAATATTGAAATTTACAGAGTGACAAATTCAATACATTTCAGTTCATAAAGAATACTAAAATATGAAACCAACTAAACTGGTACTCATTTTTTATTGTTTGTTTGAATCATCTTTTCCTAAGCTGAAATTATTTTTTCTTCTTTCTGCCGAACTGAGTTGTTATACAATAAAATATTTGGTCCCACTATTTAAGTGTTTGCTTTGTTCATGAAACTGTTATACTTTACTCCCTTCGAGCAAGGCTCTGTGAAATTATGTATTTATGTAAATATCACTAGCTGTTTGTAAGGTAAACAGTGGTTGATTTAACATAAAATGATACGAAAAAACCATAAAACGGCCAAAATCTTTAATTTCAAAGTTTCTATCCAAAAGCCGACTGGACTTCCATAAAATTTCAATCACATTAGTAAAGCTTCGAATTAATTTCAAACTTCCCATTGAATAATACGAAAATAAACTATCAGTCATCTATTGAATTTCAATATATATACAGTAGCAAAACAGTTTTGGTAATATTACCCTTCCAATGGATATTATTTCTTGATCTTTTACTCTTTACAGTTTTTGTATTTTGTTTTGATCAAAAATATATCTTTATGCTTTCGACAATCAGTTTACAGTACACTTTTTAAAGAGAACATTTTAAATGACAAGCTTTGTCATTTCATTTCATAATAGTTCACAAAGTTAAAACAGTGATTACTGCATCGAAATTCTTCAAGGAGTCATAAATAAAACCTCTGTCACAAATTACAACTTAAAAAAGTATTGAACTGAGACTGGTGAAAGCAGTTTGCAAAATCATCTTGTAAATTTCATATAACACATAATTAACATTCTGCAAAGAATAATTAAACTGAATCTGTACTGTAAATTATCTTTAACTATCATTTAATTTGTGAACTTAAAAATTACAGTTTCTTTATCAGGTTTCGTTAGTTCAAATACTTCGCAATAACTTTTCTTTATAAAAACAATTCCTAATTCACTTATTTGTTGAAATACAAATGAATAAACATTTTCAATGTTATCTTTCTCTTTATCATATGATCTATAGTGTTAGTTTGAAAAAGTATTTTATTTTTTAGTAGAACAATCAAGAAAAATGATAATTATTCATCCTTTTATATTTATTAATCAATCAACGAATTATTTTAATTAATAAGACCATATATAACAAATAGACCACTGAGCCAGCCGGCATCCAACGATGTTAATGTCTAAGTTTAACCAAGCAAATCGTGGATGGGCACAGCTGAGCAGTCCCACACTAGGACGAAACGGCTGACCAATGATTTAAGGTTTTCCATGGTGGTCTAACTTTAACTGATTCACGAATTCAATTATCGAATTACTATAACATCAACAAAACCCCTCTCTGAATATATATATAATCTCGTCTACAATATGATGTAAATTACTTTTCTGTTTTTCAATTTGGCTATAGATGTCAGCAAGAAATTTTGTGTAAACTTGGTGAAGGACCAAAGAATGATGTGTGTGAATCACAGGTAAGCTTCACTATCGATTTGTTGATTTTTATTCGAATTAATATACGTAGCATAAATTTTAACTAGGTAATCATCATTCTATTGGTTTTCTTTCAAAATAGATTTGGTTTAATATTTACTTACTGAAATAGCATTGTTGCATAGAAAACTTGAACATTTTACTTGGGTGATCATATTTGTAAATTTTACATCGTTTAGACTTTCGATTTTCAAATTAAGTATATTATGACATTATAGTTATAATATGAGTTAATATAAGCAAAGATGGATAGTGGCTAGCAGTGGGTTCCAGGACGCGTGTATCGTGCTATGCACCTTCATCCCAAAATTCATGTTCACCCCTGGGTCCGAGTCCCGGAGTTAAAATCAACTCTGAGATGTAGGTACATCCAGCTGAAGAGTCCCGAATAGAACGAAACACGTGTCATGGATTCCATTGCTACCCACCATCCATCTTTGCTTATAGTGCTTGTGAATTCAGGCAATGTCAAGGTAATTCTCACGGATGCACATATGTCAATAAGAGACTGATCAACTGCAGTCCTAAACATCAATGGGAAGATTCAAGTAAACATTGGCAAGTGAGTTATTCTATAACATTATTTCTGCAGGTTTGACAATTTGTTCAAGTTTGCTAACTGAACAATGGTTTATTTAGACTGTGTTTATATGAAGTTCATTCTTCGTCATGGTCTCATTATGACAAGCAAATACATTGGAGAAAAATTAGAATCGAACGAATAAACTAGTGTAAGCTGAGTTTGGTTTAAACTCAACTTTATGCTATGTTTTAGGCTTAAGATTGTGAAAACTGTAAGACATTTGGTAATAGCATTATTAATTAAAAATGATTTTCACAATTTGCTTGAATGAGAGAGAGAGGTTGTAGAATGTTTCGTTTGTAATTTATAAATGTTTTCTGATTGGGAGTACTTTTTCGGGAAAGTCAATTTAAAGTACATTTTCTTAAAAATGTATATACAGTAGACGACTAAAAGATTTCATTCAAACTTTTTGATAGTACTCCATGTTATTTATTGCCATTCTTAATTCTTCAGTCAATTATATCTCCATATGATTAGCTTCAGTAGAGAACACCGTCAATTGTACCAGCTTTAATTTCTTAAATTTCATTGTAAAACACCTGGAGAATCAAGTCCTTTATTCTTTGAATTTAACACATTGATTAGGTCTAACCACTGATCTTTAGGTTTTCTCGAAACGGAGTGAGATATTAAGGTGGAATAACAACCGTGAATATCTGACATTATTGAGTAAAATAAAGGTTTAGTTATAAAAGCTATGATATTTTAACTAAAGATGTACGTAGTATTTTTCAAAACTACATACCTTTTTGAAATGTTGCTGAAGACATTTTACAAATTAACAGTTAATATTTTCTCATTTGTTTTCCGTAAGTATTTAGGTGTGGGACAATATGAAGTCCTAGACAACATGTAGATCTGTTTTTATCTGTGTCTACTGTCAAAATTGGTAAAATCGCTTAAAAATTCCGAACAGTAGTTAATGAAATAAATGACATCCTCTTTTCCCTCTTACAGATCTCTGACAACCAAAGCTTTATCAAACCAGAGGAATAATGTTTGTTAACGGCTGCTTACTTTCATACTAGAAACCTTTTTAAAAAAGTATCATAATATAGGACTTTGTTAATGATACTTAAAGCAGCTTCACGGTGAAACATGTATAGTCTCAGATCGAAAAACTAAGTACTTCCTGTGTGAATTCAAATGATCAGAAGTGAAAGATAACGAAATTAACACCTGCACCGGTGTATAAAACAGATTAGAGAAATAATTACGCACCAAAATAAATTTGATACACACCAATAATGGGTAACTGTATACATTGTCAGATAATGTATTGACCAATACAATATTCTTTATCGCTAACGGTTCAATGTTCGTTTTCGGAATTCAGATTAAACAATTAATACTCGGAGAATTAATTTAACTGATACAATTTTAAGTTTCATGCCAAAGTTCTTCTACAATTCTATCAAATGGTAGGATCCCTAAAATATTTTAAAATGTTACTTATTAAGTTCTATTGGTCAACTTAGTGTCCATGATAATTCTCAAGGCATTCAGTATTACATGGCAGAGTGGTTTAGAGAAGCAGTATAGTGAAAATGACTAGTCACTTATTCGCCTTTATAAAAAAATGCTGTTAGCTGTTTTTTACTGCTGTTTTAGTTACTAATCTCGTGATAACTTTTAGTTGTTCACTACTTTACTAAAATATTCATTCTCTTCTGATTAAATGAAATAATACGGAAGGGAGTAGTGATTAACGATATGACCTTTTCAAATTTAGGTATGCTTATGTAATAAACATCCTACTCTTTCTTTTAGTACACAATTAGTCAATCACAAATTTATAGAACTCATAGTTTTAAGTAACCATGCCATTTGAAATCGTTTAGTGGAAACCACAAAATACTTTTGGAGATTTCATGTCATCTTACTTATAGGATATAAACGTATCACTTTTCAGTACATAATATGGTGCCTAACGATCAAATATTCGAACTATTAGGTGGCTGTTGAAATATTTTACAACTCATTAAAGAATGCATAGTACTGTATAGAGTCACAAAATTGTTAGTGATTATCGCTAATCCACTTGACATAAAAACATTAAAAAAAGAACACAACCGATAATAAACTAGTCCTCTCGATTCAATGAACAAAGATAATTCAGTTGAGGCGAATAACTAAATTATCAACTGCTCATTCTATAATAGTTTGATTCATTAGTTTTTATTTCATTTACCCACAATTACACACATATACTTGTTTAATGACTACTTTTTTTAAAACTGTAAACAGCAAATAGATCAACAACAAAAACAACGAATTTGTGAAATTAAACATAAACTTTTTCTAGAATATGAAAAATTACAAAATTTGGCAAAGAACTTTTCTGCGCTAAAAATTACCAATATGGATATCATTCCAAAGGTTGTATATAATGGCCAAAATTATAATAAGCAAACTATTCTAAACAATTGTTATAAGGAGGAAAATAGTGTTGTTATGGCAACTGTTCATGTGAGTTCAATATTCCCATATATATATATATATATATATATATATATATATATATATATATATATATATATATATATATGTATATATATATATATATGCTTTGTGATTTTTACACTTATTTTAAAATTGTACTTTTATTTTACCAACATTTATTTTTACCAATCTTAGTTTAAAAAGTTTAATTCAGAATGATTTTAAAATAACTACTGAAAAATAGTTAAATGTTAAAATAAAATATTCAGTCTACAATTGAATGATTGTTTAAAGGAAATAAATATAAGCGAAAAACAGTGAACATTCTTTAATTAATCTTTTTAAATCGATGTATATTGTGGATGTCCCAAAGTTGTAATGGATAGCTGTAATATACAAAATAATATGAGTATTTTTGTAACATGACCATTTCAGATTATAGTCAATTTACACTACCATATGAATAACATGGGATTAGATAATATGTTATCCAATATCATTTTCATGCAAAATATGAATTTTTTAGCTTTATGCTCATATTTGATTACAAGTGTTCACAAATAAATAAAAGAGAAACACTATATATTCCAATGTTTTATAGATGGCCAACTTTATATATACCATGTAAATACTTCAACTAAGGAGAATCAAAGTAGACTTTTCATACTGTTATGATGAGAATATTGTCTTTGATATGTTTGGATCGAAATTTATCTGATAATTTTGAAGTTACAATGAATTCATTTACAACGGCTCTATCACAGAATATGAATAATTACTCGTATAAATAACGTATTAATAACAAATATTATTGTATTGCAGAGAAGTGGTTTAACTGTACTTTTTTCGACATATGAATCACATCACGTTTGTAAATAAAAATGCTTTTACTATATCATGCAAGATTATTCTCTCAGTACGATTAGTTATATAATTTAGGTACTTTTCTCAGCTTTAGAAGTTCAATTCAATATGCTTTCCCACTAATGTGGTGTTCTTATGTTTGACTACGATTTCCGTAACTATCTTCAGTGCAAACAATCATACCTGGTGAAATTAAGTTGTTCTTCTTCTCTGAGACTAGTTTTTACTACACACAATCATAATTTCGAACAAGGTTTCTAGAATATAATGAATTCCTTATTGTGAGAAATTGTGAGTAGAGTCTAATTTGGAAATTCACATAAGAACCTGTGAATTAGCATTAATGATCCAGAATTAAAATGTGTCTAACGAGAAGTTTTCCATTTTGTGTATTTTAGGTTAACTGATATATTTTTTTGGCTTTGATCCTACTTTACGTATAGGCCACGCGAAACTGTAGGATATACTTGACATTGATCAAAACCTTTTTATCTGAATAGAATTTCACTACTTTTAATCTGTGTTAATGTAACCTACAATATCAAACTAAACTTAAATAATTACACTGTAACCTTACAGTATCTTGATAATAAGTTTTGCTTTTAGCAAGTTAAATCGTCATTTATCGTGAAAGATGTGTTGATTGAAACTGATGAAATCGGTTAGTTAGTGTGATTCATATTTCATGAATTGTATTGCACAATCGTCTCATATACACCTAAAGATATATTTATTAGAAATTTGTTGACTATCTGTGAATAATGACATTTTCATAATAAACTCTCATGAATCTGTTACATTTTAATTTCACAATTTCTTGACCTTATCGTTTCTAATGTACACGAGTGGTTGTTAAGAGAATTTGAGTTCATCTAGTTTATCTGTTCAGCTCTTATCATTATATTATTCTTGGTGTAAAATACTTTTTCTTTTAAATAAATAAACAGTATTTAAAACACTAAACAAAACTGGTAGTAATCACTTATATCGAGTCAATCAATACATAATTATATTGTAGTTAAGAACAGTAAAATTATTCACTACACAATTGATTTTTTTGTTGTTTTATCATGAAGAATGAAACATGAATATATAAATGAATTGAATAATCTGCTACTATAGTAGATACTTATTCGATTTTGGATAATCATAGTCAACAATATAATATCTATCTTAATGTTTAAATTACATCTAGAAAGGATCCAAATATTCATCAAAAAATCTAAATTCACTTTATATTAATAATAATAGTACTTAGAGTTTTTCAATGTTTCACTTAACAATTCATTACACTAGCAACAGTAGATGATTTATAAAATTTAGTTTACAGGTATGAAATTAATTTAAAGTGTAGTTCTACTCTAATTGAGTTATGATATATCATTGCTAACAATTATATAACCGCGGTTAATTCAACATTTACCAAACAAAATCTATGTCAATTTAACTATTCTCTCAACGTTTTTTTTTTTGTAGTTAGTTATAATGTAAGTTTATGAGACTTTAAATCAATACAATTGGATACATAGAAGTACAAAAATAAAACCAGCAGAAATTTGTCCAAAAATCAATTAAACTTAAAATGTTTATTTTTTTTAAAAAAAAAACAACAAAATATGAATATATCTAATGATTGAGTTCGATTCTTAGTAAACAATGTAGCATTTTTGAAACAATTACCTTTGTTGTATTACAATTTTCTTCATTGAGTAAGTGACATATATATTACTACTCATCGTAACTATGAGGAAATGTGTTTGATTGACATTAATTAGAGTTGATTATTTAAACAAATTAATATGTAAAAGTTTTATCTAAAGATATTTGTTTACAAATTACAATAAAACAACACTTAATCAACATTGAGTAGCCAACACTGTTATGTTTTCAAGTTCTTACTCATGATTGAATTCTTTTGATCCTAATATAAACTGAACACTAAGTCAAGTAACTCATTTGATCTTTGGTTGACTGAAGTCAATTTACAAAAGCTCTGTAATTACATTTTTACTTAAGTGATATTATTCACCTAAAACTACATACAATCTAGATTAGAATAATACTTCTATTCACATCACTCATTATCGAATTCAGAAACACTATCATCACTGAAGTAAACAGCTTTATAATGAAAATATTAAATTTTTTCAGTCATCTGACATTAACTAGTTATACAAATGTTTAAGATGTTTGACTAAGTTCAGATGAAATGGTCGTAAAACATTTAGACAATGGATAAAAGTTATTAATTATTGTTGCGAATTTGTTTGTTTTTGGTGGAGTTTTGTTCTCTGAGCTGGATGGTTTGGTCGTGGAGCTTTCATCGTTCTTCTGAACGACCTCATCAGCACAAACTTCAGGTAGAAGTGAAAAAACAAGACAAAATTAGTTACGTTAAATATTCAACATTCAATATGACTGACCATAACTTGCATAAAAGTTTAATAAACCTGATGAAAGCATAGACAAATCATAAACATTTGTAAAATTATCTCAACATAATTTTCTTTTTCCATTTTATATAAAGAATAAGCTAACTAGCGTATTAAATTCATAGAACTAAATAAATCAATCAGTTTTGTCTGTACATAGCATTTCCTTGTTTGTTTGGTTTTTCTCAGTAAACAAGATTTACTCATGACAAAGAAAGTAACTAAACACTCTATTTTATAAAAGATTGATTTGTTAGAAATCGATAAATTTATTGAATTGACCTTCTAGAATACAACGATTGAAAAATAACTAAGAAGTTTCGGTGGTGTCATTACCAAGGTTTGATTTGATAATTTCGAATAAATTGAGCATTGGGTTAACTGTTATAAATAAAAATAATATATTTGTAATATCCCGATGAGTAGAAAATCTAATTTTCTACTCATCGGGATATTACAAATGTATTAGTTTTATTTATAAGAAGTTTCGGTTAAATGGTTTTTGTCAGAGTAGACTACTAAGCCAGAAATGTAGGGTAACGAAACATTTTGAGTTGAATGTGCGTATATATATGTATATATAGGAAAAATTAGTGAGACTTCCGATTTTATTTGATGATATGACCTTTCTGTACTTCTCTCACTTATTTAAATGAGTTAAGTCAACCTATTGGCTGATAATTAAAAAATATCCCCATACTTAACTGAAAGAAAGCTTGAACACTTATGTGATTTCAGGGATAAATACGTAATCAACAGACAGCCAAGTCAAAAACAATGCGTAAAAATTAATCATTTTTTCTATACCCACATAGTATTTTAAAAAGCATTAATGCAATTTTATTCGAAAGTGATATTAATAACGGAATAAAATACGCTGGAATACTAACAAAAGCACCATTGAGCTTTCATAACTTGGTATTCAAAATAACGAAAAACTTATGACCTTTAGTTATCATGATGTGATCAATCTCGTGAATCACTGTGGAATAGTTCGTCTGATCATTGTCAGCCTTCAATCAATTCCTGGTGTTACGAAATCATAACCTGGTGTCAATCTTCAATAACTGTCTTACACATAACGTGGTTGACGCTATAGATCATTGTTTCTTGCTAAACCTTGAAGATATCCAGCTCGCAACCAACAATAGTTATACAGTTAGGTGATTTATGAAGAGCTATTCAAAGTAAAATTAGTTTTTATCATGAAAATTAAAGAACTACAAACATTAGTAAGAGTTTGAATTATCCTGTTATTAATATTCAGTGCTGAAATTTCGGTTAGTCTTTGTTGTCTAATGTGGACTCTGAGTAAACTGTTTCCAAATAGCCGTGTGGTTACAGTTTTATAGAGTAGACGGATCGCGGCAAGCAACATTATTCAGTACATACGTTTGGTGCTATTTGGTACTCGCCAGCTGTATGAGAAATTCAGCGTGAACATCAACATTTGAATGTATTTAGAACTATACTTTGATTATATTCTGTTGTGATTTCTGCTTTCTGAACGGATCTCTTAATGTTCCCATTTTTAGTCCCGAGTTCTATTACATGTGAACCATGAATGTCAACTAAAGGGGGAATATCGACAATTACAAATAAACATTGTATTCGTTAAACAAGTTAACAGACAATGGGTTGGTGTTTGAGTCTGTTGATACTGAATTTGAGTCTTAGCATGAAAATTAAATCTGAGTCAGAGGTTAATCTAATCGTAGTTTTGGTGTAAGGCATTGTATTACTCCACTTCCCTGCACAATCGAAATAAAGGAAGTGTTATATCTCTATATATAAGCATTCAATTAATTTTTATATTCTCCAGTCTGTTTTAACTTATTTAGTTTTCTTCGAATTGTTCCTTTTATATCAACAGCCTTTTGAAAAAAGTGATTACAGTAACAAAATCACTGCTAATAATGATGTTTATTGTAAAGATATAACATCCAATAATAATGGTGATAATCTTAAAAGGTAATTCTATTCAGTGTTGTTTTTCTAATCAAAATTCGTTATTCCTAATATAATTCATTTACATCGTTAAATATTCTTTATGTTCGTATCTCTGTTTCGGTTTATAAACGATTTATTACGTCGTGAACAAACGAAACGACGGATGTTTTGTGCCATTTCAGTAAGAATATAAGTGAACCATAATAGTTATACTTTTGTTATATCCCAATGAGTAGAAAAATTGTATTTCTGACGTTTCTTCACTTAATGCATAAAAACAAACCAATGGCGGCCAATAAATAGATTTATATGAATTTATTAATCAAGTCACTAATAATTTTTCGGAATAACTTTGAAAATTGTATGAAATTTCTCTATCAAAAACAATGTTTTATCAAATAATTAATCAGATCTAAATGAAAACTTGATCAATTTTTCAAAAGATTCCATAAACATCTCATAGTTGACTAAAGTTTTCATATTTCAAAATTAAATTATTGTTTTAACTTACTAATTTAAATGTCCGCTTTTTTCAAAAAAAGAACAGTCTTTAATTTATGAATAATGAAATTAACTATAAACATTCATAAAAAATTAGTTTACAGGGTGAATTCAATGGTTGAACACTACCGTCACTTATAATAAGACAGAGAGCATGTCTATTTTGGTAGTTTTTATTTACTAATGAGTCGGTGTTTTGACAGTCAAAATTAAAAAAACTATTTGTATTTATTGATTATTACCTGAAAGATTTCTATTTATTTCTCACGTATATTACACTAGTAAGATCTATGCGCTTATTTACATGATACACAGAAACTAAATTAAAAAGGATTTGAATAATTTGAAGTAAACGCCATCAGTATGTTTCCTGAAACTAGTCATTAAACAAAGAACATATTATACTTTTGTTTCATGATTATATACATATATATTCAAAAAGATTAAAGACAATTTATTGACAGTTTGTTACACTGAAGAAGATCGTTTTGATGAACATACAGTTCAATAAATACACTACAGTGGAGATTCTGAAAAATAAACTAGGACTTTCTGTTCAGCTAAATCTCGAATTGTCTTGTGTAATCGGCTTTTGATTCGCAGTTATACGCAGAATAAGCTACTGTTTTGGGACACATTAATGTTCATCTATTAATCTCCTTGCCCTTCTGGTGCAAATTATTTCAGCTTCACATAGTGGAGTCCCTCAAAATGCACCACTGAACATTACTTTTCGTCGCTAAAAAAAAACTACAGAAGCCCGTTATTATTTCAATACTGAAACATTTCGTAAATCTTTATCACATAGTTTTACAAGAATATTCGTCCGAAACCAATCGTACACTCAAAAGAATTGGTTTAAAGGAAATACAAACTAATGACTTATGTGGTGGAACAAACGATTGAACAAGTGAGGTCTAATCTTTGTATACAAAGACATGGGCAATGTCCCATTTCTCTATAATCTTAACTTCGATTTTTGTCTCCCTTTTACAACAATCTATTGCTTTTTACTCTTTTCTATCTTTTCGCGAACATTGATTAGCTATTATTATAATAGTAGCATATTTTATCAGCCGTTAGATTAGTACGTAACTCCATTTCAATATTTGATTTTCTTACAAAAAATCTACGCAACACCTCTTTATTTGATTACAGAACTTTTTATTCGATATTTTAAAAACTATTTATTATTGTCGATAGTGATTTTGAATGATGCAATACCTCTCTATCTGATTATTATTTTATTATTAACTAACATTTGTAGTTACTAATTGTAAATACGATTGTAAATAGCATCGTCGTTAAGAAAAACTTTGAATTTTTTACACTTTTTAATATTATAGCAATAGATAAATATGAAATGATATTTCATCTTATACAGTACATTACATTTCAATTTGACATATACCAAAGTGCTATCGCAGTTAGCTTTGACTAATTCTGTGAATTAGTATTGAAGGCTTCCGTTTCCAACATTGTCCACGAGGATGAATATTTGATTATATCATTCCTTGTCTAATGAAAGCATTATAACAGTAAACACGTATGACTCTTGAAATACGATTTATTTATACATATTTCTCACTCACTAAAATAATTCTTTCTTTAACAAGCTTTTTTTATCATTTCAAAGTTACAAAAGAGTCAAATATTGTCAGAACGGGGTTTTGTGGAAATTATAGTAATTTAATATTTGTATTCATGAGTCAATTGACGCCAGAACACCATGGAAAATCCGAAATCACTGGACGGCTGTTTCGTCCTATTGCGGGACTCCTCAGCAGTGCGCACCCACGATCAGGCATGTGGGACTCGAACCCGAGACGTTCGGTTTCCTGAGCGAACGCCTGACCTGTAGACTACTGAGCCGGTATCCAACAGTCTTAATGTCTAACTTTAACCAATCCACGAAATTGCACCACCGTTCATTATTGTCTTCAGTGAGTTACTATCTCACAACAGACCCGATTAGACTCCAAAGGTCATGGCTACTCACTAAAACTTTAGGAAATGCCTCTTGAAGTTAGTTACTAGTGAGCATATGATGAACATTATCTGAAAAAGTTTTTTGGGAGATGCGCACTGCTGAGGAGTTCCATACTAGTACGAAACGGCCGTTTAGTGCTTTTAGGTTTTCTATGGTGATCTAGCTTTAATTGAATCATGAACTAAACTATTAAAGTCAAATATTGATTTCACAATGATTCCGGGGACATATATGTCATTTAGCTCATAAAATTTATCAACTGGCATTTATCTCAGTAATAACACAAAAGAAAATATTTAAAATGCTCAACCGTTCAGCATAATAACTGATACGCAAAATTTGATTCGGTCCACATATAATCTGTTTCCTGTCATATATGGGATATACGTCATGATTATTTATATTTTCGTTTAACTGCTCATTTGACGTTTTCCATCTATTTTTTTAATCTCTTTATTTAGTCAACTGGATAATACTAGTAATTTACAGGAAGTTATGAAACTTAGAAAACAAATACTTATCATTTATGAATCTTATCAATGTCATTATCAAGATGTATTGAAAAAATTAAAAACTCATCAATATGCATTAAATGATCAAGTAAGCATTCAATTTACTTTACATAAAAGATTGGTAACAATTAGATTAAATGTATTGCTCAGTTATCAACTTACACTTTAGAATTGGATCAAAACTTTGTATGAATTACTTTCACATAAACTATATATCAAGAATGAGACTAGCCTCATTTTATCTGATTACACTTTCTTTAATAATCATTGTAAGATTAACTGTTACTATATAGTAAAAAGTACTGCAATATAATGAACGCTTTTGTTTTTTTCAAACGTATAATTTAATTGAGTGCATGCAACTTTTATCAACTTACCATTGAATATTGAAAATCATATAACTATTAGTTAGGTAAAATTGTAATTACTTACTTACTTACTTACTTACGCCTGTTACTCCTCGTGAAGGAGCATAGGCCGCTCACCAGCATTCTCCATCCAACCCTGTTCTGGGCAATCCTTTCTAGCTCCGTCCAGTTGTAATTCATCGTTTTCATATCTGCTTCTATTATCCGACGCAATGTGTTCTTTGGCCTTCCTCTTTTTCGCTTCCCTTCAGGATTCCAAGTTAGGGCTTGCCTCGTGATGCAGTTTGACGACTTGCGTAATGTACGTCCTATCCATTTTCATCGTCTTTTCCTAATTTCTTCTTCAGCTGGAAGTTGGTTTGTTCTCTCCCACAGAAGGCTATTGCTGATGGTACCCGACCAATGGATGTTGAGTATCTTGCGTAGACAGCTATTTTACTAATTGGTCAAATCTTGAGTAATCATACAAATTAGAGAAGTTTACTGAACTCAATCCATCCGAACTGTTAATCTTCATAATTTTAAAATTTTTGGGGCGTATCACATAACTCCAATAGCTAAACTATTTGATTTGTTCAAATAAGTTTGATTATTCTAAGTATTTATGTTCGAAAATCCTTATAAACTGAATGAAATAACACAACTTACCATTCTCCATAACATGTTACTGTTATAACTTGTGGTCTTGTGTTCGATGATGCATAAACGCGTACAAGCAGTCTAGAGTACTAATCGGTCCTTCTTCCTGACTAGTCATGCCTGTTGAGTTCAGAACATAAATCTCAGCCTCCACGATATAAATCATATATTTCAAACATACTGAGTTTATATACAAGCCAAATAGCCGACATCATAATATAAAATAGAAAGTAGCATTTGTGCGAAATCTAGTCAAAAGATCCCAACAGTTTCCATTCATTATTCTCGTCAGGATATAACAGTCACAAATAACAATGTATATTTTCATGACTTGTATTTTTATTCCCATAACATCTGTCAACTAAATAGATCCAAGATTAAAGTTATGTTTGAATTAGACAAAACTTCATAAATACTTAATCAAATAATGCATTAAATTATTAGATTAATTTCATATGTATTTAACGTTAATCTTCTTCATTTCACAATGAAGCTTTCTAACTGTTCTTTGTTACAACTGTACAAAATATTTCATAAGACTTTGTTCATAAACTGACATTGAGTTAATACGATTTAAATCTAAGGCATCGTTATGACCTCAGTAATTAAAACAAGTGTCATTTTCAAATGTTTACTTTTTTTAAATAAAAAAAAGAAATCAAGCTTTATTTTAATTTTCAACTTTAATAGGAAAGACCAACTATTAATTTATTCATTAGATATTTTCAGTAGTGACCTTTTTTAATTCAGTACATTAACTCAATAAATAACACCTATTTATATATTTCCTTCTCTTATTCATTGAAAAGTGTCACAGTTTTGTCCTTAAGTCAACTTACCACAGATGGTCAACAATGATAAATTATTTATCTGAGTACTAAACAGATAGTAATATATTTTACAAAAATCTGGTTAGACTAAGTCAAGTAAGTAATTACTGTACTATGTATCTTATAAGTACTATTTGGAACAGTTGCGTTAAATTTAGTGCTATGACATGTCGATTTATATATTGTACCAATCGACTAAAATTCAACTAAATAATGAAGTCTTTAGAACTATAAAAATCTACATGATTACATAACAATAATCTTGATAATAATCTTTTAATTCGGTACCATATATTGCAAAAAATTCCTTTGTAATATACACTAAGATCCTAAAGAATTAGGAAATTCATATTAAAATCAGTTTCGTCACCATAGTTATCTAATACTCCTCATCACGATCGAAACTTTACAGATATGATTTATAAAATACTTACATTGTGTTTCACTAAAAGATAGGGATCTATAGAAAATACTATCATTCGTAGTTTTAGTTTTAAAGCATTAGGATTTATGATAACATATACCTTTTATGAGAATTTACGAATGTCTAATTAAAATAATTGAAATAAATCAATATAGGGAAGATTATTGTAATATTTGAATAGTTAGCAAACAATTAACCCAGATATATAGTATCATTCGAAGTATCGATCAAACTGATTTCACTGCTATTACCTATGAGTACAAATAAATTTTCCACTAATAGAAAGTTTCTTAAGACATCACGAAGCTTTATTTCACATCATATTGACCGAGAAAGTAAGTTTCCCAATTTTCAATTTATCTGCATATTATCTAGTCGAAAAACACAAGGTTTCAGTTCTAATCACCAGCTCTACTTAGGATATTTTCAACTTGATGATAATATCAAGTCATCTGCTCAAAATGAATATATCCCAACAGAGAATGTTCGACATTCAATCTTGAATATCCCATAGTGGGGAAAACGTGAATACTGTCGACGAAAATGTTTTTTTTTGCTAAGTCACTTTAAAAGCTTACACGTCTCTATTTAGTTTAGTGTATGTCAATTTCAATAAGAGCTGTGATTCTTACACGGATCAATTTTCTAAATTGGTCATTATGTAACACGATATTCGTTTAAATTCCTGGTTCACTGAATTCAACTAAATGTTTTACTACTTATGAGTAAGCAAAAGAGTAATAAAAATTGAAAGCCTAATTGATTCATGATTAAAAATTAAAAGAAACTACTAATTACATCAGTTGATAAAGTGCAAAATAATAACATCCCAAGCGGACCATATTATACCTATCATCCTGTTAAACTTCATTCATTCATCTCAGGTCATATAGTATAAGTCTACAAATAAGTAGTCGGAAGACAGGTATTAAAACGTTGTTTGTCGCAACTGGTGAATGCATTAGTATTCGTTAGTAATCAAGAGTAGATCCGATTCACAAGGTCTAATCATCGTCTACCAATCAACAAGTTCAATGTGGCTACTATACAGTTTTAAATAAACTCTCCAGAGCCCTTAGTCTCAAAGTGTTTGTATTAAATCTCCTGAAAACCGTGAACATATGTTCAGACAATTTTGGCTTTCATTATGTCTATTAAATTAAATACGTAGTTTATGATATAAACATCTCAGCTTCAGCTGCTTTATGACATTGAACAATGCAAGTTTATAGACTCAAAAATCCAAGACTTAATTGAGACCTCTACATACACCTTGATGCATGGAACTAATAATCTAATAACTACGAACTTGACTATCCGAACCTATGATCATCAGTGTAAATCATTTGATTAACATTAATTACAATCATGGTCAACATTTGATATGCTATGGTAATTATTCTTCCGAAAATTTTATCAGAATCACAACAATTCTTCAATAATTACATAACAAACGTTAAAAGTTGTTCGGATATGTCAATCAGGTTGTTATGATTACTGGTGTTATAAGGGAAAACAATCTTAGGACGGTGTTAAGGTTTCTAACGAACTTAATCACCTAATTTTGAAGTATTATTAGCACTAAAAATATTATTCACGCCCCAGTTTGTCGCATATCAGTAGTGCACTCTCACTATCTCACATAAAACGAAACTTCAAAATCTAGTTTTCAATGCTTCTTCAGATATCACTTGTTCGTGATGAAACTTACCTCAGAAATGTACGAAATCTTCCAACAATCATTCGTTAGGAAATAGGATTTGAGCTAACTACTTATAGTATCATCAGATTGGCATGTTTAAGAAGAGTGGGTCTGTCACATGTTACTGAGCTTATATAAATAAACTGTGTGATATCGACTAGTGCAACGTTATGATGCAGTTCAACAAAAAGCATCGTATCATTATACGAATATAATATTTTTGCTTACTACTTTACAACTACAAGTTAGTCCACGTTTAAATGTAAAACATACCACTACATAATAAACAGTTTATATCGTTAATATGATACACAACTTATTTTGTTTTTTTTCTAACAGATGTGTGAAATACGCGAGTGTGATCTTAACGAAGACTCGGTAAATTTCAACGGATTTATCATTTTCAGTATTGAATGTTCCTTATCATATAATTTTAAAGTAGTTCATTGAAATTATTAACCGATTCAAGTTAAACATCAGCTGGAAACCTGGGAACACTGGACACCCGTTTCGTCCTAGTATGAGACTCTTTATCAGTGTACACTCAAGAACTCGTAACCGGGAATCGAACTCGGGACCCCCGGTCTTGTGCTCGAACGCCTAACCTCTAAACTACTGAGTCGATATTCACCTTCGACCAATTCATGATATAGTACGAGCGTATGATACTCTCCTAAACAGTGTTGTTTTAGCCATTCAACATTTATGTTTTATTACTTTTCTATAGATATTAATCAAACTGACACCATTTTAATCTATTTTATGACACATTTTTCCAAGCTTTCAATTATTAAATTACAGATTTGAACTCACTACTATTGACTTAAGTTCAGATAAATAGAAATTTACAACACTTAATCCCCTTGACAAATTTGTTTAATGCAATGAGAAGACGAACGTTATCAGAATTATGAAATATTTTTTGACTAATACATTTCTAACAATCTAACCGCATGTATAGTTGTTAAAACACCATGTCTTTAAAAATAAAACGTCAACCAGACAAATTAGAAGATAATAGGAAACGAAATGTGACAAACGAGTCGAAAACTATTCTAGATAACAATTCTTCATTACCACGGTTGATAAAGGGTATGAATATAGAAGATTTCAGTCTTCGTACAGCCAAGACATCAGTATTGTTAGCTTCAATACAATACATTTGAAACATAGTCTGATGCAAAAAGCTGTTACAGACTTTAGAATTATGCTTACAGATTTTTTCATGTTCTTATTATCTCAAATTTTTAGATCTTATTCGAGCATAGTAATTTGAAATTTCTAGAGATGTTGAACTTGCTACTCTTGAGACTGTAATCAGTTTATCCACTCATCCGGTGATAAAAAATCGTTTTTATTTCACTCGTTGTATAATTATTTTGAGATTTACATTATGCCACCAATTAAAGTGAAATTTATTACCGCGTTGAGTTTAGCTATTTCAATAGCATTATCCGATTTTTTTTCAGTTTGTGCTACTTTACTGATGAAGCCCGAAAATAAATCTGAGAAACACTTTTAGACAATGTCTCAAAGTAATATTTCTGAATGTGAATGAATGTTTATATCTTTATCGGAGACTGTAAATAAAAAACTGTGGCTTGGCACCAAATAGTATTATCCAGTAATCTACTGTTTTAAAAATCCTGGATGCACACTGACTGACTACCTAACAACAGCTAAACTAATCTTGTCTAGTCTTTAATATTAATCGAGTTAAATTTCTCGAACAACAATGTAGTGTTTAGCATAAGTGATCTAACCTAGTAATGCCACTTCTTTGATATTAAGTGGTTGAAGCATCGATCACATCAAAATTGCATGATAGCACGAAACCAAGATTTCTGTAAACTATCTAATTTTGAACATTCAATGATATGCATTTTTATATGGACGAACCCGTTCTGTATGTGTGAAGTAAATTCTCAATAGACGTTTTCGTAAACATTTTGTTTTCAATTTACCAATTTCCAGCATTCATTTTCCCTACCGACCAAATCAATTGCTCTATCCAGCTGTCATTACAACATTAACAATTTGCATTTATTTGATCCAGAGTGTGACGCACAGAAATCATTGGACTTTCATAAATCAATTTGTGAGGAACATAAAATGCTATTGAAAGAAGCTAAAAATAAAAATTACAAACTTTCGATGGAACTAAGTGTCGTTAATGCAGAGATAACACATCTGAATGGTCGACCAGAAATACAACTACATAACCACCTAAAGAAGTTGTAAGTTATTTGACTGAGTTAACTAATATATTTATTATTTATTATTGTTAGCTTTATTCAATTTTATCTCTTTGATACAATATAGAATTCTCAGCACAGAGTATTTCAGCGAGTTTCCGTTTTTTATTTCGTGATCGATATTGACGATAAATATTGAGTGATCACCAGTTAGATATTAGCATTTTAGAAGTCGACATCTGAATAATATTCATTCTTTTCAATGCATACTGTCAGCCATCACAATGTCTCCGACTGTACATTACTGTAACTTGTACAGAGAAAGTTCATGAACTTTTAACAAGTGCACCTGAATGGGTTATGCAATTAATTATTATAATGATCTGTTAAAACAAACAGATTACTTGTTGAAATATCCAGGTGCCATGAACATGTAGCCCAAATGTCCAAGCAGGCCGCCTCGTAATATAGAGCTGAATTATTCAAAAACATTAATACTTACATTTAATATACATTACACTGTTAAGCTTTTATTTCAACCTCCCCTCCGGTCTATATAAGGTTATCGTGTCCTCTAGAATTACCACATTTTTATTCTATTCACAATCACAAGTATTATGCAATTAATAAACAACAAAGTAGAAGCAATCTAAATTATATTTAATTAGGTAGATTCTTGAAGATTTCGTAGTACGAAGATAATTTACTTCGAGAACCACTGTCAGCTGAAGAAACAACAAAAACTGGAAATCACTGGCTGGCACTTGATTTTAGTATAGTATGTACCGGAAACTTCATTTGGAATTAAATGTGAAATTTTCGGAACTCTTGAGCAACTTAAAACTTAACGCAATATATAGTCCTACATATTTGGAATTCTTTTACTTGTTTATGTATAATCATTTATCGTTTTATAATTCTTCTGAAAACTCACTAAGAGATAAGATGATCAATATTTATTTGTTAATACTGCATATAAAATAGTTTCAATCTTGACTTTGCCTGAGCTCAACGGTTAATAGCGAAATTAAGATAGAATCTAACATATCAATGTAATTTGTCAAACAGCAACTATTAGGAATCTTACTGTTTAAAAAATCCAATCCAATTTATAAAAACGGGTACCTCAATGCAAATATTACTTTGATACAAACTAACAGATTCTTTACAATTGGTCAAATAAATGTCTCTGAAATGTTTTTCCAGAATTGATGGTCGATATGAAACCGAGTTATTTTTCTCATATGAAGTTGTTAATCTAATTCTATATCTTTATTTGTAAATTTGATAACCAGAGCAACGATTAATTTAGTGTATATGAAATGTAGATCTAGAGGTTTGATCTAAGCTATCAATACTGAGTTTTATCAAATATTTAACTTAAACCAATTCACAAGTTATGATACTGATGTCCTCCTTGTTGTTTTATTTCACCTAAATAACCGACTTATAACATCAATTAACAAATATCCTTAAATGTTCATTTGAGTTACACTCAATAAAACTATTTAATATTTTTAAAGTAAAAAATGAATATAACTAATTCGTAACACCAGTTTTTTTATTATTAAATAAAGACATCACCAGCAACGTACTCAACGAGATATCATCTAGGCGTGGTAGCAATTAAGTAGTTAAGATATTCATTTTCCATTCACTATGTTACATATTTGAATATTATTCCATCCATTTTGATTAAAGAAATCAGTCTGTATCATTAGCCTTTAATCTTAAAAAATATAATTCAAAACTGAATACATGAACTATATATACGATCATTGAGTTCTATTATATGATAATTGTCTATTTTTTTCTTTGGTATTCATAGAGAATTATATAAAACTACCAATGATAATTTACATCAAACAATTCAACATTTAGAAGAACAAATTGCTAGAGTTCATAAAGAATTAGAAGATGCTAAAGTAAGTATTATATTATGAATATAGTTCTTATGAATTGTTTCATTTTATATTACTATTCTTCATATTAAATTTAAGAAAAGAAAAGTAATCGAAATTATTTATTTGTACTTTTGTTAGAAGTTATCTGTTGTGGTTTATTTTAATTTAAATAATATTTAGCTAAGTATTGAACATTGATCAATGTTATTAGATTTATACATGTACCAGTAACAGGATCGAGATACAGATAAACAGAACCAATTTGGTGATGAATATAATTCGTAAAGAAAAGGATAACTAAGTAGCGGTGTTGTTTTCATCAATAAGATTGTACTAGATTAGACGATTGTTTGATCTAATTTTATTTTTGTAAACTGTTTACTATAGAAGAAAAGTTGAGTGAAGGAGATGAATTGTAAATTTATGTAGTTTCGGCTAAAGGATAAATAATTTTGTTCTGATTATCAGATGAGTTGTAGATAAAAAAACATTGTATATTTTCATGTAACCTATGTAAAACAATGTTGCTAATTGTCTGCAAGTACACATAGCGTGTATTTTTCATTAGTCATAAATATAGAAAAGTAATAACAGACTTCTACTATGCTTTGATTTTCTTGTTTAGAACAATACGTTGTATATTCTGACAGACAACTATGTAAATAAATTTATCTTACAGCTCAATTTGACATTTTTGTATGAATAATTTTTAAACAAATGATTATCTTCAGTTGGAGGTTGTGAAAATTGTTGAGTTTCATTAAAATCCTGAACCAAACAATGTTAGGCAATCATTGCAAACCTGCTGAGCAGTCACATACTAGGATGAAACGGCCGTTCCGTGCTTCCAGATTTTAAATAGTGGTCTAACATTGATTGGTTTATCATTTCAATGAAAGTTAACTGATTATCAACTGCAGACATTATTGTCTCAGATTTCAAAATATTATTTGAAAAGAATCCAACAGATTCTATAATAAGATAAATCATCGTGTATAATTGATTTTTCCAGAATTCGTGGTACATAATGATGTCTCATATTCGCTGATTTCGTCAGTTAAGGGTATATGATTATACAAAGTTTTTTCTCTTTTTACCATTATCTTTTACTAAATAATAAATATTGAATTAAACTGTCAATTGAATCCCTCAAAATTCAGTTAGACTGAAATAATTTTGACTGAATACTTGAAAAGCTTTAAGTTCTACTAATACACTTAGATTCATATATTAGACAGTATAAAAAGCATTATTACATGTCATCATATTGTACTAACAACATTTAAGTATTATCTGCATTTTGAAAAAAATGGATTTTTATTGGTATTTATTTTCAGTTGAATACAAACTAATGAGAGAAAATCTGTATAAACAGTCAATATATTAGCATGAATTGTATGTTTTATAGACTAAACGAATGCTTATGTAGCATGGTGTTTGCTGAACTGAATAGTGACAATTTCCTTGTCTTTCGGAATAATATCGTCAGTATCAATGTCAAATAGTAGTGGCATATGTAAAACAGATTTTTTTTGGAAATTCACTTCTGTTCAATATGACTTTTGATTCAATCAATCTTTCCAGTGAAAATGACCAACTCAAATAATGCAGCACTTTTAACTTAGGTAAACAAGAAACTAAAAATTGTCTAGTGGATTGTAATGTAAATTGTACTTATCAGTGAATTATAGAACTTGGTGGTTGTAAAAAAATAGTATCTTTTTGTCTTCTCACCATAAAAACCTGTATAAACTAAAATAATTTCCGTCATACTTTTAACGATTAGTTGAAACCTTTTTAACGCTTTTGTTACCCTGAACTTGTCAAGTAAATTATATATGCGGCGGCCTGCTTGAGCATCTGGGCTACCTGTTCCTGCCATCTAGATATTTCAACAAGTTATCTATTGTTGTTTGTTTTAATATATCATTATGTTTATTAATCGCATAACCTATTCTGCTGCGTTTCTGAAAAGTGTACAACCTTTCGTTGTCAAAGTTACAAAAAACTCAATAAGAGACAATATGGTTGCTGGCAATGTACAACGAAAAGAATGTACATTATTCAGTTGTTCATTCACTGAAGTGCTAACATCTAACTGGCGATTCCTCAATATTTATCGCCAGGACCGACCAAGAAGAAAGAAACGGAAACTTGTTGAAATACTTTGCGCTGAGAATTCTATATTGTACCAAAATTATAATATTGAATAAAGCTAATAATAATAATAATAATAATAATAATAATAATAATAATAATGATACAACTTTCGTTGCTGTATATAGTCCCTCTAAACCTTTATTTCCAGACAAGCATTAAAAGTTTTTTTGCCGCTCGATATATATACTTTCATATTAATAAATACATACGGTGAATAGCTATCAATTTTGAAATGAATTACCATGCTGTATAGTCTAATCACACACATCATTTTCACTTTAGGATATAAGATTCCTATCAGAGTCATGAAACTTCACATCCTGACACATTACCATTATTGTTTTTCACGGAAAACACCAGTTCCATCGGGATAGATGGTATCTCTTGCTGAGAATTGTTAAATAACACAAAACCTAGACCAAGAGTTCACTGTCGACTATCTTCAACTACCTGAAATCCCAGTCTGATAACTGCTTCGTCGTTAACAGATAAATCTTAGGTAACTGATAGATATAGGTTTGGCGAATTCGAAAAGGACAATGCTTGTTTATTTGTTATTCATTTTATTGCATTCGAAAATCGATAAAACAAGCTTTATTATATAGGAACGTTTGGTTAAATTTTTATAACATTCATGAAACTACTTTTGATCATTTAAGTAGTCACTTAAATTTCTCATAGTCATCACGATTATTACATTCAACAATGTTCTCAAGTACATACTTCTATTGTGAAGTTCTCATTCAAGCATAAAGGTTAGATCTTCCATTGTTTCCGACATATTTAATTAACGTTCACTGCCTATAACAAAAAGGCATTGATAAGTAGTGTGTGATTCTTCATCTTTTGTTTATCTTTTCAGCCAGTTTGCTGAGTTGAAATAAGTATTCTTCGGTTCACTATTCTTGTATATACATCATCTCACGATGTGACTAATTTTTTCAGTAGCTAATCAGTAAAACCTCACATAAATTATTCATCAATACACAATATTCTACGGAAGTTGGTCAATTTAATTCAAGTGTTTTATATAATAAATATATTCTACTCATTGGGATATATGACTAACTTCCTGCAAAACGCCTAATTCAAGTGTTTTAAAGTTTGTCTCTGTCTGTATCTGATAATCACTTCGAAAGGCAAATCTACAGTTTGTTGAAATACTCAAGTACTTGCAAAGTCATATGATCTAATATATGACTTCTGATAATCAATTTGTAAAGAGTCTTTAAGATGTACCTTCTATAGAAGTGAGAATGGTTTATTTTCCCAAATTTACATTACTGGCAATTTCAACTTAAACTGACTACATTTTGAATAATAACTATATTCTTGTTAAAAACAATGTGATACTACTTGATAAACCAGATTTTGTTGCTGGATTACACTCATTTTATGTACAAATTTAACTGTTGACTAAGCTGTAAATTATATTCCTACTAAATTTGTTAGCATGGCATACTGTTTCAGGTTAGTTATAAATAATTTAATCTAATTTCCCCAGTGTTAATTTTGACTGAATTTGTCTAAACAATTAATTGATATTCACTACAATAAACACAAAAGTATTAAATATACGTTAAACATGAAGAACGTATTTGTAAAATTTCGGCGAAAGAATTTGAAGTAAATCCAACGTTTCGCCTGACAATCTGGTCCAAGCTTTTCCAAGGAAATATAATCGAACATTAAAATTATCGAATATAAATAAGTACATGGTTCTCCGGTATACTGTATACTGAATAGGTCATCCAATCAACGTTAACAGTGTTTTAAGTAGGCATTTACATTAGTGTGTAAGAGACAATGTGGTGTGAAAAGAAAAGTGTAGACTGTCTTCGGTCGGTGAATATTAAGAGAACATATAATTTTATATATGATATGTATCAAAAATGTCACAGAATGCATTAAATAAAGATAAATATTTCCTTGGAAAACCTTGGACCAGATTACCAGGCGAAACGTTGGATTTACTTCAAATTCTTTCGCTGAGGCTTTACAAATACATTCTTCCTCTTTAATTTCTCACATTAACGCGGCACCCAAATACTGTGAAACTATTCGATCAAATTTAGACGAAAGTTCTTATTTATTAAATATACGATTGAAAATCTTGTGTAGATGAGAATACAATCAGAACAGTGAGAGAAAAAATCTTTTTAAAGTGATACAATCGTATGTTAACGTATTAGTTTAGGTGTCAAAAGATAATTTGTATGTTTATTTACATAGAAATCGGTCACCAGCATTGTGTTCATTAAATAAGTTAAAATATAACTAACTATTATAACATACTAATATTCTACTTAGAAAACAACCAAGAGAAATAAAACTAACTATTAAAATATTTAGAATGTGAACACATATAAAAGATGTAAACGTGCTTACTAATAATATTCACCGATTTATAATGATTGCACGAAGTCTATATGCTAACAATATATTATTAAGCAGTACAATGTTTGATTTGCATAACTTGTACTTTAAAGAAATGAAAACTCTGTCATCAAATAATATGAAAGTTGATAAGTCGACCTGTCATTGTTTTCACCCATTAAAATAATATTAAGTAATTAGAAATTACCTAAACAGTAGTAAGATTAACTAATTACTATTATTACCGTGAACTAATATCATATGGTCAACTTTTGGCATGAATTATATATTTATATAGTTTGTATTGTCCTAAGTTGTTTCCAACTTCAAAATATGATACGGTAATGTGGTAATATATACAATACACAAATTCTCCCTTTTTAAAAGGTTCACCATATTTATGAATAAGTACTTAAGAGCTGTTATTTATTTGGAACTCAACCCTACGCAATATCAAGGAATAATTGTCAGTAATTAATTACTACAAATTTAAATCTTTAAGATTTTATTTTTACCATGAAGTCTATAACAGTTATATTTTAAAAGCAAACTAGTACTAGTTAATGACTTTTAATCAACGATAGTGATTTCAAAGTGTTAGTATATTCAAAAATCATACTTTTTAACATAATATTTACTAATTGTATACCATTTTTAGGTCTCAATGTTTTCTTTACACGTATAGTTAACATTTAACTGTAAGTACAAAGTAGTCAGACAAGGCTACTTACACTACTTCCTCCACTTTCTTCTGGTGGTTGACCAAATTGTGAAGACCTTGAGTTTTGAGGGGATGCACGAAATACAACTTGGATGCAACTAGACGATTTAGACTTCGCTGATGATCCGGCCGTTCTATCCCATACATACCAACAAATGGAGATGAATACAACTAGTTTAGTAGCAGCCTTTATATCAGTGGACCTCAACATACACAAGGAAAAAAGCAGGATCCTCAAATACAACACAGAAAACACCAACTCAATTTCACTTGATGGAGAAATTCTGGAAAAGGTGGAAAGTTTTACGTATCTGAGTAGCAGCATGGATGAACGTGGAGGATCTAATGAAGATGAAAAGGGGAGGATCGGAAAATCTAGAACTGAAATTCGACAATTGGAGAACACATGGAACTCAAAACACTTATCTGCAAGCAAACATCAAACTATGAATCTTCAATACGAACATCAAGACAGATCTACTGTACGGAGCTGGAACGTGGAAAACTACTACAACCATCATCAAAAATGTACAATTATTTATAAACAATCGTCTACGCAAGATACTCAACATCCATTGGGCGGATACCATTAGCAACAACCTACTGTGGGAGAGAACAAAACAGCTTCTAGATGAAGAAGCAATTAGGAAAATATGCTGGAGGTGAATAGAACATACATTATGGAAACCACCAAATTGAATCACAAGGTAAGCTCCAACTTGGAATTCTGAAGGGAAACGGAAAAGAGGAAGGCCAACGAACACACAGCATTGAGAACTGGAAGCGATCACGAAAAGGATGAACAACAACTATAAATGATTGCCTATGACAGAGTTGGATGGAGAATGCTGGTGGGAGGCATATGCTCCTCGACGAGGGGTAACAAGCGTCAGTGAGTAAGTGACCAAGTATTTTACATCTGAACTCTTCAATTCTATTATATATTACTTAAATATTGATTGAATATCATGTATCTGATTATCATTGTTTGCATTAATGACTAAAATAATACATACCATGATTTATGATCTCCTCACTGCAGTATAAATATATGATTTAGATTCAGTTATGCTTATTCATTTGCCTCAATTTTTATTTGTCTCATTAAACCAAACCAAATTTTGAAAAAAAAAACATACTATTTTGTTCTTTGAACAGAATAAACTCAATAAGGAGGATGGTATACATATGGCGCTCATGCGAATGAAGTAAGTTCGTCGTCTTCGTTATCCATTACTTATTGCTTAAATTGTTTCATACAACCATCTTTTAGAATGGGACTTTTCGACTGAATGATGTTATAAGCTAACGGCTCATTACATCACTGACTGAGGATTTGTAGAAATTGTAGTATTTTAACAGCTAAATTCACGAGTCAATCTAATCTAGATCATCATTGAAACCTGGAGGCTCTGAACAGACGTTTTTTCCTAGTATGGGACTCCTCAGCAGTACTCATCCACGATCCCGCAACCAGGACTCAAACCCGGAACATTTAGTCTCGCGCAAAAATATTTAACCTCAAAGGTGGTCTATCTCAGATCGACTCGTGATTTCAACCGTTAAAATGCTACAATTTCCACAAATTCCCACAATGATAACAATCATGTGCTCACTAGTGATTAGCTTCAAGTTGAATTTCCTAGAGTTCCAGTGAGAAACCATGACCAGTAGAGTTCAATCCATGTTTGGAGTGAGACAGTTATCCACCTCAGACATTAAAACCGTCAGATGCCGGCTCAGTATTCTAGAGTTCAGGCGTTCACGCACGAGACTGAAGGTCCTAGGCTCGAGTCTCATGTGCAAGATCGTATATGCTCACTGTTAGAAATTTATGGAGTATTATTAAATGATATTGTCAATGATTATTTATATATTATTATATATGAAAGTTCTAGGGGAAAGTTTTGAAATATATGACGATGCATTTCTAATGAATGAATATCGACGCCAAAATCACGTAATAACAATCATAAAATTTGATAGAATAACAAAATAATTGTACAAATTAGCTTCAAAACTGATGTAATAGCTAGTATGATTAAGTAAAATAAATGATTTCATTTCATTATAACTACAGCGAGTTTCTTTTTGCTTTATTAACATTTATCAATAGGTAAAATTGTATAAAGTTTATATTTGATAGTTCAATTGGAATTAAATTTTAGTATCAGAACGGGTTTTTGTAGATATTATAGTGATTTCAATAGTTGAGATCATGAGTCACTTGAAGCTGCTGGGGATTCCCACAATGGGACGAAACGGCTGTCTAGTACTTCCAGGTTCTCCATGGTGGTCTAGCTTCAATTGACTCATGATCTCTACTAATGAAATTATTTTAATATCCACAAAAATACCTCCTGATACTAATCAGCATATGCTCACTAGTGACTGGCTTCAATAGGTATATCATGGAGTTCTAGTGAGAACCAGTGGAGTTCAACCGGGTCTGTTTTGAGCTAGTAACTCACTGAAGTCAATGGTGGATGTATCGCTCAATTTCGTGGATTAGTTGAAGTTATATATTAAGACCGTTGGATGCCGGCTTAGTGATCTGTAGGTTAAGTGTTCGCGCCCGAAACCGATATGTCCTTGGTTCGAATCTCACCAGGCGGGATCGTGAATGTGCACTGCTGAGGGGTCTCACAATGGGACGAAACTGCCATCCAGCAATTCCAGATTTTCCATGGTGGTCTAGCTTCAATTGACTCATGATCTCTACTGATATTTTTTGTTGATTAAATTAAATAAACTTTTCACTTTATAAACTATTCACTAATGAATCAGTAATGAATTTCTATTGACTATTCCATTTTGTTTCTACGTCTTCTTCATTGTCAGTCTTGTTAGTAAATCATGTAAATTCAAAATACTCCAAAATCTAGGCTGATTTGGTTTTACTTTTAAAATCAGGATTTTGTAAATATTTTTTGATATTTCAACTGCTCTAAAAGAATTATTTCCAACCTTAAAAAAACAACATGATACGTTTGCAACAATTGTCAGATTCAAAACACGGAACACAATCAGTTGACTCTAATCAGGAAGCGTTTAGTAAAATGGTAATGCAGTTCCTTTGCTGGAGAACTCTATTACGATTATTTTTTAAATGACACAATCATATAGTCCAGCATTTTTGGCATCATTTTGGCCGGAAGCTGTCACCTTGGAAACTCCGTAAAACTTGACATTTATTGCCGTCTGTCAGTGAATATAAAACCTGATTTTATATGGGTAGCTATTTATCATATTAGTCGTTTGTTAGCCGGATTTCTGTCGCTCAGATTGGAAAGCAAACACATTTCTACTTTTTTATCGATCATAGTTATAATGAGTTATATTCACTCCGGTTGTCGAGCGTTTACTTTCTTTTTACAACACGGAAAAAAAATGGCTTATATTAATCGAAGTATTGTTTGTTCAGGTAGACATTGTGTACTACTATCTATAAGTGATTTATATGCATATACGCCAAAAGTTTTCAGTTAAATACAAGTCGATAATGGACACGTATGATCACTTCAAGAAGACCAAATCATTTATCGATATTTTCTAAGTTATTTTTAATGATTATATAAACCTATAATAAGGTTTTAAACATGTTAACTTGTCTTTTCATATAAAGATACAAAAGTAACGTCTAAACTTTGTTGAAGTAAAATACGATAATGGACTGATTTATTCATCTATGAATATTTAGTCAAGTGTTTAAATAAATTTCCCATGATGAATTAAAAAATAACTTCAAATATCTAATACCGTAATATTTTTGTCACTATACGCATCTGCTTGAACGATATTAATAAAAAGAAGTAACATTACATCATTAAAGTTATTAGATAGTTTGAAAATATTAATTTATTATCTTTCGAGATTGTAAACGTCATTGACTAATTCTAGATAAACAACAAGACAAAACACTGGACACCACTTTGATCTTAGTTTTATGACTAGTAGTGAGCACTCCTACAATTATCTTGGGAATTGAACATCAATAAATACCTGATATTAAGTAATTCTCAATGTCTGTTCACAACTACTAACCTGAATGACAATCTTAAGGTCCTCTAAAACACAGTATAGATTATTTCTAAAGAGTTCAAGAAAAATCGAGAGAATTATACTTGGCATCTAACTGTAAACGTATACTTTATTTAAATAAATAAGAATACATTTGTAAAATCTCAAGAAAATATTCCTTGAAAAAGCTTGGACCAGATTACCAGGCGAAATATTGGGTTTACTTCAAATTCTTTCGCTGATATTTTACAAATAAATCCTTCCTCTTTAATTTCTCACATTAACTCGGCACCCAAATACTGTGAAACTATTTGATCAAATTTAGATGACAGTTTTTAATTAAATAATAAAAAATGTTTACACAAAAAAAATAACTGAAATAAGAATAATTTATTGTCGTTAATTTTCTAAATATTTTCAAATTCATGGATTTGATAGACGAATTAAACGAAAATAAATTGTTTATTGAATTCAATTTCCATATTGATCATTGAATAGATTTCTATTCCATCTGTCATTTGAATGAAATACACTCATACATATATACACATGACCATTCAATCTTCTCCAAACATTCAACTTACAAGATAATCCATCAATCACTCCAAATCTATGATGTTAATATTACAAAATAATATTTAATAATCGAATTTTTTTCCCTTATCGATTATTTGAATATTATTGAATCTGTGCACATGAAGAGAAATGTCGATTATTTTAATGATAAACTATATATTCATTTAATTTAATGTAACGGTTTTAAAAAAAAAAAACAGTAAACATATTTATTTTATAATACCCTTTTTTGTTCAAGAATAATTTCTTATATTTTATAATGCAGAATAATGCAGTTTGTAAACCAACTACATGCTCCATTCAAATCACGAAGAACTTGACATAAATATGTATCAGTTTAAGTTAATACAACTCATATCAACACAGAGAATGAGCATATTCACATGGTGGTGAATAGAGAAGTAGAAAGTAGCAAATAAAATAAGAAATTAATAAGTATGGGATGATAAAAGTGATACATTTAGGTATAAGATAAAGAACTGGTGCATCAGTTACACTGAGATTGGCTTTTAATCATATCACTTAGAGTTTTTATTCAAACGTATCATCGGAAGGACTTTAACTAAGAAGTCTAAATATCCTGGACGTGACTCGAGCTAACACAGTGATGGACTCCATAAACTTATAACATTGTTTAATTTGATCATCCTTAGCTATCTTTATAACAGTTTCTAGGCTGATCAACTCTACACATCGTGTTAAACAGTAGCTAAGGATTACACACTAACGAACCAAGCTTTGCATTACATTTTTTACGCAATGTCCAGATATATTACGCGTTTGCTCACTGATTAACGTTTCATTGAATCAACCACTCAACATAAGGTGAATGCAAAAGAGTCCATTTCCTACGTAACATTCTATTTTTAAAAAAAGTAGCTATCATTAACAGAAATACATATGCGCCACACAATTCACTTGATTTGTGTGTAAGCTGTGATACTGCCTGGGTACCCAGACCGAAGCAGGTGGTTTTCTTGGTAGGCCACTACCCGAGCCTTAAACCTAAAGGTCTGATCCATCGTCAGAGAATACAGTCCCATGGTAGCAGGTGACCAACAATTGGTCCACACGCCATTTGTTTCCTCAGGACCCTGGATCCCATGTGCACTATTGGTTTGGATTCAGGGTTTTCCAACTCCTCTATGTGAATACTCCGTGTCCACCAACCCGGTCAAAGCGCCGGACATTCGCTCTTAATTTCGTAAACAACTGTAATGCCGCAAGAAGGCAGTGAATAGGACTTCTCTGGTAATGGCTGCATACGCATGACCATGTGAGAACATTTCGAGAGGGGGAGATGACTCTCCACCCTCGGCCGTACCAGGGCACTTTTAAATCACATAATATTCAAACTAAATTTTGCAATTTATACCTTCCGTTTCCAACAACATTTAAATATTTACACTTACATAAGACGTTCCAAACTTCTGGAAATAATTATTTAGAAATATGTTCAGTTGATCCAAATATTCCGTAATTCTAAGAATTTTAAAATCAGGCTGACGAAAACTGACTAAAAGTAATCATAAAAGGATATTATTAGTTCATAGTCAGTGAAACACAAATAGACAATCATACACCTGTATTAGATCATGAAGTAAAAGCAAAATGAAATAATTAAATCACGACAAATTTACCAAGAATCAACTTCGTGGTTAACTTTGTAATTGATTCGTATAGTATACTCAGAACCGATTGAAAAAGTTCAATTAAGTCCCCACTTTTTTTCATTTCTTTCGTAAAATTGAGTATTAATTGTTTGTGTTGGCGATTTTACACACGAGAATCTATGTTCCGTACTGTGTATCAGTTCAACCATCAGATATTGAGCAACCAGAGAATATTGGTAACTCTCATAAAATAAGCCTTTATTAACAATTAAAATATCAACTTATGAAGATGTATTATTCCCTCCTTTTGAAATCCTCATGTGTATTAAACTCTTGCTAAGTCTACCGATATAAAAAGACATTTTTTCACATTTTGCCATGTACTCATTTTTGTCTTTTGAGTAGTTTGAACAATAATGAGTTAACTACGTGATACAATAAACAGCACAAATGTGACCTTCACAGTACCATCAAATTTTGAGATATATTCCAATTCCACTTACTTTGTATTAGATAGAATTACATTGAAATTATTATACTCATTACATAATTCACTACATGATCATTTAGGAATGACCATTGTCTTGTTATTTGGTCCTAAGTACTGACCAGTTCTTTTACTTACCTTATAATTAACTGATATCTTGTTTTAACTCCCGATCATTAGTCTTCGAATTCATCAATTAAAACAAATGGAAATCAAAGCCCATAGTCTCATAAACGATCAGTGCATGAGTATAAAAACAAAAGAAAAGGAACTAACAGAGACAATTAATAAAGTAAGATGACTTGTGTTTTTCAGTGTTTTTCTTTTACGATTTTATGTTAAAATCGTTGATATAACAATGTTGTTTAATAGGATCAAATAAAAGTTCAGTTTTAGGTTAGATAATGAGAAAATATCTGGCTTGAAAGAAACTATTAAACCTCTATACATATTACGCATATATGCGACGTAACTGTTTACTCAAATCTTTTCACTTTCATCATGATTTATAATGGCCATAGTAAAACTATTATTTGATTGATAGATTATTTGTTAGGTGTTCAGATATAATCAGCGAGAAGTTTTGGATTTAGGTTTCATGCTACTTGGTGGCCGACACCAAGCTGTACACTACGAATAATTGGTGGTGTTTAGTTATCCTAAAGGAATAGACTAATATCTAGTTAACGAAAGGATAAAAGCTTTCACTTTTTGTCTTCGAAATATGAAAAGCTAAGTTATATTAGGCCACAAGTCAGGGAGAACTAATCATTGCTTAGTCAGTATAGTTTGAAGAATATCATAGAAGTGGACCGAAATTGCTTAACATACTTATCCTATCGATTACTGAGATTAATTTTTAAGGTCACTGACGAATAACCTGACTGATTTAAAGTCCTATGTTAACTGTTGTTTCAATAATAGTACATATTGTTCGTTATGACTTTTTATACGAGATCAATATCCTGTAATTCATCGCTTTTAGTCACATCGTATGGCCCAATTATCTCTTTAATGTATGCAATATATATATATATGTCTTCTCAACTTTGTGATTTTCCTAAAGGAAACCTATTCGATTATTGGATTACAAGATAAAAACAGTGTGTAAGAATGAACATTAATTAATTTGGTAGGTAAAAAATCTCACTCAACCTTTTCTTCATCTTCCATAATTATAATACCAATTTTTGAAGAACCACGTTTTACTTCACTTTCCATCTCTACTTCTTTCATACAATCTGCTATCCTCATCATACTAACCTAATAAATTTCATTTTAAAACTTCTGTAATCTTTTGTTACTGCAACTAATCATTTTACCTAGTTCTCTTCTCTCATTTAATTACTTTTCTAGGCTCCATAGCGACTCTTATTTTAATCATGATGTGCATTTGTGATTTTACATTTTCAAGAATAAAATCACCAAACAGGGATAAATTTCGTCAACCACTCCACCTCTCCCTCTCTTGTTTTATATCTCAAGAGGTCAATAAGACGTATCTATAACCTGAATAAAATTGATACACCCCACAAAATTAGGAACACCATCATCCAATGTATAAGTTTTCGCGAGATTACGCAATAATAGCTTCCACCTTATCTATTTTCACTTCTTGATGTGATTTTTGACACTTAAAAAATTCTCATTATAAGTCTACATTATCGTGTGATTCCTTTATTAATAATCTAGATGGATTTATTGTCCGAAGTCTGGGCTAATGAAAGGCAAGTCAAAATTGAGACAATTCAAAAATTACGCGAAAATCTTAAATTTCTGTCAAACAAATCTCCAAAAGTCCATATAACGAATAAAGCAATTCGAATACAGTATACTGACAGCATAACCAATAATGGTGAGTAGTTTCATACTTAATTATTCATTCTAAGACATATTTCGAATTATCCAGATTAAAGCAATAACATGGCCCATGTATAAGAATATCAGATGATGTTAGATAGTCAATTTTCAGAAGTTTAATGGTTCGTTTATTTAGCGATGCACATTTGATTAAGGTGAATGCTTAGAAATTTACTACAAATTCTACTCAGCTACTTAGATATGACCTTAGTGGAATAATACATAAGAAAACTTAAGAAAACTTCTCATAAAACATTTTTAATTATAATACTAGATTAACCATACTACCAAAACATTATAGAATCACCACAAAGAATCACTAAGATATATTTAAAAAAACCTCTGAACGTTTTACTGTCAAACAATATCAATACAAATGATTTTTATAGAGTTGTTGTAACTGTGTGAAATGGTTCTACCGGAAAGTTTTAGTTGTCATCTGACTACATAACTGACAAACATTTCTAAAACAAACAATCATAACACAGTTAACACATCCGATATCGACAAAACAAGTGGCCACTTACATGTAGAGAAATTCTAATAGTTGATTTTCTAAAATTTCCTTCTTATGTTGTTCTAAAAGATAAAGTATCAAAATTAAACCATCGAGTTTAAAGACTAAAAAACTAAGAAAATCATTCTCCTAAGCTAATCATTTATCGAACATCAGTGGGAGTTTTGACGAAGCTTAGTATATTATGGTCATCTGAAGGACTCTTGAAAATCAGATGGCACTGAATAATTGTTTTTATTTTAGACTGAAAATAACTATTGGCGTATATTTAGATTTCATAAGGGAGGAAACCCAAAGGTTCACAGTTTGCAATCTTAGTTCTGCGTCAAATAAAAGAACAAAACTTCCATACAGCTGGTTCCCTTTATTGATTTTAATAAATCCAAATTAACGATTGAGGTGGGATAATGTGACTTCATTTTATTTCATGGTTTCTCATCAGCCGTATACAGCCATATTCACATTAAAATGTGACACTGGTACATGACACAATATCGAGCAATTCCAATTCTTTACATTATCAATGTCAGCTGTAGGCGTCTGATGAGAAACCACAAAATAAAATGAATTCATATTATTATTCTTCAATTCTCATGTCGACTTTATTCAAGCATTACTCAATTAATTTCACTTATTTTTTATACCCTACTCTTAGAATATGCATATATTCTTACTATTTCGTTTTCCCATTTCATCTACCTAGGTGAACAGAAACCAGACACACAAGAACCTCACCTACCATACTCGTTATTTAGTGCTTTATGCAAAGAAATACGCCGTTTACAATCTCGTTCGGTCAGTCTTGTAGAAGCATTAGACTTATTGAGCACAGGGAGTTACAATTCAGAAAGGCTTGATCATATTAAAAATTTAGTATTTTCTTCAAACCAAACAAAAAAGTAAGTAGAAAATCTTAAAGCTTTTAATTATGGTGAAACTTCTGGCGTAACGAAGTAGCTGATAAGTTCTTTCGAAATTTATAAACACACTAAAAATAGTTTATAAAAACTAACACAGAACAGTTTGAAATACTTTTATGTTCAGGATTGTCAGTCCACAGTGCCACAGTGGATTGTATCTCGGATATTTCAGTATACTGACAAACAAAATCCACACTTAAATTTGGTCAGTTCTTCAAAAAAAGTGAATTTTCGCCTAGACGATTAACTTCTGCTTTTCACTAATACCCTATATAAGGCCTCAGTAATTATATACAAGTTATAATGTTTATTTTAGTAATTTACACATATTTGCCTTGTATCAAATTGACAGTACATACACCATAAATTGGAAGAACATGCCTTTGAACAATGTCGGCACTAATATCAAAAGGAATATGGATACAAGACCATTTAACACTGTTCGATCTATCAAACAGCGTAATAACGGAACTGTATCATCGAATGCCCATTCACCTAAAAGGATGTCAGGTGTTTCCGTAGCTTCTCGTCATAGTAAACATGTAACAATCAGTGATAATCGCAGGCAAAGAATTTCATCATACAAAAATTATTCTGATGGTAATTCTAAACATTTGTTAGTACACGAATCAGTTAATGAAAAAGCAGTTTATCCTAACCCACCCACTAGTTTACAAGTAGAAAATTCAGTCCCACCATTGCAACAGCGACATGAACAACAACAAGATCTAGTGCAAGAAGAAAAAGAAGAATGTCTACACCAACTACAAGAACAACAGCTCTTTTATCATTATAATTTACCGATTTCTTTTAGTCCACGTGTACAACGCCGCCCAGTTTCGTTTTATTTAAGTCGAAATATAGATAAATTTGTAAAATTGCCAATTCCAGAAGCTGATGAAGAAGAGCAAACTGACGATGACGAAGAAAACATTAGTGAAGTAGTGGATGAAGATGATGACGAGGAAGAGCAGTACGAGGAAAAGAATGAAAACGTAGAAGAAGTACAAGATAAAAATAAAGAGCATTATAATAATCATATTGGGTCCCATAACCATGAAGGGATTGGGGTAGAAACATCCTAAGAAACAAACATTGTATTAATCAGTAATCAGTCTTGACCGCAAATATATTTTCTCAAACTTTTATTTGTAAAATTCGTTCATAATTGAATATTAATATAATACTCAATCATTTTGTATCAACCAAACTTAAGACCTAATAACCTGTGTACAATAAACTCACATTCCTTTTTATTACATTGTAACATTAATGTATTATTTACAAGCCACTTTACGTCTATATTAATCAAAACCTTACTGTAATAACCAAATATTACGTGAATCGAACAAAAAAGGCTGTGTATATGAACAATAAAACACAATTCTGTTTTCATATTACATACATGTAAACAAATGAGTTCTATGTCTTCACCATCTGTACCACTCTCAGAATTCTCAATATACAGAAATTCCTTTCATCTCTTGAGTTTCAATTGTTTATAGAGCTCATTCAGAAGATGTAACTATTTTTTTATCTACTAATTACTTCATATTCTTCATTCATTCTTCCCTTATTTTAGATTTTATTCTGTGCCCACTAATGCACACATTGATTTCAATGATTTACTCCTATTTCTTATGTCCAAGATTTATTTTTCTCTGAATCCTTACTTTATCCTAACACTTTTTGCTCACTTCCTGGTCGACAGTAATTCTTTTTCTATATGTTGTACAAATAAAAAAACACTGTCATTAAACACAATTTATCGTGTCTTAGACAGTAAGCTCAATAGTTATTAATTCATAATTATATAAATATACATATTTTCTAAATATACTGTTACTAAATTACTATTATTGTTTTGATGGAATAAACTGTGCTCTTCAACTTTTTGATTTTCACTTTCTCCTAAAAACATTAAATTTATTTGAAAAAAAGCTGCGGTCTACACACGGTTGATAAACATTGAGATCTCCAAATACGATGGAACTATTGTTTCTCAATCATACAATCGGTGTTTAAAAGTTCGCTCATCTGTGTTTGCAATTATGAGTTTGCGACACCTGTAACTACTTCGGCGATCCTAGAGATTTTTATCAAATTTTACCTCTTACCTAACATGAAAATCATTTCCTTGCATACAAACCAAAACTCAATACCAGTTGTGAAGTTATTGGCTTTTGTTTAATATTACTCAGACTAGATCTCTGTTAAAGTAGGAAGTTCTCTTATAAACAGGTTTCTGTTTTCTAGCTTACGTTTCACTGAAGGTTCTATACATAAATATTTCTTAACCTGAAATATGAATAAAGTTATCGTTCATTTGTCCTCTAAATTGTGACATGGGAACACACATTAAACTAACACAACATTTTTTGAATAAAAATTAAAGTATTGTGAAATCTAGTCCGAAAATCCGATAATTATCCGAATTAATTTTCATTAAACTGATTATTCTCATAGATTCTCAAAAATCATTGTTGATTTTTTAAAACATTTTCTCGGGATTTATTTCAATGTTGTATCAGTTACAAATGAACATTATAAAAAGCAGAATTGATCACTTATTTCACAGACATGAATAACGATTTAAAAAATCGTTCAAAATCTATTAATCTGAACACAAATTAAGCACATTCATTGTAATAAATGTCTTTTACGAAGAAAAATAATAAAAAGTTAAAACGTGTTTTACAAATTAAAGTGAAATAACATTGTCCTCTACAATTGCAGTTAAGAAATAAGCAATATTTGAGATTACAAATGTAAGAATATTATTTGTAAAATCAATACGCGATCGTCAATAGATTTAGGTATCTTAATCCGGAAGTGATAAAGAGTTCTCTTTAATCATAGGTTGGTTTAGTTTATTTGAATGAATAAAATGTTTTTCTTTGATTAGTAAATTACTGCAAGGAGCATCTGTATTGGGTGAGATAACTGTTTCGATACTGTTTTCAAGTGGTTCAGAAGCAGTTCTCTTTGTAAGATTCTGATGAACTTCTGAATACTTGTCACGTGAAACAGTTATATTAGCAACATTTGTATTTCCTCCTTGAATAGGGTCCAACGAAGTATTTGCTGATAACCTATAGAACACAAAGAGCTTAGTATATTCAATCAATAGAAGGCCAAATATAGTACTAAATTGTTTACATGGAAAACCATACAGAACATCTAAGTTATGGTAAGATAAAATACCTATTGCCTGCTTCGTCATAACATAGTTAATTTTTATCTATTCACTCGGTTAAATAAACTTTTTAATTTAACAAGAATGTTTCGAGGTTCTGGGCAACCGTCCAACACTTGTTGACAATCCTCTGTGGACAGGATTTCCATATTGGGACTGATGCTCCGTCAATAAAATTCAATGCTTAAATCCTACGTAGTTTCACCCACCTTATACTTAGTATTGTTAATAACTTGAGTACCGAATGAATTACAGATGCTAGCTTAACGTAATGACCGGATTTGTAACTCCATAACCGTTCGACGAAAGTAACCAGTCATCACAGACAATATTGTCCTAATTCAATTAAGAAACTGTTTTACTAACAATCAAAGTAGCTTTAAACAGCACAATGACGCTTGCCATTATAAAAGGTCAGTGGCAAGCAATGCGTCACAAACTAAATTATAGATCTTTACCTTTATTTTCCAAGTTGGAAGTAAGCACAATTTGTAGAAAAACACTTGATTCCTCTGTGTACAGCATTATTCATACATATTCCTCAAGATTTATAAAACCATAGGTATGCAGTTTACTCTGCTTACTAATATCTCGTCTCATTCAGAAATAACGACTTTAAATACCCGCATATTATTTAAATCATAACGAGAACCATCTTTGACAGCCAATATATAAACAATAGGATTAGCTATGCTTTATGTTTTACCTTGCAAAATGAGATTAACAGTAGAGAAAATTATGAAATAATGAAGCATCCAAAGACATTTTTAAGTTAACAGCTCATTTAAACACCTGAATGGAAAAGATGGTTGTTAGATGTCGACCTGATGATTGATGCACTCCACCTTCAGTATTTGTTCATTCTTTAAAACTTCACTTCAGCTAATTCAGCATTATATTGCCAGTGATTTTCACTTGCAATCTACAGCTTAAAGTTTGAACAAGCTGATATGTGCTTGACTTTTAAAGTTCAGCAACCTTTGACTAGTAATGATATATGCCTTACAACCGTTTTGTGATAAAATTGTATTCATTGCCAAAATATAAACTATTTTAACAGTGTACTAATAAATCTGTAAATCAAAATGTTTCCTTAACTACAATGATAAAAGCTTACCGAGATCTAGAGGTATATTCCACTAAACAATTTCCTCCATCGGAACCATTGATATTTCTACAAAATTTACTGACTAACCAATTTGTGGAAATCGTCATAATCAACAAAAACAAAATACAAATAAATAATGGTAAGAATATTTCATTATATGTGAACAGTTTAATGTTATCTAATCGGCAGACCAGAAGAACAACGAATACAAGAAAAGTAAATGCGATTGATGTGAATCCAATCATTGAAACAACATCATAAAGATCTTTCTGAGTGAAACGACTCAATCCACATAACATACAAACTAAGAATAACAGCAATACAATCAAAAATCCCATTATGATCCAGAATGGTATTAACACTACAACCCATGTCCAATTAATATAATTATCTAAACGTAAGGCAATTAGAATGACACATGGAAGATTTAATGCAAGGAATTTTTCACAATCATAAACAGTTAACTCGTAAAACGCTTTTGTGAATGTCAAAAATCCTAAAACGCATAAACAATAGATTGGTATAAAGACTACACACCAATTTAATGCATTTGTTTCTAGTTTAATACATAGAAATATTTGAAATGTGAGTATTAAAACTTGATAAACATAAAAGAATAAACAGAATTTGGTTAAATTGAGAGATTTAAGTAGGAATAAAATGAGCGAACCCGAAAACACTAGAATATTCCATAACCAAAGTGGCATAAACATAAACCACGCATTTATATGAATATAGTCATTGATTTTTAAAACGCAGAGTATAAGATTTACCGAAAGAACCAATAAAAATAAAGCTTTTTGCGTAAGAACATTTTGTAAATAGTTTTGAGCAATCATGAGAATAGGATTAATAGTTGTATAAATATATTTACCAAATCCCAAACAGATTTAATTAATTACCATAGGCAAGTGTATTTGTTAGAAACAAAAAAGAAAAGAAACTCAAAAGTAACACTGATTGTATCTGAAAAATCCACTTAGGCAGTAGATGGATAGTCAGATCTGAAAGAAAGGAGATAGTAAAAAATTAAATAATCCAAGTTGCATAATAATAGTGAGGTTAATTATACATTAGAGATTCAAAATAATCTTAAAAATGAGAGTACATATAAAATAGTTAAAGTAAAACTTATACCCTAAGTTTAAAGTAGATCCTCATGGTGTTATTTGAACTATAATGAAAGCTGCGCAGTTAACCAAACAAGCTTTAAAAATTTGACACCAACAAAATCGTTTACCTGAGCTAAATATTTTTCCCATGATTTTATGTGTTAATAGTTTTACTCATTATTATAGAAAGATTTGTCAACTATGCAAACTATATAGTAATCCTCTGAACAAACTTTCTATCCTTTTTATGGTATTGCTTGAGTTAAGACCGCTATTAGCTCATAAAGCCACATTAAGGAGTCATTAAGTTCGTTAGATACTTAATGATAGAGTCTACTGAGAAGTATTAAAACGTATCAAATGTTCTCTCCAACGAGACATATGCAACAATATTTATCTACCAATGAACTAGCGGAGGACTAGTTAGCCTACTGAAAGTAAGATGGATCTCATCACCTTTATAAACTTATGAATGTGCTCTTGTTATTACTTTTAGAACAATACCCTTTTCAGAAACAAATTACCGGACGCTATTTGTTTGGAAATCCACTATAATAAAAAAGAGTCAGTTTCGTTTATCAAAAGTTTTTACTTACGATATAATCTTATTGACTGCCTTTAAAAAACCTTGGTCACAATTCGGTCTACATGATGTCATTTGTTTATTTGTTAACATGGATTAACCACATAAGTTCGTTTATGTGTAATGATCAGGAACGGATATTGGTCGTTTTTGTTTACAAAACAACATTACCAAAAGAAACATCTTGAACGGCGAATGGTTACTATAACGTAAGTACATATCTTGATGACAAACTATCACAACATAACGATTTAAAAGGGAATCCTGCCCCCATAAAAGTAGTCGAGAAATCGAAGGCTGATCACATTGAGAGATCAGTTATTTTTCATAGAATGAAGGAGAGTGAAAGCTCTGAACCCAAAACTCGTTTAGAACATGACATTGTGCTGATAAAACAGCTACTTAATCAACTCATGCCTCAAAATATCCCCGGATTCACCTTGCTAAAGGTGTACAGACTAGGTAGTCTAGCAAACTTGAAGCCTAATCAGTCCAGACTGCTTAAAGTAGTATTCAAGTCTTCGAACGAATGGACATAAATTAAAGGGTTCAGGAGTTTTTATTCGTAAGGAATTGCCGTTGGAAGACCACGTAAAAAGACGGGAGGCCGAAAAAGAACTACAACTTAGGTTAGACGCTGGTGAAAAGGATATAAAAGTTGTAAATTTTTGGGTTGTAAAGCTTCGACAGAAAATGATACCGAAGCCACTATGGGTGAAGAACGAAGCCACTTAAATAGGCTTCGGATCTGTTACACGAATGCACGAAGCTTACTCAATAAGCGATCGGAACTAGGTGTACAGATTGACTCTACAAAGCCAGACATAATCGCAGTCACGAAAACCTGGCTGACACAGTCTGTAGATAGTATGGAACTTGATTTCGAGGGCTTTACGTTAGTAAGGGCCGACAGAATACAAAAGTGTAATGGAGGGGGAGTAGCTGTTTTCATTAGGAATGCTATCCCATTTGCCATTATCGACAGTGTATCCCATGAGAGTGGAACGTGTGAATTAGTTAGATGTCGCTTGAAATGCAAGGGACAAGAGCTGCTGATTGGTTCGGTCTATCGCAGTCCAAGCTGTGAAGTAAATGAGGTCCTGCTAGGCAATCTCAATATTTGGTCACAAAGTGGTCGATGTCTAATCCTAGGGGACTTTAGTGCACCTATGGTAGACTGGGAAAATCTGCGAACTGAATCGTCAGAAAATTCCTTCGAGCAGGAACTAGTTGATATGGTTATCACATGTGCTCTAGTGCAACATGTGAAAGAAGCGACTAGGTACGACCCGGACTCTGAATCATCCTTATTAGATCTTATATTAACTCAATATGAGGATGACGTTGCGAACCTCCATTACACGCCACCCCTAGGTAAAAGTGATCACGCAGTTTCAACTTTCATATAACTGTCAATCACGAGCACTCGTTAGCTCAGTCCAGACCTAACGTCTGGAAAGCAAACATACCAGATATCATACACTCAGCATTGTTAGTAGATTGGACAATAGACCCAGAGTCCTCAATTGAAACGGCTTGGGACGCATTTCGAAAATTATGCTTAGAAGTTACCGCACCCCACATCACTTGGACTATACCAAGGGGGCCGAGAAACTCTCCACCATCGTTCAGTAGAGAGGTCCGTATTCTTCTCCGTAAGAGAAGAAAAATGTGGGATAGATTTAGGTTACTGGGGACTGATGAGACAAAATCTCACTATCGAGAAGCTCGGAATACCTGTGCCTCGACCCTCCGTAAGTCTAGAAAGTTGTGCGAAGAAAAATTGTTAAGGAATCCATAGAATGTCCTGAACGCTTGTATTCCTATATAAACCAAAGGACAAAAAGAAGAGGAAATATTCCCGCACTATGGGGAGACAGTACTGTTGCATCATTAGTGGAGGACAACTTTAGTAGAGCTCAAGTGTTCTCGAACTACTTTAGCTATGTATATACCATAGGAGCACCCTTCCCATCAGCGCATACAAATCCCCCCACACATACACTGGGTAGCGTGACCATTAAACAACTAGATGTCTTTGGTATGCTAAATAAGCTTGACATGGGTAAATCCGCGGGGCCCGATGAAATGCATCCTAGTCTACTGAAGGAATTATCTAACTTCGTTGCGAAACCTTTAAGTATATGCTTTAATCTATCCGTAACGCAGGGTCGTTTACCAAAAGACTGGAAGAACTCAATAGTAAGTCCTGTCTTCAAAACAGGTACGAAACATAAACCTGAGAATTACCGACACGTCAGCCTAACTAGTGTGGTTGTTAAAATCTTAGAAAAGATTATTCGGAAAGAGCTGTTTAAGTACCTCGATGAAAACCAGATCCTTTCGGAGAAGCATCACGGTTTCGGAATAGGTTATTCTTGTCTCACTAACTTGTTAGTGGCTCGTGAAAGCTGGTGCGCTCTTAAGGACCAAAAGTTACCTGTAGACGTAGCCTAAATTGATTTCAGCAAAGCTTTTGACAAAGTTCCGCATAACCGGCTGTTATACAAGCTAAGAAATGTCGGAATTAGAGGCAATCTATTGATGTGGATAAAAGACTTCCAACAAAGAGCACGGGTGAACTCAAAGTGATCTAGCTGGGAAACTGTGCTTAGTGGAGTGCCCCAGGGTACAGTTTTGGGGTCAGTGCTATTCCCTGTGTATGTGAATGACCTTCCTCGTCTCCTATCATCATTGGTCTTGCTATATGCTGACGATGTCAAGATATGGAGAATGATGCGATGTAAGGGTGATAGCTTAGAACTCCAAAATGACCTGAAGAAATTATCTGAATGATCTCAAACTTGGCAGTTGCCGATAAATACTTCCAAGTGTGTTGTAATGCATATCGGTCATCAAGGTACAGATACATACACGGTGAATAACACTGAGCTACCTGTCGTCCAGACACATAATGACTTAGGAGTCATCGTTAGTCAAGACTTAAAGATTACTGCACACTGCCATGCAATAGTCCCCAAAGGTTTTAGAACCTTATGGTCAATACGTGGGGCTTTTAGTCATGTCGACGCTAGAACGTTTTTGACTTTGTATACAGTGTTCGTACGTCCTAAACTTGAGTACTAAATACAAGTGGCTAGCCCCTGCTTAAAAAGACAGTGAGCTTCTGGAAAAGGTTCAGAGAACGGCAACTAAGCTGATTCCCGGAATAGCAAAGCTTCCGTATGATGCTCGACTGACCAAGCCAAACCTTTTCCCGTTGTCATATCGTAGAACTAGAGGCGACTTGATTACAGTTTCCAAATTGCTTAGTGATAAATTTGCACCTCATATGCCCTCATTTTTCTTGTCTTCCAAAACAGAGAACTTACGAGGACACTCCAAAGACGTTCACAAGCCCAGAACAAATTACTTGTCAGCTGACTATCGGCTTTCCCATCAAAACATCAACGAGTGGAACTCATTACCTCGGCACGTGGTTGAGGCTCCATCCGTCAACCCTTTCAAAATGATGATGGATCAACTGAGAGGCCGTAATTGTCAGGACTAACACAAACCATCAAGCCTCCTGTCCTTTCCAAACTGAAACTGGAACAAACTATCGTGGTTTTTGCCCTAACCTGCAATGTTGGAAAAACAACAATCTTTAACGTAGAGTACAAATTACCATACCTGAACCTTTCCGTTAAGTTTCATCAAGACTCTGATGCTACCTTCAATATTGAAATCTGATTGTAGTTTATTGTACTTAAGACAAGTGGCGGCATATAAAGTAGTTCCCTCACTCTTGACTATATATGAAACATTTATTTTAACTATCACATCTCGTTTGCATTCAAAAAGCATATTTATCAGTACAGAGGCTTCAAATAAACAAGTGTTAAAATATGAGACAAGATTAAATAGAGCACTGGATCAATAAAAAACTATGACAACTGATGCATCTCAATGTACGATATAAGGCTCCCTAGTCTACTTCATCTCAAACATTAGACTAAATGAGAATCTAGTGTTTCCTCTTCAGTTAAAACTGATACAAATCCAAAAATTTTTAAATCATGATACCATAAACTCCGGTTCATAAATAACTTTCAGATGTATTTGACGACTAGAAGTCTCGAGAACTTATAACACTGTTTCCTTTTCACAGTACATGGTACCTTCGGAGACCCTCCCAGCAAGTTCATACATAGGGCAAAAATCCAAGTCTCTTCGTTTCTGAAGAATCAAAACATCCAAGAGAACTTTACGACACAAAACCAAGAATTAAGATACCTACAATGCATTGATTTTCTCCCATTTTATTTAGTTTGACGATTATTATAACGAAAGTACTATCTATGGCCTTATTAACTCACCCGTCAAACAAAAAGACGCACAGAGCCCCAGTCAACATGTGCCAAATATGCAAAAAATCTAATGAACTTCAACACAAGCACTGCAATACAAAAATATTTCCGATAAAAAGAACGACCATTTGAACTATATGATAAATACTTTGAGTGCTTCCACCGTCTCCAGACAAATTACACTCCAATGATTATTTTTACTGTACATAAACGGAAATAAAACATGGAATTCCTAACCTATACAGCAACATTCCACACTAAAAAGTTAGTGACATTCAGCCTAAACAATGTTTAAGCAAAATGTAAATATTTACAAAAATACTTAGCAAAATTTCAAGTACTAAATACTTAAAAAGGCTAAGCATACCAAACCGAATGAGCTCAGTAGCAGTGTATAGTAAACCAACGTCCGGATGAACCAACTAAAATTGTCGATGAGACGTCAAACGTTTTCTGGAGATGACATTTCTGCAAAACCGAAATCGTGCCAGTAAAGAAATGAACTTCATTATTCCTTATCGAAACGTTTAAACAATCAAGCCCCGACGACATTTGTGGAACATGAGAGCTCGTTTAGAGTTACGAAACTATTGGTTTACTACTTATTCAAGCGTCCTTGAGAAGGATTATGATAAACTAGACAGAGATAAGTGAAAGTTGCTGATTTCGGATCGACTTCCTTGATCTTGACAGTAGCGAAAACAGTCGTTGATAACTAACTTCAGGTCTACCAACTCAATGAATCGACTCAATCCAACTCCTGCTAAAGATCTATTCTACGTAGGCCACATAGCATTAACCTTAAGAACCACGGATATGCTAGTCTTGCTAACACCTATATAATCTAGGATCGGGGACTTAATCAGATCAGAATTCAGGAGTGAAATTCAAATATATATCCAGTAGAAAGTCGATAGATCAACAAAAATGTGGTTGGCTAGTTATTGTAAAGGATGCACGGTTCGGCGTTTCCAGTTGTGATCTGATACGGATGCTTGCCCGAGTGCCTTCGACTAGAGTGTGTCCATCGTCCTTGCCTTTCGATACTCTAATAAGCTATATGGCACATAGTAAACGTCGAACAAAAAGTTCGATTCCTGGCGTCTGTTTGCAGGTTTTTACATTTTCCAGGCGTGACGCAAAAAATATTGAAAATGTAAGTGCATGTTGAAATACTTTTGTGCTTACTCACGCAACAAAAAGCATGACGAAACTATAGTATGTGTATATGCAACAGCAAGAAACGTTTCACAAAAACGGTGTTTTGCGTTCGATTATTTCGTAAAAAACAATACACAAGCACGTTGTTATATCTAGAGATAGATTGTTTTTAGTCGAATATGTATACATTTAAGCATGTTAAAAATAAGCCTCTTCTTGTCATGTTTTGTCTTTGTTACGAATAATTGTAGATGAAACTGTAACAGCTCAGGTTGGTTGGTTAAGAGTTGACCCCAAACAACCAAGCATATGCCAAAACAGTATTGTTCAAGTATTCATTCACTTCCTTATTTTGTATAAGCGCTATATTCCCTATTATCTTATATTGAATGTTGAGAGCCTTTGTTTGTCTGAACAGATAATCCCACGCTCCACTGTGACTGCGCGAAGATCGAAATAAAGACCTATTCACTACTTGTCTGCTTTTCTATCAATAGCACGAGGGTTACCTTAAGGCACGAAAAAATCAATTGGTTGTAGAAGGTAAAGCACCATAAAGAAAGGGATTATAGTTGGTCGATGTTGATTTCGCTTTGAGTTCCGTTCTTATCTGTGGCACAATACCTAGGTTCATGTTTAATAACCTCATGATGTCCTTCGTATGCAGCTTCGAATGGTCAATGTACTGAGTTACATGTACAACATGCCGAAGTCGAGAAGTAGCAAGTTAAACTGAGCACATGATAGGCAACCGTGACCTGGTTGGGATGTTTGGCCGGATGCTTTCATCTAACTTGGGTCCGGCAAAACTAATGATATCAGTACCAATGTCAAAGACTTAAAGAACCATGTATTTTGAGATTATTTTAACCGTTAAAAAGCATCGCGACAGCCTCAAGTAGCTAGTGTTTTTCAGAAAAACAAAACTCTTGCTGCTCTTCTTCAAGATGAATCCACTCATCATATTCTGAAACTGAAATTCATCTTTAAGTGCTATGTTATTCATTAGTATTTGCACTCACGAACGTTTGTTAACTTAAGATACGTGATCTGGAGCACAACCATTTAATGAATATCAAGTTAACAGTTTACAGTAACCGTATTTGTTAGTAAACAGTCATGTTTGCAGCCAACAAAATGAAACATTTTCACCAGTCGCTCAGACGCAAAAACAATGTCTGGGTCAGTAGTTTGTCGAGCAAATAGCTGGCAAAAAATATTCATCCCAATATAGTTGATAAATATCTTCAACAACTTAAATATTATGCAATCTATATGTTCCAATCCAGTCACGACTGAAACATGGGCTTCATCCACGGGAATTTCGATACCATCATACGAGGTTCATTGGCCTCGCTAATGAAGAATAAATGGAAATCAAGACAGCTGTCTGCAAGCGAACATGGAAGTCAGAATCCTCAATACAAACGTAAAAAAGTCTAACTATACGAAGCTGAAACTAAAAAAACGATCACAATCGTCATCAAAAAAACACGTATTTATAAATAATTGTCTACAAAAGATATACAGCGTCCGTTGGTCTGATACCATCAGCAGCAACCTACTGCGGAAGGGAACAAACCAGCCTCCAGCTGAAGAGGAAATAAGGAAAAATGCTGGAAGTGGATAGGATAAACATTACGAGGATCACCAGGTTGTGAAACGAGACAAACGCTTACTTCACATCCTGAAGAGATACGAAAAATAGGAAGAATCAAGTACACAATGCATCGAGAATTGCAGGTAGACATCAAAAGGATGAATAACAACCGGACTCAACTGGGAAGGTTTGTCCAGGACGAAATTGGGTGGAGAAAACTGGTGAAAGACCTATGCTCCATAACGAGGAGTTGTAGAATTATGATTTACTTCGTTGTTAGTACTGCTCTAATAATAGACCTAATCCTATAATTGTAGATCTGTCATGATGTAACTACCTAATCTATAAGATGTTAAGTGGAAATCACATCATTGTCTACACCAACTCACTACATTGTAACAATTACCAATACATGATAGAGGACAAACTAAGGCTAGAGACAGGACAATTTACTTAATATTAATAAGAGATATAAGATAACATTCAGCAGGGACCACGCCTGCATGGCCGAGCCTTGACATGTGATCAACTCCAATCAATTCAATTCATTCTCCCCGCCCATTTCATCGTTGGGTTTTTCTCCATGTTAAGTGTTGAATGTCTATTTCCCAAACTGTCTCGTATTAGAGCCCAGTGTCACTACAGACTATTGGAATTCTCTACTAGAAAACGTATTATCAGCACCTTCTGTTAATATATTCCAAACGAGATCGGACCTGTCCAGTGTTACAAACTGCAAGGATTAATATAGGTCGATAGTCCTACCACCTTTACTGCTGACGACTGAAGACTGTAGTTACCTATTCTATGTATGTGTATTAGCTACACAAAAAATAGTTCGATAGGCATTTTAAACTAGTTTTGGTTAAGTAACTCCGGGTAGTCTACTTGGGTATTCCTTGAAACTTGTTGCCAATTAAGTGGATTAAGGTAAGCAGCATTTGACAATTCTGCTGTAGCGGTAGTAGAATCTCCGAAATAAATGGTTTTATAGGTCTTTGATACTGATATTGAGCGTATTGTTTTCACTAGACACATACTGGGTCGGTATACTTTGATTATGTGAGTGTTACGTGAAAAAGCATTGTCAAACTCCGGGTACCTGTGGCTTATTTACTGTGATGTCCATCTCCTTCGACAACGATTCCCCTTAGGTAAAGAAGGCCTCAACATGTTAGCCATTAGTCAGTAATTTTTCGCTCCCTTCTATTCTCAACCTTTGTTCTGATGGACTTTGGGATACAGTATGACCTTTTGCGTCCTTCTTTTCCTTTTCCCTTCAGGACTCCAAGTTAATGCTTGCCTTGTGATGAAGTTTGATGGTTTCCGTAATGTATGTCCTATCCACTTCCAAAGCCTTGTTCTAAGTTATTCAACTTGTAGCTGCTTTGTACTCTTCCGTAGTATGTTGCTACTGATGGCAACTGTTTATAAATAATTGTACCTTATTTATTATGGTGGCAGTGGTTCTGTAGAATTATTATCTACTTTGTTATTAGTACTATAACAATAATGGACCGAATCCTAAAATTGTAGATTTGTCATGACGTAACTACCCAATCTATGAGATCTTACGTGGAAATCATGTCACTGTTTATCCTGTCTCATCCTATCGTAAGAACCACCAGTGTGATGTTACCTACTTCTGGAGGTAGAACAATATATTTAGTATGAATAAAAGAGATTAGTTACACAAGAGTGACCGCGCCTGCAGGGCTGAACCACGCCATCCGATTTATTTAATTAATACTCCCTGCCTTCTTCATTGTTGATCCTTCCACTGTGTTAATTGTTGAATATGAATTTGCCCAGTTATCTCATGTTCAGCTTTGAAGATTGCGTGGTTAGAATCAATCCCACTACAGAGGCATGTTGTGGCTGAAAATAATGGCATAAACGACAAGCGAAGACATGAGGTAATTTTTATCCCCATATATATTCAATAATCACTCGACTGCTTGGTCACAAGGTGATGCAAAATAATGAAAAGAACCAAAAGTATATTTCGGCTCAGGTGTTTCATATCCCGAAGGATTCATTTTTAGATTTTGTACGGCCAAACGTATGTGGAACGTTTGATTCAACTGACAAACAGTAATTGTCATTATGCATATGGAAGAAAGGTAAAATTTACCTGACGTAATTTTATACATTCGGTAGCAATATTTTCGGGAAACGTATAGATTATATGACTGAATCGGAGTAAGACGGCATATAGTGTCAAACGTATTGCTACAAGGTGAGTAATGTTTGTGCAATGTTTCAAAAAGATGAATAACAAGTATTTTCAGAGTAGACACTGAATAAATAAACTTGCTTTCTTACTTCAGACTGTTACTCTGTAGTGGCATTGGGCCCTAACCAAATATTCTTCAAAGCTGAACACGAGACAACTGGGAAAATAGATGTTCAATATGTAACGCGGAGAAAAACCCAGCGATGTAGAAGGCGGGAAGAATGAATAGGAATGAATTCGAATTAGTCGGATGGCATGGCTCAGCCTTGCATGATATGCCTTTCCTTATTGTTCCCTAGATAAAAGGTTATGCCCTTCCGTATAGTTTATAAAAGCCATCTGAATAACTTTTTTCCACCAGTTTTACAACTGCATTGGCTAGACTAACGTATCGATAATTACTAACTACATCTCTACTCTCCGCCTTATAGACCGGACTGATTATTGCGTTTTTTCAGTTTTTAGGCAGTCTTAACTGCTGCAGAGACATATCAAACACTATGGTCATAGGTTCAGAACTTAAATTCCATAGGACTTTCATAAACCTAGGATGAATATCGTCAGGTTTGAGGCTCTGAATTAGTCTTGAGACAATACCTTTCTCAATAACTACGGGATCCACCAACAATCCACCACAATCTCAAGTATTCTTTGACCGTGATGGAATTCCATCACCGCTCCGATTTCACCTTTATGTATACGAGAATAACCGTTTCGGACTATTTTTACAATCCATAACCAATTGTTTTTCATGTCTAGTCTTATTTAATAACGCTTTATAAGCAATCCTTGTCTTACAATAACTGAATCTGTACTGTTCTAGACCAGTAAAGATGAAGATATTCCAACGACTTTTCCTATGTTTTAGAAGTTCCTTGACTTTTCTAGTTATTCATGGTGGGCAGTTGTTCGATCTACGTGTTACCAAGCACTGTATAAACGAAGACGTAATTGAGCTAAACTTTCCTTCATGCTTCTTCAACTAATAAGATGTCATCTATTGACCAATCTGTCTTAACAGCTCACATCCGAATGGCTGATGTATTAGCTCTCCATACATTTGGACGAGGCTTAACGTGATCGTATATCATTTCACTAGCTCTGAACGTGAATGACGAAACAGCATGATCGCTATTCACTAACAGTGGAAGAATATTTAGGTTGGCAATATCCTCAGTCTCATGTGTGATCACCAAGTCTAAAAAAGAAGAACCTTGGTTTGCACCAAAGCGTGTGGGTTTGGATACATGTGTAATAATGCTTGCTCTATTATCGTTGTTGGGAACCTGATATCAAACGCGTTTATAGATCCTACCATGGCCATCTCAGCTCAACTAATATCGGACGCATTAGAGTCTCCTAATATCAAGCATCTGTTATTTGCATTTCATAGCTGAATGTGCTTTAAAATAAAGTCATCAGCTAAATAAATTGGGTTGTGATATATGACACCGAGTATAAATGTACATCATCCGATAGTCAACTCAAAGCTAATAACTTTACAAGTTCTATTGTCATGAGAGTCTCAAGCAAAGGAGCGGATATTTATATTAGTGGCTATATATAAAACGACGACACATCTACATCTATGTCTATCACTTCTTAGGTAGTGATATCCGGATAATCCTGGAGTGATTTCAAAGTTATGGACTAACCAAGTTTCCGTCACAGCTGCAACGAGTGGCCTTAATTTGTCCACTAATGTTCCTAGTTCATAGAATTTATTTCTTAGACCTCGAAGATTGGCATATAAAACTTATAGGGAGAAAGGCCTATCCACGCAGGCCTTAGTAGCATTCACTTCCAAGATCAGACTATTCGAAAACACACTAAGTGGAGATTTTCCCCACCAATTTGTTGATGGGTTTCTAGTTCAACTAGTGCTTAATTCCCTTTTATTTTATCTTCTAGAGACATATGAGGTCTTACTGGAATTTTGATATTGTCGCAACAAAAGATCATGTTGCTTCTGTAACCCTAGGATTACCCTAAAGAGTCTATATGGTCGTGGTTTACCACTGTCGTTGGTTCTCTTACCTTTTCTTATCAATTTTTGACCTGAACTCCTTTAGATTTATCTGGTGAGATGCAACAGATATATTATTCGAGCCTTTCCAAATCATTCGCACGTCTAATTTGGTGATCAGGATGGCTTGACTCCGACAAATTACGCACAATCATATTTGATGGGATTAAATGCTCAGAAATGCCAAGGAGGAGTCCTGTATTACCATAAGACTTTGGTAGTGTATTTTGTGACTCAGAATGAGAGTTCGCCACCGACTTGACACTCAAAGGTGTTCCGCTAATAACTTTTTTCTTTTCACTTCTTTTTCTCTGTACTGCTGACCGTTTTCCATCATTCAGGACAGCCACACCGGGACTATTTGGAACGGTGACGGTTTTATCCGGGTCTATACTTTCTACTGAAGATGCATGACTAACTACGCCAATATCAAGTGGAACTTCACTCCTCCTTAGTTTCGACAGAAATTTTACTTCTCCGTCAATCACAGTCGGGTGTTTTACGTGTCCCGTATCTGCATGTACTACACTGAGATATTCTTCACTGTTAGTACTCGTTTTACCACAGCAACCGCCATCTTTCTTCTTATAGGCCAAAGCTAAGAGGCTCATAGCTTCCTGGATCAGCAACGTCTTATACGTAAAGCAAAACATACAAAGTCAATATGAGTTAGGATTCAAGCATCTTTTGTATGTGATGGGACAAAAACGGGTACACACTTTATGGAACCACTTTTTGCACTCATCATATTGCATTCCTTCTTCCACGGAGAATAAACGATTTGACTGTCTGCATTTATAAGTAATGCTAACCATTGTAATAAGATTAAGGATTGAAACACAATATGATCACAATATGAACACAAATGTCGCAGTCAGTGAAAGAGAGGGCTCAAAAAGACAAAGTTTAGCTAAACTTCAAACCATAGCCGAAATATTTAGATTGAAAGCAGACCAGGAATGCTTTTTGATGCAACAAGTACAAAAAAGCTGTGACCGGACTTTTTGGAACATGCGCGTAAAGAACACTGTATACTTAATATCGTGATCGTTTAAAAGGATGTCTGGAAAGTAGTTGCCACATTTTGATGTACTCTAATAGTACATGTTTATGTGAAGCAAGACCGGAATGAGTTTTCTGGGCTGGAGTAATTCTAGTTGTTTAAATGTTTCACGAAATAGCATTTGTTCAGGTCGCAATTGGACTTTCAGTTGTGTTCTCGTGATTATTAGTGCCTTGTCTTTACCACAGATTACGTACCAGTAAGTAGCCCTAGCTCAACTTATGATGACTGTTCGATATTATATTGAGTACCTAAAAGTCCTAAGTATTTATTAATAGGTTGTATGAACTTCAATAAATACTTCGTCAACAAACGTGTGAAGCTAAAAGCAACCATATGGAGTCACAGATGATATAGTGCATGTTTGTTCCTCTCATTCCCACCTTCTATATACTCTTTAGCCTCACGTTTTTACTGATCATGGTGGTTTGAAGGTTATAAAGGTTAATAAACAGATAAACGCTCAAGATTGATCGTCACTTATAAGAACTGGTGACCCTTGTTGATCGCCGTGATATGTGGTACTGTGACAGTCCAGCCTCCCTTCTAGTTTATCAATAGAGGTAGATGGTTTAAAACTCGACACTTCCCACTCATATTAACCCCTTAAAACCAACATAAGTGTATATTATCAGTGATTACACTCTGATCTCTTTTATTGCGATGTTTTCTAATCGCTGTCTTTTCCAAAGTTTCTAGTATTTGGACCGTATCTAAGGCTACGTAGTCCTGTCGGATGTTCAGTTTCAGTTACCCAAGCGAATATTGGTGCAGTTATCTAACGAAATGGGATCTTATATTGATGAGGATACTGGTGTTAATTCAAACATCTCTGAAATAACACTACAGTCGGACACTTCTATGAGTGAACAACAAAATGCTCGTATGTATCTTTTCCCTGTTTATTCGAGTTGCTATTACTGCGATTTGTATTTCATAATATTTTGCTCTCGTTTTAATGGTGTGATCGGCAAAAATTTTGTCAACATGTGCCTAACTTCACTAAAATTTTCACAACATTGTCATAGATTTTATACGACTCACATAAAAGTACATCTCTATTGGCGAACTGTCTTTAGCATACGTATCCCTTCGACTCCAAAGGTCTCGAACACAGTCGTTTTTAATGTATTTGAAAATACTTCGTGCTTTGAAAAATCATGTTTGCTAATGATATTTTTTTAACGAGTGATTTGGCGTTTGGATTGTGATCGCACAGCCTTCCTTCATTTGTTTAGTTATTCTATGGCAACGAGCATTCAAGAAGGTTAAGTCAATAGACCTGGACTCATGGAGCAATCTACCATGGGATAAATGTCCTGTTCGATGCGCCCTCAGACACCGGTACAGCGCAATCAAGAAGAAATGGGTTGTGGATGAAGTGCAGATCAAAATGGAATCAGAACCGTTCGACCGTGGAGCGATGCGGGAATGCTTTAGAATGTACGTATATATTTAGTGTTTTCACTCTTATGTCTACTCGTTCCGTACTTTCACCTATTTTTATTCGTACTACTGAACATAGTCTAACAAAACGCAATCTTCTATTTCACCATCAAAACTGACTGCTTTCTCAATAACTTCTGTAGGAAAAAACAGAGTCAGAGAGCATCAGGTACTAATGACTGGCACCATACGTCAAATTATGTGGCCAAGCGATACATAGCCCCTACAGACAAACAGATATACTTTGACGATGTACGTCTACAAATGGAAGCAAAGTTATGGGGTGAAGCTTTTAATCGCCATAATCCTCCCAAAAAGGTACGTTTTTCATTTCTTCAGAATATCTGAACACATTTAATATTTGTATTTAATTAGTTCCTAGTCTGATTATTTATTTTCTGTTTAATAAGATGATAGTAATTACTGACTTCGCTCAAAGCATGATCTCCAACATCCTCTTTATGTAGCTCTTTCCAAAATATTCCATTTTTTCATGTTTTATGACGGACTTTTTATTCGTTTTATAAGTACGAAAGTCACTTATTTGAGATTTGCACCATCCGCGATATTCTGATTACTGACTATATTTCATCAGGTACACAGAATCCCTGTTGTCTGTTGATGATTAATTGAACTATAGTAAGTCGCATATGTATTTGGTGCCCCCTTGTACCAATATTTCTGTGTTCAAATAAATAAATAAGTTATCTATCTAATAAAGAAGTATATTGCTCAGTAGTTCCCTCTGGATGTTTTTCGATTATGCGACATGTCCATTGAGAACGGGAAATATCGTAGGTACTACATTGTATTTGTATTCAAAGGATTACTGGAATGCGGTGAAATCGTATCTCCGTCTTTGGTACTGCAATAATTTCTACCATGTTTTTTTTATTTATTCCTGTGCTCTTACAAATCGTACAACATGGATCGCTAAACTTATACTGAGTTCTACGTTGATATAACTCGCTATCAGTAAATTTATATTTGATTTTAAAGGTGGATATCTTCCAGCTGTCTATTCTCGAATTGTCTCCTGACAGTTCTGTTGGTAGTGATCAATTAGATTTTTCACCAGTATTTTTTCATATTGAACGCTTTATGGAAGGAGAATATCGTAAATACAACTCAAATTCTGGCTTCGTTGATGAGTGCTTACGTAATACCCCACAGGTATGTGTGCTAGACAAATCTTTTTATTTAAAGCAGTCATCATATTACTAAGAACCACTAAAACCCAGAGATTATTGTAGAACCCTCCAGCTAGTGTCCATTGTCTGTTATTTATACAATTAAATCTAAGGCTTCCTAGTCCTATAGCTTATGTGTTGCCAATGGTTTAGGTCAACTAGTTGACATTTCTTAAATCTTTAGTTTTAATCTGCATAATTTCCGAAAAACTATTTAAGTTCATAAACTTTGAGGGTTTGGTGATTTGTTTTTACAAATATCGCTTAAGTATTTGGCCTATTAGTAACTATACAATTGTAAATGCATTGTGTTACCACAAAACCTAAAATGACATATTGCTTTTCCAGTGTACACTACTGTAGTGGCAAATAACCACAAAATTAACTGCTTTGTAGCGATACAGCATCTATGCTTATCTTTTTAGTTTTAGCGGGCATATTTGCTTGAAGTTGTCTGACCATGTACTGCGGCCATCTCAAAATCCGACTCAGCACCCACGGCGCTGTTGGGTAGTAAGGGCAGCCTTGTTAGTCAATTTTGGTAGTCGGCGAGACCGGATATATCCACCATTCTGCTATGAACCGGATTAATTAGATTCCGATTTCGGGGTTCACTAATATCTTGCGGGCTGTCTAATGTGTATGAATACGTATCTAAATTACATGAGTCTCGACTTTTGTATTTACGTATGTAAGTATATGTTAGACGAACTCGCACAAGGAACGTAAGTTAAAACATTTGCCCTATATCTAATGCAATCAGCAGCCGTATCCTTCAGGTTAAATACAACAAAGATGGTAGCAAATACTAGGGAGAGGTGACCATTAAACCTCTCTGAAAGAGTTTATGTTTACGTGTATGGCATGAAGTGCAAGGGCATTACGGCGGCCATATCATTGAACACCTACGTGAGACGCTTCTTTAGTTAGTCACCCTAGTGATCTCACGTTCATCCAACTCGACCAGTAGTCAAATGTCATTTATTATCCTTATCATCTGCCTCAATTACATTCTACGTACTGTAGCTAACATCATCTGATCCGGTTGTGACAAGGAAATCCTTATCATATGAATTCTTAACATCGATCACCTGGTCATCTAAGTAATAGCACCGCTGATAACTTGGCAGTTATGGTTTTGCCTATCCAACTAAATGGTTTATGACTGTTACTCAAAGTACCCAGACATCTCTTTAATTTAACGTATCCATTCACTGCGGTCGAGGGTTACAGTTCGCATTGAGCGCACTTTATGCGGAAACTCATTTAATTGTTAGTAGGACTGTCGTTATGTTGAATATATCTTAGTTCGACTCCTGTATGCTGTTCCCTTATGATAGATGTATCTCATTAGTATGTATGATTCTAGGCTAGCTAGCTTAGTTCGCATTTAGTCAAAATACCATTGCTAAATTTCTGTAGGAATCGCCTGAGTGGAAATTTGTGAAAAAATAAAGATATACATATATTTCAAACAAAACGATTTAATCAGTGTTCTTAAGAACATGATCATCTTGCTTACTTGTGAAATGTTCATTTCTTACTAGACCTTTAGCCACTTCACATTTGAACGTTCTGGTCACCGATTGTTAGTAGTAGATATCCAAGGTGTTGGAGACTTGTACACTGATCCTCAAATTCACACATCAGATGGAGTGGGCTACAATGACGGCAATCTAGGTACGCGGGGTATGGCTTTATTCTTTCATAGCCATAGATGTAATCCTTTATGTAAATGGCTAGGATTGGCCCAATTTGATTTGGCACCCTCTGAATTAGATGAGCCAATGCAGTGTCAACAAACTGACCAAATTCCACCTAACCCCTCAGAAAAAGAAGTCAATCAAGTAAGATTACCTTATTTTTTGTCAATTTACTTATTACAAAATTCCTTGTAATTAATATCCACTTTTTCTCTTGATTGGTTGTCATATTTCATGGAGTTAAAAGTAGATTAACTGCTTTGTATTTATAATTGGAACCCACATAACTAAGTCGTTTTAGCTATCCTTCACTTGTCTAGATATTGATTGATAAGTAACGGTGAAAATTATTTACGTTGATGGATGTCGAAAAGTGAAAGTTTACATGAAGCTGGTTCATGCTTCTATGCATAAATGTCTGTATTCGAAAATAGCTATAGATAAACTGCATCATCTTATAGTCTGATGTAAAACTTAGTATAAAAGCTTATTGAATGACCATTGAATTATCTAGAACTAAGCTCATTAATTGAGTTGTTATTAACCGTTAGTTGATGATAAGGTTATCCTTCTGTTAAGTCTCCCACTCCCTCTATTGCTTAGTACACCTCAGACACTACTTCGCTCGACTGGTCCCCAAATCAAAATACAGCTTAAATAGGAACATAATTATATTCTAAACAAAATTGCAAGTTTCATGCAGTATAATGTCAGTGTATTCATGATTCTTCATAGAAAAATCCTAGTCTTCTGCAATTTTCCACCAACTCTGATCGGCTAAAAATGGCCTAGTCAGTGTTTCATTTTGATCCGATCTAGAAAATATAATCAAATCTATACCCTGCTAACACCTAGTCGTGGAATACATCAGACTAGAAAAAAGTATCATCTTTTTATCATTTCTTAATGTTCATTCACTTCACGTTGGTTTATAATGAGAAATATACTAATTATTTAAAAACATATAATCACCATCTGTACTTTAAACTTCACTTAAGATCAAAATTAGCATAAAACAAAATACCTATGAAAATTATAAAGTCTGAAAAAACAATCCTTTCTTTGTCACTACCTCATTTTTAGATTGACCTGAGTATATATGGGATGTTTCGCAAATCGAAATTTCGTCGACGCACAATCAGTCTAAATAATCAGATGTCCTGTAAATCTCCGTCTCACTTATATGGTCCGACAGTTGTTCGTTCATCTGAGAGCATGCTTATGTCGGCACTTTCTGAAACTCGTCGTCGTTGTGCTAGTGTCTCACTTTGTGATCATCCTAAATCTGTGGGACAAAGTTCGGATTGCGTATCATCTTTCCATTCAGTAGGTGACGGTCTTTCGTTCGACAGCCCTGACGCTCTGAAGCTTCGTGAAACATGTCTAAATCCCCCTTTCCAGCTATCAAGCCGTCAACTTTCACCTGATTTAAATATATCTGGTCACGGACAGAGCTGTCCACAACCAATGCAAAATTTCAGTTCGGTTGTCCCCAAGCAACCGGATTCGAGAAATCGTGCAGCATCTGGTGACTCAGGATATGTTGGACGAATTAATTTAATCCAACCTTGTTCCGACCTACCTGTTAGTAGATCTCACGAAATCGCTTCTGGATTCGATCAAAACTGTATGGATTTTTGTGGTGATTCTACCTCAGTTGATTTACCAGTACGTATATCTCAATCTAATGTCCTGGGTATGCGGTCCTTAGAATCTCATCAATTAGTGGATGAAGCCTTTCCTACGGGATCAAATTATTCAATTTCCAATCGTAGTATCTTTATTTCCAAAAGACAGCGTAATATCAGTGAATCTAGTGATGTAGATGCGGAAGAATGTCATCGTGTGCCAGGAAATTTGTTGTATCAACTAATGCATGAAAATCACAAACCCAGTTGTGCCGATCATCCTACAAACTTGGATCAAGAAATTGGCCATTCCATTCTTGGGCAAGTAAGTCCAAATTAAATTTATAAGAATTAAAGAATAAGGTATATTCCTTTTTTAATGAAACTTATCATACACAATCCGATACTTTGTCCAAAGTTTCCTGGAATTCAGTCAAATCTTCCTGATAAAGTTATCTGACAAATAATCATTCTTTCAATGAATTTGTTAAACAATGCTCATAATGAAAATTAAAATATAATTTATGTTACCACATTATTTAAGCAAACCGTCCACTGGTTGTCGTCGTAACACTTAATCAGCTAATCTGGGATTGGTTAGTTGTTATACTTCCAGAAACTATGTGAGGATCTCCTTTTTGTTCATTCATTTCGGAAACTTTCACACTAAAATGGAACTCTATTCTAATGATGAATATTTGCTGACCACCTCATGCCTAACATCGTCTAAGTCTATGTGTTGTGAGTTATTCTTCTGAAAATCCCCATGATTTTGTCTACAAAATGGAGGGACATTGTGTGGTCTTCGGTACATTCATTAAATATCCATTCAGCTTAAAGGCCCGTCATATTTGTTTTGTATATTTATAACATATACTCTAAATCAAATGTTTATGTTTTCTCCTCATCTCATTGAAGTGATTAAACTAGAAAGACTTGCCCCAGCTTCCTTTGTTTAATTCAAATGGTAATCACTTTTATACTTCTTACTGAAATATCTGGAACACTGAAAAACATATATGAATCAAATTTGGTAAAATCTTTCGAAGAATTTTCTTTCTGTCTTTACCTTTCTTCATGATTATAAAGTTTGAAGGGTGAACTCAAATTCAATCAATAAGTAATAATATTTGAACCACACAATTTTTATGATGTTGAAAATATCACAATTTTAGATCGTTTACAAGAAATGTATTAATAAAATGTAAGTACATAATTAAGAAGCAAGCAATGAATTAGATTTCAGTAAAGATTGTTTAGTCCAAATAAACGTTTCTGGTTTCATCATCTTTCATTTTCTTTCCCTGAGCATTTAAGTTTTTCCCCTCTAGTAGATTTGTTCTACTAACTCATTAAAACTGTTATTCCAATTATTTGTAATGAACTAAAAAGTGAAGCTTTCTTTTTTATGAAAAAAACAGATACATCATGAACTTGCTAGACTTCATGAAGCTGGACGTTTCATTCCAAATAAAGGTCAATGGTCACATGTAGGATTAAGAGGTGAAGGGATTTTCAACAAGGACTCTTGGGAAGTTAGTGAGTTCGAAGAATCACATAACGAAGCAAATAATGACCTAGTAACTTTGATCGATTGGTCAGCTGTCCTATTCCATGAAAGTCACGCTGCTCAGCTAGGCTGTCTGGAAGCCATGATAGTCATGGCACATTATTATCTTGGTTTACCAACTCAGCTGCTACTGGAGTGCCCAATAAAAGTAAGTTATTTTGTTTCTTAACTCACTTTTTGTGAGATATTCATAATTATGGAATACCAATCACAGATCTCTCAGTTTCAGTTTCCGACAGACTTGAAACAAAGTATCTCAATGTAAGACGTTATAATTTTCTACAATATAATTTTACACTATATTCCAGTTACCCATTTTACCAGTGTGTTTACTTCGAATACCTTTGCTTTCAGGTTTATTTCTAGTAACTTGAACACGTGGCATACAAGTTAGCGACTCAAATGGATATCATACGGTTGTAACAGAACTCATTTAAGTTGGACTTCCATTTATCTTCTAGGGGCGATGCTAAGATAATGTTATTTTTTATTTATAGACTGAAGTTTTAGTCGTAATAATCCCATCTTTATCCTGGGTCAAAAGAACCTGTATGTATGCAGTAAATTTTGTAAGTTGTATGCAATTGTCGCTTTGTTAGTGATCCAGTTTTAGAGATCTTGCTTAACTGTCATGTTCTTTTTTTCTGACAACGATGATGAAAGTCATCTTCCGAAATCTAGACTGCTTTTATCTCAGTATGATCAGTTTCATTACCTAACGTATCTTTATTTATCCCGTAATATAGTAATCCATGTGAAATTTCTACATGTAGCCTTAGCACTCAAAGCCCGTTACGTTAAGAATTATATGTCATATAAACTTGCTAATTTTGAAGTTTGTTCCCTAAACCACTGGTCCACATAGTTATAGCTACACTCATTACTAAAATCTGTAGCTTACTGCGTGAAATCGAAGTCTTACAGGTTTTCTGTATTTTATTTCTTGTGATAAGGACGACTGGTGTAAACTAGGTTTGCTTTCTATCTTGAAGTTGTATTCATATCTCATGTTGTAAATGTAATTTATGTTGATTCTAAAAATCAGTATTTAGGTACTTTTAGTTGATTTAGGGTCCTTCAAACATACAATTAACAAATATTTAAATACTCCACCATCTTAACCTTATGTTTATTAATAAATCTTTCGCTTATCAGCCGGATCCAAGTGATATACGTATTGGTATCGATCATCTTTGGCGTGCTGCAGAAGGTGGTGATCGTCGATGCATGATCCTACTTGCTCGCTATCTAGATTTGTCAGTTAATTTCCTAAATCCAGAACATCAACCCAACTTCATAACAAATTCGCGTGACATATTTATGCTTCCTGCCTTACAATCGTTTCTTAACAACGATAGTCATTCATTACTTCCCTCCATATCCCCTGATTCTTGGTCCGAAGCTATAGGGTGGTATAAACGAGCAGTCGATAGCGCGGTAGGTTCATCCGCTTCCAGTGATGGATGTACAGATGAAGGTTTAGATGCTGAAGGTCACTATGATGCTGCTGAAGATCTGTTGCCTGTTTATCGTATCTTGGCTCGTATGGCTGAAATGTATTCTGTCGGTGGCTTCGGTCTTAAGCAAAATTTTTATTTAGCTGGTGAGTTTGTACTTGTAAAATTTGATATTTTGCGCTGTATAACAAAGTGAGTAGTAGGGTTTGTCAATGGATACAGTATATTAGTAATAATTATTATTTCGTCCACCTTGTTGCTTTAAGAAAATCAAGTAAAGTGAGAATAGCATGATTTACAGAATGAAATGAATTCATTTTATTTCGAGACTTCTCATCAGGTACGAATCACTTAAAGCTACGATAACTAATATTATTATGAACAACGTTGTTCATTCCTTAATCAATAAAAAGAAGTTTAAAGCAAAACAGAAAAACATGGGAAATGGGAAGAATACAAGGTATATTCTACACAGTTGTCAAGACTGAACAGTATTTATATATTAAAAGTGAAGCCATATAATGAATTGTGTTTTGTCATAAGTAATGATCAGCAAACAAAATGAAAAAACGTCAACAAATTAGTGGTCTTAAAGTCAAGCCACCTAGTTAATATAAAATGGCTAGCTTATGTAATAGATAAACGTTACACCACTATAATTATTTTGCATGGCAATTAGTTTACCACACTTAATGTGTGCAGAGGTCTGGCCGAGAACGCTTGATGGTAGTAGCCTCTGATTATTATCTTGAATGCCTTTTTGATATCTACTTAATGTTCACTGTACATTAAGTGTTCAGTCATCTCACTTATAAACACTACTTCCCTTCATTTCGAACTCCACCTGATTAACTAATGTATGGAAAATTTTGTTCATAATACTACTAGTAATCCTAACTTCAAGTCGCTCTCGCTTTATTCAAGTACTATTGCTTAGAAATCGGAAAGTGTCATAGATCAGTTTATTCGTTCGAAGCGACTTTTTTGTTGTTTTTAGTTTGCCACTGTAGTTAATATAATCATTATTTCTTCCTCTTTTCTTCTGTTAAATTCCTATGTACTGAAGTAGTGTCGAGACTTAGACTGTTCTATATGTATGTCAAATCGTACGTTGTATTTTTTACCAGTGATTTTCAAACAAACGGTCTTCTCTAGATGTATAGGCTTGAAAAAGATCTAACGAAGATATAAGTTGTATAACAGTTTGGTTCAGTCTATTTCTTAATATTTTCATCAAATATCTGCCAATTAATTGTTCCTCCGTTATGAATAATTAAGGCTATGCCTATAGTATTAAAAATTAGTTACCTACTTAATGTTCTCCGCGTTTACTTTATAGCTTAAAGACTAATTAATATTCGTCTATGTAGTCGCTGTAGTTTTCATTACAACTTCTACTGTAGGTAAGTGTTCACCCAGGACATTGGCATAACAGTCTATCCCTACAAGTTTAAGACGTATAATTCTGAAGAATAAAATGCAATCAATAGCGTTTATTTTTCTAACCTTAATTGTATTATTTTTTTCCTCTAATAACTTACAATGTAACCATATAATTTATTTTGTTTTTGGATTTCCTGTCAAGTTTTCGCGTCCAAAATAAATCTCAATCTTAGCAATATAACGTAAAGATGACTTAAAACCTTTTCCCCTCACTTTAATTTATTTTGCTTTCAGGAGATCTATTCACTCAAGCTGCAGAAATTGCGTCTGGTTCACTACAGGGTCGTCTGGCTGCAAGATATTTTGAGTTAGCAGATGAAGCATACTCATCAAGTGAACAAATCACAAACTGATAGGAAGTATATTTTGACTTCTTAGGCGTCAAAAGGCATGATTTAACATGCTCTATCCCTGGTGTGCTGTTTATACAGTTATAAACATCAGTACTTGTATTATTTTTTACTCTTTTGTTCGTGTAATGTATTTCTTACGATCCATAACACTAGTTTTGGCACTATATTGCAGTTCTTTCTATCTTACAGTCATCCGGTTGTACTACTTTTGTTTTGCTTGTTATATTTCAATACACATTTTTCATTTATATCATTCTGCACTTATCTTCGGTTTTTACTACATGTTCGATCAATTTTTTACGAATAGCTGCTGTTTCTAATTACATCTAATGCTATTACGTTATTGGCTCAGTTTGTAGTTTACTCAGTGAAAATTACAACCTGTGTTTCGTTAGTTTCAAGGATTCTCGTTATGTTGAAGATGTATTACTTACTTACGCCTGTTACCCCTCGTCGAGGAGTATAGGCCACCCACCAGCACTCCCCATCCAACCCTATCCTGGACAATTCTTTCCAGTTTCTATTCATCCTCTGGGTGTCTGCTTCCAATTCTCGGCGCATGGTGTCCTTTTGCCTTCCCCTTTTCCGTCCCGATTAAGGATTCCAAGTTAGGGCTTGCCTGGTGATGGAATTTAATGGTTTTTGTAATGTGTGTTCTATCCACTTCCAACATCTTTTCCTAATTTCCTCGTTAGCTAGTTCGTTGAGTTTGTTAGTTTCTCGTAGGAAGGCTGTAATGAACCATTGTACTGCCGTTTCCCCAGCTGTCCAGTGTTTCTTTAGCCTCAGTTTCATCTTGGCCACAACCAGGTGGTGATCTGAAGCTTTGTCAGCTCCTTTCCTGGTTCTCACGTCCGCCATTGTCCTTCTGAATTTTTTATTGATACAAATATGATCTATCTGGTTCTCCGTGTTGTGATCCGGTGAGACCCATATGGCTTTGTGTATGCGTTTGTGTGGGAACTTTGTGCCGCCTATAACCAATTTATTGAATGCACATAGGTTTCCAAATCTCTCCCCATTCTCGTTCCTTTCTCCCTGTCCGTGTCGTCCCATGATATCTTCATATCCAGTGTTATCTATTCCGACTTTTGCGTTTAGATCTACCATCAGGATGGTGAGGTCCTTTCTCGGACACTTCGCTATGAATGACTGCAGCATCGACTAGAACTGATCTTTATTGTCGTCGTTGCTATGATTGGTGGGTGCATGACATTGGATAACATTCATCGTGATTCCCTCCTTTGTTTTGAAGGACGCCTTTACGATTCTGAATCCGTAAGATTCCCGTCCTATAAGTGTTTTACCTACTCCTTTGGACAGCATCAGAGCAACTCCCTGGGTGTGTGGAGCATTTCCTTCTTCGTGACTAGATTATAGCAGCATCTCCCCCGTATCTAACCTTTGCTGTCCAGCTTGGGTCCAATGGGTTTCACTGACTCCGTGCACCACTAGGTTGTATCTCATTTCCGTTGCTAGTTGACTGATCCTCTCGGTCTCCCACATTGTCCGGACGTTCCATGTACCGATAAAAATTGTTCTGGTTGGTAGAAAGGGCATCATCTTCGTGACTGCCGAAGACTCGGTTTTCATAATGAGGCGTCATAATTCTTCCTTTAACTTAGAGGACAGAGTTTAAATGGTTTAATTTGTTTAATCTGGTTAGCGTTTTTCAGTAAGATTTTTTTTCCACAGGATGGGGTTGCGAACCGTATGAGCTACAGGCGGAGTATTTATACTAGCCACTATTAAGTTGTTTTCGTAAGTTCATGTACTTTATTTTCATTTTTATTTAGAAAACTGATTATCAAGCGGTCTTGTCAATATCCATGCTTACTAAGATAAAAGAAATATGTAATCAAGTTTCCCAAACCACAACAGTTTATCCAGCTTTGATTTATAGCACTATGAAATTCCTTTTGATTTTACTATCCACTGCCTATTTGCATATCGTCTTACTTTAATGTAATCACAATTTTAAACAAGTCTTAATAGAAGTTTCTATTGAACCCGTAGTGTTCCCAAGACTTTTATACTGCTAATTTATATCCTGAGCATTTAAGACCTAACAATTCTTAATATACATTATCGACAAATAAAAAATCTTTGTAAGTCTTCAGTTCCTGCTTCCTGAGGAATCAGTCTTATTGATAAGTAGCTATTTAACGAACCCACTGAACTGAAGTGTGTTCTTAGATGTTTTTTATACCGTCGTCCGTTTATTGAACGAAAATATCGTGACGCTTGAGAAAAGTCGTTACTCCGTAAATTTACGTCTCGTTTATCTTTGGTCTTGGATCCCAATATTTCAAACGAGTGACTAAGTTGCTGTTTTGTGTGGTAGTTTTAATTCTGACTCATTTCACTTCATAGGAAATTATCTTTAAGTTTTTTCGTATAAAGTGTTATCCACACACTTAGACCAATCGAAATCCTAGAGTTTCATATCAATTACTCTCAAGGGTTTATCACCGAATCAAGTGTATCCACCCTGTCAATCAAATTAGTGTCTGTATCACAAATTTCACTAAGAAAATGCGATTTTGAGAGCAGGATGATTTGACGTTCTTTTCTGTTATTGTTTTTCTGTATACACAGTTTCCGTAGCCTACACAATATTACTGCTCAGTCCTAGTTGCTAATAGAAGCAATTGTAAAGCCAACCATATATTTATTTTTATTCTATGTAATTAAGATCTAGAAATTCACACGGTTATGCACATAAAATATGAGACCACCATAATAATCCAACATGTACATAACTGGGACACGTGACACAAGATGACCAACATGTTTTTGATCAAAGTATCATAAATTATGAACAGTAAGAGATGCTGCAACAGTTTATAGTATATTAGTTAGAACGTCACGATTCGGAAAAGGTTATAAATCAACCATTCAATAGATGCACACACAAAACAAATTCACCGATCTCCCAGAGAATCGCCTTTCAGTTTCGTTTATTCGCTCCATTCTGAATATTGCTGTGTAGCAATAAACTGTTGCTCAGAATTCCATTATAGATGGTTAGTAACTATCAGATATAACATCAATAACTGTATTTTACGTCTGAAATAAATCACTTCTGTGTAATTAAATAATCGTACCATTTTGAAATTACTTCATGGGATTACATCGTATTCTTGTTTCAGTTTCCTTTCGTGAACATATTGTTCGATCTCGACGGTTCATGTTTCTTCTCACTAATTAATTATTTCGAAATTTTGCCATGTAACCTGTTTTGTTATCACTAACCATCATAGTAACACAGCCTAAACTGATAACCTTCAGTGAAAATGCTTCGTCAGATGATGAAGTTTATCTGTGCAATTTATTCGATCTCACTTAGAGCTGATATTTAAGATCATAGGTTATCTATCTGAATTTAATATAATCATGGGGGATGTCTAGCTAACAACTTCATAAATACTGCATATTTCCTGTGTGTGACCTTAACCTTTTTCCCTTTATGCAAAACTGACATTTTTAAGCTGTTTCACTGGATATCCTCTTAATACACACATTAAATGACTCATTCATACAGTAAATCAAATTCAACCTTTGGATATGATTGGACGGCTACTTAGTACAGACTAGTCTTTGACCTAATGTGTTTTAGATATTTCATACGTTGATTATTTCCTCCAGCATGGACTTACACAGACTGCAGAGCAAGTTTTAATACCAGTTGCTGAAAATCTCACTAATTTAACTTTATAACTAATAGGTCATATGACTTGGTTCTTTTTCTAACTTAAACACAAATGTCAGGGTTGAACCTCAAGGTCAACAGTTAAATTGGTAGACTATGTGATAAGTAGTCTTAATATCAAAGAAAAGAATTTTCGTTTTTGCTTGCTGGAGGTCTTAACTACCGTATATTAGAACTAAAGTATTCAGAACTTCGGTTCATGTTTACAGTCATCTTTTTAAAACTCATCTGTCTACAATTATTGACTTAAATGATGATGGGAACTGCAACTACATATATTGTGTGGTTAAGAGTACACTTTGTAGCTTCTTAAAACTGCATGTCGAGTAGTGTTTGAACTCGCGATTTACCGTTCCTAAGTTGTGCGTTTGTATCCCTCAAAACTATCATAATTTTCTAAGGTGTACAATGACACTGCATACGTAAATGCGCTTAGATGTAAGTTGTGGTGTCCCATAATACGACCGGTAGTCGCTTTTTAGCAGAGTAATATGACGTTGGAAGTTTGTAGTTTTTGAGTGCAAGTGAGTTGTTTCCTAGAACTTGCTTGAACCAAAATCAATTTTTAAACCACCATTCTTTGAGTCGTGCTCTTCAGAACCAATACTACTATTCTTTTTGATAGCTAGAACTGTTAAGTAAACAGAAAACTAGAATTAGTTTGAAACTTAAAACACTGGAATTATAAACCAGTATATTGAGTCATTTTAGATTCACAGTAAAAAATGAAGCGAAGAGGAATTACGTAACTTTTAGTTCTGAATATATTCTCAAAAAAATAAAATTCTCCAAATTTTGTCCCCATATACTTCAGTTTCAAAACTTTATTCTCCATTCCACTATCATTCATCTTACTCTGCACTGAAGAGTGTATCCTATTGCTATGAATCATTTACACTACATCCCTTTATTTTCTATTACTTTAAACTTATCGAAATTGAAGCCATGAGTTCTGACCTTAACTATTTGGTCTTTTGTGTTTCGACTGAGGAAAGCTGTCATTCTATTGGCGTCATTTTGCTTTGTATTGTTTGCCTTGACTCTTCATCAACACTTATTAAATTCTCTGGGTTATGTTTGATCCCTTCAAATTAGCGAACATTCTAACAGAAAGCACATTTATTAATGATTACTAATTAATTATTCTAATTGTATTTTTAGTATGACATCAATTGTATTAGGAATGTAATCAATTGATTCGCCTCGTACTTGTTAACAGTATTTTGTCTATTTTAAATAAATATCATTTATTCTGATGTGGGTTCCAAATTTTTGGCCATATAATACACCTTCATTTTAGTATTGCCTAGTATACATACAGTTTCTGAGGTATTTACTATCAAAACTGTAATAAGTGGAAATCGATCCGCCTGAAACATGTTAGCTAGATGAAATATATATCCAAAAACTAACTACGTTTATTCTAAGTAGGTCTAGAACCTGAGTAACAGCTACTTCAAACAGCAGAACACAATAAATAAAGCAATTTAACTAAATTGAACGAATCAGGTATAGCCAATATATAATCCTTCTAGAAGGCTCTTTGTTATTCTACTTACGAACTCTATTTTTAGTTCCATATAGAATTTAACCTCTGTCTAATTCTTCTGACGTAGAAATCAAAATGAATTTATCATTAAATTAAAAATCCTACATTGAATAATAATTGTGTTTTTCTGTACATATATTCATTGTTTGCTTACTGTATTGCGAAATTGCCGACCAACAATGTTTTTTTTAGAAACAGTTACTAGTTAGATAGGGGAACGAACAATTGCTCTAAAAGATTGAAATAGACAAATAAATTGTTGACTTAAAAATGACTCAACAATAAACAGAGGACATATTTTATAAATTATAAACGACTATTGGCTACAATTCATCAAGATATAGATCGACTACATGTAGGTGGACTATACTGGTTCCCAAAATATGCTACAGACAATAAATTGGTTTTAAGTTATTATGCAAAATATGTTTGGTGACAATGAAACCGAGTTAAAGTGACATACATTCATATGCGTCAGCACTTAAACGCTAAAAATGTAGTTTTTTCTCTAATGTTCAAAATCACCCAAAGAGTATTCTATAAACAATCTAAACTCGAGACAAATATAATAAAAGGTCAACACTAAAATTAGGAATTTTTGACTGGGAAATATTCAAGGGAAAAATGAACCATATAAAAAACTAATTGATCGTCAAACAAGTCAGAACCACAATAAAGGAATCGAATGAATTAACTTTACTCGGATAGTATATAACAGTTAGAAAACTGGAAATCTACTCCTACATATCTTTAGAAAATCTACCAACTCAGTCCTGAGTTCTCCTTCCCACTTGCTACTTATCCTTTTGATGTCTGACTCCAACTTCCGACTGAGTATGTTCTTTTCACTGCTTCATTTCCTTTTGCCTTCAGGACTCCAAGTTAGCAATTGTCTCACGATGCAGTTTGATGATTTTCGTAATGTGTATATCCTATCCACCTCCGCCGTCTTTTCCTAACTTACTCCCCAGCTCGAACCTGGTTTGTTCTCTCCCACAATAGGCTGTTGATAATGGTTTCTGGTCAATGGACATTCTGTATCTGGTGTAGACAACTGTTCATAAATACCTGTACCTTTTTGATGACAATTGTAGTAGTTCTCCACGTTTCAGCTCCATACAGTAGAACTGTCTTGACGTTCGTATTAAAAATTTTGACTTTATCGTCTGACAGTTGTTTTGATTTCTATATGTTCTTCAATTGTGAGAATGGTATCTTTGCTTTGGCAATCTGTGCATCAGATCCTTTTTGTTTATCAATTGTATTGCTCAGGTACATAAACGTTTTCAACACTTTCAGAGCTTATCCATCAAGTGTGATTGGGTTGTGCTGTATTTCAGGATCTTCGTCTTTCTGTTGTGAATATTGAGGAGTACTGATGCAAAGGCTGCTGCTACTCTGGTTGTCTTGACCTTCATTTGTTGGTGTGTATGGGTTCAGATCATGTTCGAAGTCCAAATCGTCTAGTTGCATCCAAACTGTCCATTGTATCCAATGGAGGTCTTCATAATCTAGTCAACCACCAGAGAGAAAAGAAAAGTTGAGAGTAAGCAGCCTTGTTTGACACCAGTCTTGGAATGGTTGTGTGAGCGTACATTTTCGATTTTAGTTATTCTTCGATGTAGTACAATTCCCATTTAATGGTATCGATCAGTTACAGCCTAATTTCGGACCTGGCTAAGCTCACTAAAATCATTTTGTAATTTTTCCTTCAAAGTAAAAAATAGATATCAGTTTTATCGTTC